GGTGGGCGATACGGTACAGGTAGTAACCGAAGCATCCGTGTCCGGTCAGTATCTGCACTATGCGGAAAAGAGGCCACCACACCGGCTTAGCGCAGTGCCGACCGACGGCGACGCCAGGCGAACTTTGCCTTCGCCGCTACCAACGTGTCGTCGGCGAAGCAGACAACCTCCGTGCTGAGAAGAAGGCTGCCTCGCAATACCCAGTCGTACCCCAGGTTCCAGAGCAGTGGACACAGCACTGACCCCTGGGGTACCCCTGTGGCCATGGCCCGAGAGCATACGCTTCCATCGGGCCCCTCGTAGAAGACTGACCTCCTCTGCAGGTAGTCCTCCACGATGGCTCGCAGGTATGGAGGCACGCAGTGAAAATGTAGTGCCTTCATAATACACTCGTGGAGAGACTGTTCTCTTCTTCTTCTTTCAACGGGCGTTTCTGCAACTCGACGTCCTTATGGCGCCTGTTTTGCGTTAGGAGGGTGTATAGCCGGAATCACTCCAGCCAGCCCAGCTTCATCAGGAACGCCCCCAGGGCCTTCACATTTGTGACTGCCTCTTGGAGGTTTCCCGGTGAGCCAAGGTATTTTGCCCGGTATTCGGCCACTTCGTTGCATTCCAGCAGAACGTGAGTAGCTGTTTCTTCTGCATGCATCCTCTACGTAGAGAGTTGTCCGTGACGCCTAAGTTAAAAAGATGTCTGTTAAAATGTGCAGGTCCGGTAATAGCACCTGTTACCATGCGCAATGTAGGTTTTGCTTAGCTGTAGAAGAGTTTTGGAGAGGACAGCGTTCACCCGTGGCAAAGCGAGCTTGATCTGCCTGCACGTCTCCAGATCGAGCCAGTGTTGCTGGTGTAATGCGGCTGTGTGCTCGCAGATTATATTTACGAGACAGCTTACTGGTATCGGGACGATTGGTTCGGGACCTGTTGGGGTCGAATCGGTCCCCTTCCGGGCCAGCTCATCCGCAGCGTCGTTTCTGCGTGATCCACTGTGTCCCTTTATCCATTGGATAGTAATAGAATTGCTTTACCCTACCGTGTTTAGGGTTTGGTGACATTCTTGCAGGAGGCTCGATTTGACTAAACAGGCATCTAAAGCTTGTTGTTGCTTTCGGACAGTATTCGTATTTCCTGTCCTGTTACCTTTCTTGAAAGGATCGCTCTTGCCGCCAGTATGATGCCCATACATTCAGCTTGAATTGAAAGCGATATGTATATTGAGGTCCTCAGAGAAAACACCCGCGCCCGTGCCCGTTGAGGTTTTAGAGCTGTCGGTGTAGATCATGAGAGCCTTGTATGATACCTTGGGATCGTTGTCATCCAGTAGATGTATACTGTACTTTTTGTCAAATATGAAGGCAGGTATTATTTTGGAGGAAAGACTGTTAAAGGCGTTGCGGATGTCTAGCTACACCGCAATAGCAGTCTCTCCCCGACTAGTGGCCACGTCGGTCCACCCCTTCAAAAGGGCCACCACCTCCACCGTAGACCGGTTTCGCCGGAACCCGAACTGGTGCTCTTGCAGATTTGGGTCCGGCTCCCTCAGGTGCTCGATGATACGCCCCGCCAGAATTCTTTCAAAGAACTTCCCAACGTCATCGAGCACCAATGCTACCGCGGCCCAGGTACTCGCGGACTCTAGATCAAGTTTTTGATCTGTTTCTTTTTTTTTCATTAATGTTAGTTTTTAGAAAGCGTTACCACAATACGAAACATGTATAATAATCTCAGGAGATAATTTAATGAGCTTTTATATCATATGACTTTTGTTAGAATTCAAGATTAAATATCTTGGTTCCGATATTAGTTATGGAACTACTACTTTGCTAAGAACAATTCACATATATAGTACTATCAAACAATCATAATTAGTTCAGTGGCCGCTGAAAAAAAAAAATCAAGCCAACCTCCATACAAAATTACCCAATCCCCTTTACCATAATAATAATAATATGCCAAATAAATGTGTAATTAATTATCGTATTTAATTTAATTTTAATTTCGTTTAATGTAATTGTGAATTTTAATCGCTGCTGCACAAGAAAATATCATAGTATGGTTGTATAAATATAATTTGTTGCCTGATTTAAAGGATTTATATAATTGTAATTTTTTTCTTGTCAATTTTGTATGTGTGCGTGTTGGCGCGGATGTCTTATCTACTGACTTGGTACTTAGATACCAAGTTTGTTATATGTACTTGCGATCGCACGCTCTATCTAAGGAATTTTAAGAAAACTAGTTTAAAGGTTAGGTAATTTAAAGCACGCATGCTAGCTAGTCTTGCTACAAATTGGCACTGCCGTAATCATACATATAAGAAAATGCTTAATTTATCGATAGATGGCGGCACTAAAACAAATAAAAAAAAAACTTAATTATTATTTTACAAAGATTAAATAGAAGCTATGTAGCGATTAACGAGCAAGAATTAAACTGTAATACCATTAATACCCTGTAGCAGGAGCAGTACAATTTACATTGTGCTACGTTTTTTATCGCGCCTAACTGTCAAACTCCATTATTACTGTAAGTAATTTGATAATTCAGCGCGATAAAAACGCAATATACAGAGTGTCCCAAAAAGTAGTGTCAAGCGGTAGTCCCGAGATAGAACACTCCTTGGAGAATCCGAAACACCCCTATGTATGTTCCGCGATTTTGTTATAGTTTGCGAGTTATGAATTTTTTACTAAAATTTTGAGAATTAATGACCGAAACAATTTAAAAATTTAATAAAAAAAATTGGATGTCTTTTCCGAGATATTTTTTTTGCAACTCAATTTACATGAATTGTACTTAAATGACTAATACCTTTGTCTTTGCAACTATGATGGAAGTTTAAAAAATGATGGTGCAAAGTGAAAAAATTATGATCAGTGAATTATGTCTTAAGATTTCATCTTTAAATTTAAAATCTTAATAGGTAGTTTCATGGCTCCTAAGTAAGTTTAAAAACTGCGCCAGACTCTCAGCTTTCATAATCATTTAAAAAAAGTAGTACTTAAAGGGCTACTTTTGCTAAAATCTGACTTCAAAGACAGTGAGGTGGAAAAATCTTAAAATTAGCGATTTGGTATCGAAGTTTTTTTTTGGCATTTTATCTTTCCTAAAGTTAATTACATTGTTAACTAACAAAAACTTTTTTTAAATGATTATGAAAGCTGAGAGTCTGGCGCAGTTTTTAAACTTACTTAGGAGCTATGAAACTACCTATTAAGATTTTAAATTTAAAGTTGAAATTTTAAGACCATAATTCACTGACCATAATTTTTTCACTTTGCACCATCGTTTTTTAAACTTCCACCATAGTTACAAAGACAAAGGTATTAGTCATTTAAGTACAATTCATGTGAATTGAGTTGCAAAAAAAATATCTCGGAAAAGAGTTATCCAATTTTTTTTATTAAATTTTTAAGTTGTTTAGGTCATTAATTCTCAAAATTTTAGTAAAAAATTCATAACTCGCAAACTATAAAAAATCGCGGAACATACATGGGGGGGTGTTTCGAATTCCCCAAAGGTGTTCTATCCCGGGACTACCGCTTGACACTACTTTTTGGGACACTCTGTATATCATATCGCGGTGCTCATGCTAGGGGGGCAGATCAGACGATATCCATCAAATAAATATTGTACAACAGTAGTAGAACAGAATAGTAATATGATACATTATTATTATATATGTATATGATACTTATTATTACTATCCAAAATTAGGGATTGAATACGGTACGGTATTTGATTGACTACAAAAACACTGCCTTGTTTTTGCGATAGATATAAAAATGATGAAAAATTCTACACGTATACAAAACACCACGGTTTTTGTATATTTGTTTCATTTAAAGTGATTAGTTTAATAATGTCTTTAAACATTTTCATATTTTTTTTCTTTTATTGAGCTATTATTAATTTTTCGAAACAATTTAAGTTGTATAAAATATTTAATTTTGACCTAGTGAGTTGAATTTTAACACAGGTGTTGTCTTTAAGTCGTACCTAGTCATGAAGGACTTTTACGTGTTCACATTTTGTACGTTTTACTTCTATCGCATATGAACCGCACATGTCCGTTTTCTTTTTCAAAATATTCTATACTTAAATGGTTTCGAAAAATAAATAATAGTTTAATAAAAGAAAAAAGAAACTTGAAAAAAATTACTCAGCTCAGGATCGAACGACCGATCAGTTGGTGTCGACCTTAAGACCGTTACCTTTACCGTTCGGCTATCCGGGTCTTATAGTAGATGATAAAATTACGGATCCCCAATCACAAGGTGCTACAGAAGTTTTTACTTCAAAATTAATAATACCCACCTATCTTATCCATCGCTCATAATTTAGTTTTCCTTTCTTTTGAATGCGTTCTTTTCTTTTTGGTATTTTGTTGGTTTTAAAAAATTTCGTTCTTGGTTTAAATTATATTATTCGGGTACATACCTACACTAATCATAGTTTTTTGTGCTAGTACTAGCACGCATGGTATATTTGATTTAACATCAGTAATCCTCATATCATACTCTCAAGGAATGGTTAATGTTAGATAAATAACTACCTTGCATGCTCTTTAGGGAATAAAATGTTTTGACCGACACACCCGAAACATGCAAGAAACACACACAAACACAAGCGCCACCCGTGACCAAGCGGGGTAAGGAGACAGCCAGAGGCGTCTCTAGCCCATGTGGCGCCCGTGTGCAAAATTATCTTAGCGTCCCCTAGTAAGCGTGTGATCACAATGGAATGGGTAAAAAGTACAAGTAAAAACAGATTAATCAAACTGTCAAATTTCACGTCGTGTGTGGCAAGTAGGGCTTCGTAGCGAGCGGCGCCGGCGTCGGCGCTCGGCGCCCCCTAGGACTTTGCGCCCGTGTGCAACGCACACCCTGCACCATAGGTAAAGACGCCTCTGGAAACAGCTACAAGTTACTTAGTTCCACACTCACCTTTGGCATTATTTGCATTTATAAACCTTATCATAATAAATAATGCTATTATAGGTCAATTTGGTCCATATGAACAAGACTTTGGATACGTGACGGTGCGAGAAGGAGCTCACATGTTCTACTGGCTGTTCTACACCACTGCCCCAGTTGCTCACTACACAGAAAGGCCATTGATCGTATGGCTACAAGGCGGGCCTGGCGGCTCATCCACTGGCCACGGCAATTTCGTGATGCTTGGCCCAATGGACCTAGCATTACAAGAGAGAAATCATACATGGGTAAATAACAACCGTTTTCCACAGTTTGTGCGCTTTACAAAGATCTTTGTATAGGCTCGAACTGACGATTTCCATGCCATCTTGTGGAGAAGATAGCGTACCTGATGTGTAAAGTGCGAGGCAGGAGGTAACACCAATTGGAGAGTAGTCGTGGGAGACACCATTGCATGCACCATTTTGGAGGCATTCAGTGCGAATGATGACTGAATTAGAAATTAATTATTCTTCCTGGTGTCGCGCTGAGTACCTGTAAGGTATATGACTTATTGATTTTCTTTATGTATTTAAATATGTGTTAAACTTTAGTGATGACTGTTATAAGCTACTAAAGCAACACGTAGTTATAAGTAATAATGTCTACTAATGTATGAATCTGTGTTGTATGCCAATAAAGATATTATTATTATGACGACCTCCGACGACGCCGACTCGAGAGGTCGCTCCCGAGTTCGAACCCCAGTGGGGTTTGTGTGATGAATACGAGCATTTGTACTCCAGTCATGGATGTTTAATATGTATTTCTGTTTAAATAAACTTATAGGTATATTGTACAGACAGTTTCTATATTCTATCCGTTACCCTAGTATCCCATAACACAAGTCTTACAGTGCTTACTTTGGGGCTAGGCTAATTGGTGTGAGTGTTGGAAATATTTATTATTATTATTTACTCTAATGGTTTTACGGCAATTTGTAAGACGATCTCTCACAATCGTATTTCGATAGTTAAATGATTTTGACGATAACTAATATTATAATAAATAGTCCCATTTCCGATCAATCGAAAACGCAGTGAGATTATCTAACTGTATCCTGCGTCCTGTCTATAAAGAGACGGCGTAATTTCCTACCCACTTCCACCAAAATTACCTTAGCTTAGACACTCCTGCTTCTTATTCTTGATTATGCTGTCTATGCTTGATTATGATGCCGTCTGCTATCTAGATCTCACGGAGGACCAGCTTGGTAAACTTGAGCGACTTCCGAATTTCTGTATTCGGTTCATATTTGGCCTGTGCCAATATGACCATGTTTCTCAATTTCATACACAGCTCAGTTGCTGCGCGCCTTCGCCGGAATACTCACATCTCCTTTTAATCCTTTGACCCAGCGCTATCTTAAGGAATGTTTTAACTTCCTTCACATTTTTAACGCATTATCCCTAAGGTCATCAGAAAATTTTGCTCTTATAACACCTGTGCATGGAACAACTTTTTATGGCCGCTCATTCGAAGCGCGAAGCTGTTCGCCTATGGAACTCGCTTCCAGTTTCTATAAGACGTGCAGAATCTCTACACAGATTATAAAAAACCTTCTCAGATCTCACTATCTGTACTTATAACTCTTCCATTGTATTTATTTCCTCTCACCGAATTAGAATAGGGTATTTGACAAGTTTTACAAAACGATCTCACGTTATTGACTAATGTTTATGGAGTCCCTAAAAAGTGGATATTCATCATTCTGTTTATTTCTGTGTATTTTAGTAAAAATAACCAAATCAAAATCTCCATTTTCAAGTTGCCGCGAAAACGTTTCTCTGGAAAATATTGCGTCTCACTGGTGTGTGACGTCATATGACTGTTATTTAAACGTCAAACGATGCAATGTAATGTCACTTTAACCGGAAGTTTATTTGCGTGTGACGTCATTTTAGGCTCCGCCAATCCCAAGCGTTTTGGGTCACGTGACAATAGATAAGAAAACTATTAACTTTTCGTGGGTTTTTTACTAAAATTATGAATATTTTTCTGTAAAAACAGTGAATACACCTGCCAATATTCATTCTTAATACAAATGCTAACAATTGGCACTTTATTTTTAATACTGTCAAATAACCTATTGTATATGGTATATATGTATGTATTTTTTTATATATATATATATATTTACCTATATATGTATCAGTGTATCCATGTATATCTATGTATTTCTGTAAGTATCCATATGTGTGTATTTAATATTTTTTTTTTAATTTTAATATTTCCGACACTCACACCAATTAGCCTAGCCCCAAAGTAAGCACTGTAAAGCTTGTGTTATGGGATGCTAGGGTAATGGATAGAATACATATACTGTACATATATAAGTATATTTATATAGAAATACATATTAAACATCCATGACTGGAGTACAAATGCTAGTATTCATCACACAAACATCTGCCCCCACCGGGATTCGAACCCGGGACCTCTCGAGTCGGCGACACCATGAAACCCGGCGTACAACCACTCGACCACGGAGGTCGTCGAATTTGTTATTTAAACTCGGTTTGCACAATGATTTTCTCGCGTATTATTGCAGTAAGTTACGTCGCCGTATTTCCAGCTTTTTTCTTGTCCTCTCCATCCCAACGTTGTCTAGAAGAGATCGTTCTTAGCGATAAAACCGTCCATTTTTACACTGTATCCAGCAAATAAGTACAATGTTTTATATTTTTTATGGTGAAAAATAAAGAGTTTTATTGTAATTATATTCACATACCGTGCGTGCATGCGTGGGGGGCTCGTAGCGAAAGGAAAAACAGAGTACACCAAACAATAACATGTACATTCTAACAACAGACGAAAAGAATTTCACCTGTGTATGTAGGTAGGTACCATAAATTAATAAATAATGTTTCAAAATAATGACCAAACCGGATACGCTACGGTTGTGGTTTGGGTTATTATTTTTGTCAAGGGCCACAATTCAAAGAGCGTCGCTTAGTTTTCACACTTGCCAGCTATGGGTTAACTTTAATCGTAACTCGTACCGTTTCATAAGAGTGCAATACAATGATGCTTTTCGTATTCTTATGAGACTGCCGAGATACTGTAGCGCATCGGGCATGCTTTCAGATGCTCGTATATCGGACTTTTATGCTGTTATGAGAAGACGTATAGCCTCTTTTTGGCACTAATATGTCTCTGATAACAGCATAATCAAAACTGTATGCAAAGGACTAGATAATCCTTTATTTAAATACTGGATTTCAGTGCACCAGAGTGAGAACCTAAAATGACGTAGGTAATATTATACTACCTGTTTTACTTTTACTGTTCTTTTATGAATTTATTTTATTTCATTTATTATTATTTTGTTTAGACTTTTGCTTTTCTGTCTTTTTTTAATATACACACCAATTAGCCTAGCCCCAAAGTAAGCACTATAAGGCTTGTGTTATGGGATGCTAGGGTACCCGATAGAATACATATATTGTACATATATAAGTATATTTATATATATATTTTTTTTATTTAATTATTTAATTAAGCAATATTACAATTATAATACATATTATAGTGCAAACAAAAAACAGAAAGGTTTATTCGTGCACTACATTCACCGCTGTACATCTAGTTACAATAAATAAATATAGGTTTTCACACTGTAGTAACTATTATTAAATAACAGTATTTTATAAAATAAGTGGGTATGTTGAAATAGTAAACATTGACATGATAATTAATTTGCGCTTGCATATGCAGGTCACAAAAGACGCACAAACCTATACCGGTTGGGTAATTTATTTTTTTCATGCTAGCATACAAGTCGTAATGCAGTTATCCTAGATAAAGGATGCTCCAATTATAATGATAAATACGACTTTTTTTAATGTTTTTATGTTATGTTCGTTGTAACGGTTATTTTAAATGAATTATTTTTAAGTTATTGATAAAGTAACTTTTTAATGTGCGTTTTATGTTTCCTTTATTTAGTGCGTTTTTTATTTCAAATGGTAACTTATTTACTAAATTTGGAACAATGAATTGTAATGTTCGTTGCCCATATAGGTTATTTGATTCTGGAATTAATAATTTATTATTTGCAACGCCTCGAGTTTACTTACTATGAGATGAAACCTTTTGAATATCAGTATTGAAGAATTGTTCTGTTAAGAAGTTATATTTAAATTTCTCCTGAACCGGCATCAATGAGCAGTAAGAGAACAATACGTGATAATTGTTTTTATATTCCTCCCTTACTTTACGAGGGACAATGGTTTTTAAAATGCGCATTTGGAGTTCATAGATGCGATGTAAATGTGATTTCGCAGTACGTCCATAACTACTCAGTCCATAAGAAATTATCGATTCCCCCAGTGATTTATATAAATATAACAATATAGGATAAGGAATTTTATGTTTAAGTATAGAAAACTTTGCAAGAAGTGCTCGTAATTTATCACACACGTGTTGAATATGATCGGCCTATGTCAACCGATCGTCAATGATTAGCCTGAGGTAAGTTTGACTTTTTACAACTTTCAGTGCGTCGCAGCAGCAATTAGTGTTAAAGTTATTGGTATGCAAGCAATTATGACTATGTGATACGAGTACTATAGGAGTTTCTTTTCTATTTTGACTAGTGCTAATATACATAACTTTCGTTTTACTGTCATTTAATACGTGTCCGTTATCATGGGACCATTTACAAAGTAGTGTAAAGTCAGTTTGCAACTTTTTAAGCGCCATGTTAACATCAAGGTCAGCAGCAAGCAAACAGGTATCGTCAGCAAATTGGTACATTTTGCAAGTTTTAATGACGTTTGTAAGATTATTCACATAAGTAATGTAGTGTAAGGGTCCCAATACTGATCCTTGTGCTGTCCCTTCCGGCAAATGAACTTTATTACTTATTGCATCATCCACCTTCACCGAGTATGTTCGGTTTTGTAAGTAGTTTTTACACCATTTCAATAAAGAACCACGCATCCCACTTTCCTCCAAACTGTTAGCGAGTATATCGTGACGAAGTGTATCGAACGCTTTGGAGTAATCAATAAATAAAATGATAACATGTCGTTTGCTATCTATATGTTTATTAACAGAATCCGTAAAGTCAGAAAGTAGTTGTGAAGTATTTTTTCCGGGTTGAAAGCCATACTGTTTTTGTGAAATTATATTATTTTTATTAAAAAACGTATATATTTGGTTACCAATATATTTTTCTACAATTTTGTCAATTGTGGGGAGGATCGTGATTGGCCTATAATTTTCATAGTTTTTATGACTACCCTTTTTATATATCGGTCGAACTATTCCTAACTTTAACTGGTCGGGATACTTTCCTGTGACTATGCTAGCGTTAATCAGCTTGGAAATAGCTGTAGTTATTTTATCACCTATGCTTTTTATATCTATTGCCCTTATACCATCAGATCCTGGTGCTTTATTTTTATTCACTTTTTTATAATATTATGTACATTATCTAATCGTGCTTTTTGATACTTCATTGTGACATTTTTGGGCATACTATACGTTGATCTGTCTAATAATCGAACATTACAATTTGATGAGAAGGACTTTACGCTTTGATTAAATGTCTGAGCAAAGTTGTTTGCTATGTCAATATTTTTACACGTACTGGTCTCAAATGCAGCAATTAATGCACTGTCAATGGATGTTTTAATTTTGCCGGTTAATCTATTTAATAGCTGCCATAGAAGTCGGGGATCTTTTTTATTTTCAGAAATTTCTTTTATTGTTAATTCATTTTTAGTTTTTTGTATTAATTTATTTGCGTAATTTCTTGCCTTATTATATTTTAGTCGTAATATTTTATTATTTGTGTCATTTTTTGTGTAAATCTATTTACCAAATCATCCTACGACATAAGCAATGCATACGTATCACATAGTGCATACTGCAAGCACTTACTCCGTAGGAGATTTACGTAGCCCTTTTTTTTTTTTTTTTTTTTTCATAACGCAGGTAAAAAATCTTTTTACAGACGACGGCGCCTTTAAGAGGCACACCGCCGAACGGACCTCACACCTGGCTCCCGCAAGTCTTACGGACCCCCCAGTGGCTACCCACCGAGGACCCCGCAATTCTTACGGGCGCTTTACAGCATAATATCCGCTAAAAAAGTCCTGCGAATACCTCTACACTGCTTAGTGCGGAGCCGCAGGGTCCCCGTTAGGGATTCTACCACGGCTCCGCCCCCAGCAGCTTCCCGGCCTTGCCGGGGCTCCACGGCAGGGGTCTCCCGCGGTATTACGGGGACCCCGCAGATGTGCGCAGGTAGGCCCGCGCGTGGGGGCTGGGTACGCGGCCTACTGCCCACCGTACCTCCCCCCATCCGCTGCGGAAGGGCTTCTTGGGCGTACCCGTCCAAGAACCCTCCACCGCCCCCCCTTTGTAGGACAAAACTACAAGTGGGGGGCTGCCGTTCCTGGGAGGGGGGAACGGGAGGGGAAGCGTAGTTCTTCCCGTCCCTCTCCCCCCTCCCGGTCGCCCGCGTCTCCTTGCGTCTTCTCCTAGGAGAAGAGGGGGAAGCGCGGGCGACAGCATTCGTGGGGGGTCCGAGCGGCCGAGGCTACTCGGACATCCCCCCCTCTGAGGGCGTCCGTACGGGCGCCGACGCCTCAGAGGGCCCTTTCTCGGGGGGTCTGCCCTTCGTGACCGGCGGTATGGTCAGCCGGCCGACCACTCGCCGCACACACCACGCATCGGGCCGGGGCGGCGCACGTCGCCGCCTTGTGCCCCGCTGCCCCACACCGGAAGCAGAGTGCGCTTCTTGGCCGGGCATCTTGCTGCCACGTGCCCCCTCTCCATGCACCGGAAAAAATGCATGCGCCGGCTGAGCACCTTTATTTGCGCCAGGCTCCAACCCACCTTAATTCTACTTCCTTCCGCCACTTTTCTGGCGGCCCATGCAGGACATCGGACAAGTGTCCCCCCCATGCCTCCCGGTCCCGGGTGGACTTCCCTCGCCGTCACCTCGGCGGTGGAGCAGCCCTCCTTCCTGACTACCGCCTCTATGATCTCCTCTAGGGTGAGGGACTCGTCTAACCCCGATATTCTCATTTCCGTGCTGATCTCGGGCCTACCAACTTCGGCGTACTCGTTGACAACCTCACCCATACGCCTGGCCAGGGCGTCAGCTTTCACCCTGCTATCTGGGCCCGAGACCAGCAGGAGCCTGGACCCCGTCTGGCTGGTCTTGATGACCAGGCCCTCCTCAATCCCTACGGACGGCAACTCGATAGCCGCCCGCGCCATCTCCACAATCTTGGTGTGGGTGAGGCCTAGCTCCTCCGCCCTAGGCTTCAACCTCACCTCCACCGCTGCAGTGCTCGGCACCCTTATTCTCTGCCCCCCAGCCTTCCCTGGAGCCGGTCCCCGTTTATTCTGTGTGGGCTCTCCTTTATGCGCAGGATCGGGATCGGCGGCTGTGCTCCCTACCTTCCTCTTCCCTCTCCTGGCTACCACGCTCCATGACTCCGCCGGTTCTGTTTGTTCCGTCCTTGTTGTGGTCCCCACCTCTCGCCGGTCCGCCGCTAACGGCGGTCTGAGCCTCTTCGGCGGCGGGAGCCTCTCCTCTAAGGAGGCCAGCCGAGTGCTGACCATCTCCCCTATGGATATCATAAGGGAGCGTTTCAGCTCCTCAACGGCCTCCAGCGGCACCAATTGTGTAGTTGGAGGAGGCGCAGGATGGGCTCTCCCCTCCATAGCTTTCCTCAGCGACGCCAGCTCCGCTCGCATGGTGTCGATCTCGGCCCTCATCTCCCGGTTCTCCTGTTTGATACGGAGGTTCTCCTCCTCTATCCCTTCCAGCCTCTCCGCCGCCTTTAGTTTGTTCATGGCCAGCTCCAGGAGATTCTTCGCCTCACGTGTCGGCTTCAGAAGATCCTCACTCAGATAGTTCTCGCGGATTATTATCTTCCCGTCCAGGATACGCAGGCGCATGTCGATCGCGCTACGGTACTCGTCCGCCGTGAGGTTGTCCACTTCACTCCACCGGATCTCTCCTTCTCCTGACGTGACCTCCGCAGGGGAAGCCGGGGGAGTTTGGCTCTTACCCTTCCCCTTCCGTGTCTTGCATATTTTGGGGGGCATCGGTCCCAGCCCATCCCATCCTCTCTATCTCCACCGCCTCTAAGGCGCAAAACGCCTATCTTAACTCCTCCTAACGCCTCGGTAACTAATTTACCACTGCGGGACCCGGTAATCCCGCAGCGCCGGTGGCCAGCCGGAGCGCATTGGCCGCTAGTTACAAACTTCTCACCCTGGGGCCCAGCTACCCCAGAGCGCCCGGCGTCAACGGGAGCGCATGACATACTACAAACAAAGGTCGACATTTTCATATAGTTTTCCCTCTTCCGGGCGAGGGAACCCTACCTGGCCTCTTCAACTGGTAATTTTTGAAAAGGTTTTCTTCCTTGCAGCCCCCGCCCCGAAGGACGGCGGCCCCCGGCCCCACACCACGTGCGGGGTTACGGGCTGGCCGGAGGCGACGCGGAGTTCGCGCCGCAACCGCCCTCACCAAATGGCGTTTCCGCCCCAACCAACAGAGTCTCGACTGCCGCTATCCGGGATGCCCAGGGTGCCAGCCGAGACCACCACCGGGTAATTTTTTAGAGAGGTTGTCTTCCTCGCAGCCCCCGCCTCCAAAGGAAACAGTTCCTTTGCAGACGGCGGCCCTCGGCCCCGCACTATGTGCAGGGTTACGAGTTTGACCCGACTGCCGCTACCCAGGATACCAAGGACGCCAGCCAGGTCTCCACAGCTGGGTATGGTCCACGCCGGCCGAAGCCGGTACCTCCCATCCGCCACCCGAGAGGACGCACCCGATAGCAGATCCAGCCACACTGCCACGGGTCCCCCCCCCCCCCCCCCCCCTAGAGTCCTAGATTCGCTAAGCTTGACACAGTATAACCTCCTTGCCTTAGTTTAGACAGCTCTCATTCCAAAGAATGCAGCCAAAGTCAACAGGAGAAACAACGCAGGTACTTACTACATAATAAACATTACAACTAGGTTTGAAACCCCAAAATTCTACGACTCTGGCAATAACACCAAGTCTCGAACACAAGCATCTTTAAACCCTAAACAGCACATTTTACGGACATGTTTTCATGCACAGATTAAAAATTTCAACGTGATATTCTTGGACAACCCTGTGGGCACAGGATTTAGCTACGTTGACGATCTCAGACTATTGACCACCACTAACGATCAAATTGGTAAGATCTTAAATTATTATATTTATTTTAAAAAAGGCTTACGCTCATGTCTCTCTTAAAAGGTTGTTAATCTACCGCCTTAAGTACAAAGTTGCTACTTGCTAGGGTAAGGGTACCAATGAACGAACCCTTAAGGCTTTTTGTAACTTAAAAAATTATAAGCACCTACTTCAGGATGGCTAGGCTGGGCCATATAAATGCTACTCTTTTTTATTGAAAATATATTCAAGTTTAATATAATATGAGTGTCACTCCAATAATGGATATAATTCACTATCCTATCACACGTTAAATACTTAACTGTTAGGGTATTGTATAGTGATGTAGCGAATGTTGGATTTTTCACATTCGCGAATGCGAATGAAAATATTTTAAAATTTCAAAAAAAGCGCCCGTAAAATGTTTAACAGGTTTGACATTTCGTGTCGGCCATGTTTAAATTGGACATAGCCGAGCCGATATTGGTTAATTGAATGAATTTAGTCACAGAAAGTTCATTCTATAAGTTTTGTTTTGAGGTTAGTTTTATGTTTTGAGTATTATGAGGTTACTTAATACATTAGATATTTAAAGTTTAATAATTTTGTTTCAAGTAATTGTTTAGTTTTTTAGTAAATAGAAACTGTAAACTTTATTTAAAAATGGTAGTTAAGTAATAATATACTACTAAATAAATGCAAACCTTACATAGTTGTAACAAGGCTGATTAATGTTAGATTTGATCAGATCTCTGAAGTTCTTTTTTCATAAATGAGACTTTAATTTATAATTTAGAAGTATGATTTAACAAAAATATCTAAGTGTTATTTATTGTATTATTATTTCATATGCATGCATATAATAATTTCCTTTTTGATTATTAAAAACATTAGCTAAATATTAGCATATTTTTTGCGAATGCGAACGCGAATATTGAAAAATATGCGAATATTCATTACATCACTAAGTATTGTAAAATACTGGGCAAATTTAAATATTCTAAACTCAAATTATTTCGAAAAATTAATAATAGCTTAATAAAAGAAAAAAAATAACATTTAAAAAAGTTACCGAGCTCAGGATCGAACCACCGATCAGTTGGTGTATACCCCAAAGACCGCTATCAAATGGCTATCGTTATTGTAATAGACAAAATTACGGATACCTATCGTGTGTCAAATACTCGATAATTTCGTTTCATCGAATCTCAAATCAAACGGTGTTAAAGAAGTTTTCACTTCAAAAATACTGTATTTTTTGGGAAAATCTGTAGTTTTCTAATTTTATTGTAAAAACTCACCTTTGTTTATTCACTGGTACACTTACCCTATGTTCCATTTTGCAGAGTTCAGAGATAAGCGCCATTCTCCCTTGCTACCCTATCAATAATTTGATAAGTAGTTTTATACAGCCATGTAAATATTGTCAATAAAATAAAATTATATGTATTATGTAATATTTATTCAGGAGCACACACTGACTGCCTTTTTCTATGTTCATTCCTTTCGCGGGCCTGCTGGAAGAAATTTCGTTACGAAATAAGCAGTGCCCTTGTACATGTCTCTTGTTTCTCTTTTTTCTTATATTTTATTGTGTGTGTACAAAATAAATAAATAACATTAATAATTAGATTTTATTGTAGTTTTGTTCACACTTCACAGCCTTAGATTTTGTCAATTTGATGAGGGGATTCTACGAAAAACACCCAGAGTTTGAAAGTGTCCCTTTCTATATTTATGGACAATCATATGGCGGAAAGATGGCTGTAGATATGGCTATTCGAATGGTGGAAGTAAGTAATTTGATATTATTACACTAAGTGCATTGCTAAACCTCTGACACACGCATTTGACCATATTTAGGGTTCCGTACCTCAGAAAGAAAAAACGGAGCTCTTATAGGATCACTCTGTATTCGTCTGTCTTGCCTTGCCTTATCTCGGGGACGCGTGACTCAAGTCTATGATTCCTTGACGCTGTGAAAATAATTCAACGCAAGTAGAAAAAGTAAGTCCATTGATAATGCGTATCCACCTCTTTTGTACGCAACCTTCGGTGGGCTAATCCGACTCGCACTAGTCTGATTTTTTATTTATATTTAGGGTTTCAGTAACTGTCCAACTCTTACGCTTACTCTTAAAGAAGTAGACCAGTCCAGGTTGGAATGAAATTAATACCTAATAATAATTAATATGTATAAACCAATGTATGTATGTGACCCATGTAAGTCACCCTGCGGTCGTTGTTGAGACCAATCATTCATCTAACTTCATCAATCATCAACAGCCTATCCTAGTCCGCTGCTGGACATAGGCCTCTCCAATTGCAAGCCACTTAGATCGATTTGGGGCTACTCACATCCAGCTCCTGCCAGCCACCTTGCGCAAATCGCCACTCCATCACAATCGTCGTTCATCTATGCCTAAGTATAAATATAAAAGCTGCAAGGAGCCTAGATATTTTCATAATAATACTCTTGGTCTGAGATGGTCAGATCGATATACAATAAAAATGACCATCAATAATCGGATTTTTGTTCAGTAAATAATCAAGTAATGTCGTCATCACAGGCACAAAGAGATAACACTATCCGATCGGACTTTCGTGGGTTTGCGATGGGCAATGCATGGATATCTCCAGTGGATGCCACCCTTACTTGGGCACCTTTACTCCTAGCCGCTGGGCTGGTGGATGACGCAGGCCACGATGCAATTCTGGCCGGCGCTAGAGAAGCAGAACGGTTATTTAATGCAGGCATGTACGTGCAATCGACAAATCAGTGGCGTCAAACGCAGTGGACTGTCTTCCAACGGACGACCAACGTCGATTTCTACAATATTTTAACTAAAATGCCCGTCTCTGGAACAAGGACCAGAAAGACACCTTACGGTAAATTACTTGACTTTTAACAAACGTAAATAAGTAGGTAAAGCAATACCGAAAGTTATTGAATAACGGTTCATCAATACGTAAATGTATCGCATTTTTTTCTTTTTCGGTAATATGTAAATTTACCATTTTATGAATTAATGTAATACAATACAAGTAACAATGAACCCATACTACATACAAGTATATACATACAATATAATACAAGTATGTTTCTAAAGATTTTTTTTTACTAGAAAAACATCCACTCGATCCAGGTTTGAGACGGGATTCGAATCCACATTTACCGGTATGCGCCTGGATAGTCAGTAACCCCGATATTTTCTTTAGATTTGAACAAACAGCAGTTAGATGCCATTAAAAATAATTATAATCAGCATATAATAGGAGAGTACGATAGAATAATAATACATATTATGTAATATAAGATACTAGCTGACCCAGCGAACTTCGTACCGCCCTAAAAAAATAGGGGTTGTCCAGCGGACAAAATTGTGAATCTAAACCATTCTCAGATCCCCTTGAACACACACAAAAAATTTCATCAAAATCGGTCCAGTCGTTTAAGAGAAGTTCAGTGACATACACACTCACAGAAGAATTATATATATAAAGATATGTCTGAGATGGAATCATAATAATGTTTTTGGTATTAGTGTTGGACTTGGATAAGTAGGTACAAGGCCTCTGTTTAGTTTAAGACTTTTACGTTTATTTTTAGAGTAATAATATTGTTTCAGAACTTTCTAGAGATATGCTGATACATAATATACCTTATATGTCGGATAATACAAGAGAAGTAGTAGATCTAAATACTTTGATGAATACTCAAGTGAAAAACGCTCTACATATTCCTGATCACGTCATCTGGGGTCAACAATCAAACGCAGTATTTAACACTTTGAGTGAAGATTTCATGAAACCAGTAACTGATGGAAGTAAGTACCTATATACCTAGTTACGTTTATTTGTCACAGTATAAACACATAATAGGAGGACTTAGAGAAAGTTTATTTTTAGAGTTCTGTACCTCAAAAGGAAAAGACGGAACCCTTATAAGATCACTTTGTTGTCCGTCTTCCTGTTAGTCTCACTGTTAAGACCCTTTATCTTGGGAACGCTTTGAGGTATCGGATTGAAATTTAAACCTTAAACTCTTCGAGGTATCGGATTGAAATTTAATTTCGAAATTTAAACCTTAAACTCAGATCTACGATCCTACCGTGCCGGACCTAATAACAAACTAACTTCTTCTATAGAAACTTTAACGGTGGCGATACGAATACGGCTATGTCAAAGTTCGTGCGTGGGGTACAGTTCCGCTTCACCAATTTGCGCTTTTCGAGATTAAATGGACGAGTTGGGTTAGGTAGGTAACTACTAAATATATCAAAATTACCCTAGATCTTCGCGTTTGGCCTTTATCACCACTTATCATCAGGTGGGGCAGAGTCATTTGCCTACCTCGCTATATAAAAAAAGATGTGGGTACCTATAATATTTAAAAAGTTGCCTTCATTTCACCAGGATCCCAACATCAGATCCGGTCCTGATAATCCTTTCCTTTACGAATAAAAATTTGCACTTTGAAGTTCAATATTTCGAAAACGGATCCCTAAATCGAAAAATAACTAAATATAAATAATAATACTAAGTAATTTCAAAAGATCTATTCAGGAGCTACATCAACAAAATATTTTTCAAAATTATGTTCATTTTGGCGGCGTGATAAATATACATATGTCCACAAAATTACAGATCTCTAGTGCATTAGCGCTTGGAGACTATTAAGTCTCCAAGCAAAACCGGGGAGACGGACAGATGGACATGATGAAACTATAAGGGTTCCTTGTTAGGACTACGAAACCCTAAAAACCCATTGGGGTAAACTATATAATGATTGGTCCCTTAAGTGGAATTCTTCATTTGTTTGTCTATTATAAATTCATTTACTACAGACAAAATATGAAGAAACAGAACAACAAACATTATCTTGCTTTCATTAACAAACGGTTATCAAAAAATACTTGCGTTATTTTTCATATTTCAAGAGTTTGAGATTTAAAAAAAATACGTTATTGCAGTTCTACTTAGCATTAAAAATAAAATCTTCTTTCAGTAAAATATCAAACCATCATATTATATTTAATTTACTTTCCCTCCGTGAGGCAAGGCTGTAAGACGTCCTGTATACATATAAGTACTCACCCATCATTCTTGTTTCAGTTGAAAAGATTTTAAACGAAACTGAATTAATTGTTACAAAATATAATGGCAATTTGGATCTCATATGTGATACTCCAGGTAAATATTATATACTTTATTAGTTTTTTTAATGAACTTATGAACTGGCGGCCTCACATAAAGTGGGAAAGAGCAAAGGATGAAAAAGAAGAGTGTATTATGCACTAGCAGGTGCACGCGGCTTTCCTTGTACAAAATAGGCACGTGGCTTTCCCTGTGTAAAATGTCGAATTTCCATATAATCCGTCATAGTATGCAAAATGTGAGGACCGCATTCGGTGTATGATTTTGAACTCATTAAAGCATGCAGATTATGAGTCTGAATGTTGCCAGAAGTCATATTGATTCATTTTTTTACTCTCCACCCCCTTAGACATCTAGTATATGGACTGAACACATGCTTTGGTATCATTATACCGATTGTTTAATAGCATGCATATTGCACACTCAACTACATCCAGCGCCTGGCCTATCATTCCGTGTTTCATACTCCCTTTCAGGTTTATTTCTATGACACAAATATGTTACTACGTAATTGTAATATGTGTGCTTCGAGTGCGTTGTAGGCTTTGGTACCATCGTGGTACCATCCAACTTATGTACCCTAATCCCCAAACCTAAAAAGTCAATAATGCGAAGATTGTTTTTGACATTTACAGTGTGTAACTAAAGAGAAAATTGCATATCCATCGATGTTTTTCAGATCAAGTATGGTAGTGGCGTTATAAGAAATCAGTAGTGGTACACTAAATAGCTCCGTGATTATCATTTTCATCTGACAAAAGCAGTTAGTGAGGCCTACCTCCTGGTAGCGAATATTTTAAGAAATGAGGAGCTGGCGAACATATCGGTATATGGTTCTGACCTTAAAATACTTTATCTTTACAGCCCCGAGGTATTGGGCCAGCTGAATTTGAATTTCAACTCATGTCAATCAAAACCGCCTAAAATAGTGTTGAAAATTCTAAATTAAAATACCTACACGCCAAAAGCTGACTGTAGATATTTTATTCAGTTTTTTACGGCTCCTGTATTAATTTGATGTAATTATACCACTAGTTCGCCAGCTCCTCAAATAATACATTAATTGAATTACCTACATACTTGTTATATAGTTCCCTTTTCTTTACTATTTATTACAAACCCTTTTAGTGTGTCTTGAGTACTTTGTGCATTCCGGTAGCTATTACATCTCATTTTTTCGTTCTTTAAGGTCAAATTTTATGGGTTGACCGCCTGAAATGGGAAGGGGCAGAAGCTTACAAGAACGCGACCCGCCATCCTATCTGGGTAGACAACAAACTAGAAGGTTATTATAAGGCTCAAGGGAATTTCAGATTCTTCTGGATTAATTACGCCGGCCACAGTGTAAGTGACCTCTGAACTGAAAAAAAGACAATAAAAATTATCCCCCTCCAAGAATTTGATAGAAGTTTAATGATTTCCGTTAAGTTTTAAGACAGTTTTAATTAGAAAAATACTTTTATAAAAGCCTTTAGTTAGAAGCCTCTCTCTGGAAACTCCATCGTGCTAAATTATCAAGCTCAGTTTTTTAGATTATAAAAGCTAATAAAACGTTTAAAATGTTTAGTCAAACAATGGGAAAATATTTTTTATACGAGTTCCAGAAGTACCTAGGTACTTTAAGAGTGAAAACCTAACCTTGACTTGACATGTCTAATTTGTGGGATAGGCGGGCAATGAATTTTCCATAGAAACGCTCTCGATTGATTTCTCCTTGTTTTTTAACACTTAAGATTTTCATACATAAAATACAATTTTACTCATTCTATGCTACTATGTCTTGCTTTTTGCATTAACCACTATTATTAAACACTTATTATTCTATGGGTAAAATGTATTTTACATACATATAATTTTCCACCAATGCGCGACAGCTAAAGTTTTTTCAAATACCAATTTGTCAAATGACTCTCAGCTCGCGTCCGCTCTTAAGAGGCTTGGTGTCTGTGAAAGCCAATCCACTTTATAATGCGATTCAAATAAAAATAGGAAAGCCAATGACCTCTATCCGTCATATGTCGCTTGAAAAGTACGGTTTGCAAAAAAAACTTGGAACCCTTTTTAGCGCTCCGCTATTTAAAGAATAAAAACCAAACATTTGTAAAGAAAAAATAACAAATATTGATAATTAATATCGCTTGATATTTTTTTTCACTTATTGAGATTTGGGCATGAATGGTTGATAACCTAAATCGTCAACCAAATGTCACTTTAAGTTGCGTTCAGAAACTCGATTTCAAACTTTCGTTTACATAAAGGATGCATGTTCGTATGTGACCATGATTATTCATAAATACTCCGGCGGTAATGCAGAGATGAGCGGAATAGAAGAGCTAGATTCTGATTAATGTTTTTTCTCACAGTCTTAATAAATAAATATTATTAAAAATCGGTGGTTTTTTTTTCTCTCAATCTTAAATAAATGTTATTAAATAAAAATTTATTTTGCTCACTCTACCTATTTGGTTTGAATTGACAGCTATGACATCACAATATGGCGCCCAGTCGGTCCTATTCTTAGTTGAATCGCATTATAGATCTAAACCTGTGTAGTAGGTGTCGATTATCTCTGTCGATAGTAAAGTGTTGTACCCACGTTGTAGGTACTTCTGAAGTAGTGATCTTAGTCGGCTTACGATATAAAGCAACACGCCGCTTGTCGGGCGTATTGCTTTAATTCAGAATGCCACTGATTAATAATAACTTAGAAAAAAATAATGCAAGTCCAAGAAAGGCTTCCTTTTCCTGACTATTGCCACTACACAGCTAGGTACTATTGCTCTCACTTTGCGAAATATAAATAAATTGCTTTGAGAAATGTTATGGTATGAATAATTATTGGTGTCGACTCTGGCATGATTCTCTAAACCTTTACTTCAATTTCAGAACAGTGTATCCTTGTTGACTCTCCTGAGATCGATGTTTTTAGTTTTAAGTTTGAAGAATAATGCAAGAATCGACACCATTATATAAATAAATATTTTTTAATGTTTAAGGTACCCGTTGACAATCCAGCTGGAACAAGCGCTTTCCTGCGAGACATGACCTCATTTGGATAAACAAATAATGTTAATAAAATCTGACATTATTTGTATTGTTAAATTGGTCATCTGTCGTATTTGTTATAATAATATATCATACTGGCAACACTGTACTAATCTGAGACCGACTATTCTTAATTAAAATTTCATCTATTGTAAAATGTAAGTGTGATAATTATTGGTGATTGTATAATCTTCGAAAATAAAACAAGTGACTATAACAATAACAAAAGTTTTTATTTTGATACTAGCTATGATAGCCGGCTTCGCTCGGGAGTTGATATGAGATTACGTGGTAGTTGAAATAAAATATGTATGTAAAGTAAAAAAAATATTGAAAACAATTTTTCATTATTTACACTACTTGTTTATAAACAACATTTTTCATTTTATTGTCCGGGGTATATATATATAATTTTTTCGAATTTCCTACTCTTGAGCAAGCTACTTATAGTTGACCGTGAGAGAGAGATGCAGGATTCTTTGAGGTTGATGCCACAATATTTTAAAGTTTGCCCTTGCGCTTTGTTAATTGTAAAACCAAAGGCTAATTTAATTGGAAACTTCAATCTTTTAAATTGAAATGGCAATTCAGAAGAGATTAGTGGTATTATGGGTATAAATACTGTGTTTCCTTTGTTCTTTCCAGAAATAAGTTCAGCTACAATGATATTATTTGAGAGCTGTTTTACGATCATCCTCGTTCCATTACATAGTTTTAGGGAGTTGAGATTTCTGAGTGGTATGATTGGAGATCCAATTTTCAGACGAAGGCAGTGTAATGGCATTCCTGGTAATTGTAAACAGTTAAGAAATTCAGTAGGGAAGTTGACACTTTCTTCAATGGATACCATCGTATCGATCGATTTATATATTTTCTCTTCACCAGGTGGCTCAAAATCACCAAGGTGGAAAATACTGAATTCTGTTTTATGATGCTATAGAGTAGAAGCTAAATATATTGATAATTACTCTAAATCATAACTAAACTTATGTTAAACTGTATTGATCTTGGCAGAGCATAGAATTAAATACTTTTCTTGAAATTTCAATTTTTAAGTGTGCTATCACTAAAATTAATCATTCGGGGAACGGTATTCGGAAGTTTATAATTAAATAAAAAAAAATATATATATTTCATTTTTATCCTTAACGATAACGGAGATACGTCGCCAATAGTACGAACTTAAAAAACTTTGACAAAATTTGGAATTAAAACGTTTTTAAGGACAATGTCGCTGTAAATTAAGCTATATGACTATTTCATGTTCTTAAATTTACAAAATAAGTGAATATCGCTCACTTGCATATAAATAAATCTGCGGTAGCTATAGGGATTCAGCCTGTTTCCAATATTATCAGACTTTATTCCTAAATAACTTATGTTATAATGGCATTTCTTTGATTTTAGAGGTGTTCCCCGAAATGATGAGGGCATTCATCAAATGACGATTTGCAGACAATTAGGGTTTAATTCACAGTTAAATTGAATAATAAGCCAAATTATAGGAAGTAATTGTTATTTATTTATTTGCTATAAGATTTATTCTTAACAAGAACTTAATTCTAACTCAATTAAATCACTTTTTTAGTTTCATAATTGATGACACAGCCAAGTAAAACTCTTGACGTCAGTGCTTTAACTGAACATGAAAGGAGGCGTTTCTGCTTCTTAATCCCGTTTTTCTTTACGAAATCTCTCTTGGCTGGACACACCCTACTGACATCATCTCTTTGGAAGAACTCTTTGACTTTTTCGCGAACTTCTTTATTCAAAAGAACTTCATGAATTTTGGCGTCAGATTTGAGAATAGTACTGGTTTTCTCTTTTGGCAAAAAACAATTAACCTTATGAAGCAATTTGTATTGCCTTACCATAATCCCGCTAACACATTTTTGAAAAACTACCCTCTCTTTGGATTTTTTTCTCAAATAAAAGATTTCACTTCGTTAAATAAAATATTCTTGCGCACTTCAGGAGGTACGTCAACGTTTTCTAACAATGCGTTAACTTTGCTATTGGGAGTTGTAGGGTTCTGAGACTTCACTTCTTTAAGTAAGCTGTACTGTTTTTCTTTATTTGCTTATTCGAACGGTTTTTTTCAGCTTTGTGAGACTCCATATTGCTGTAAAAATAAAGTTAGTATACCTATTGATAACTTTGTAAGCACGACATACACAAAATTGACAGTTAGTAATAGAAAGTACCAATTAGTAACTAAATAGTCATTTGGGGAACAACAACATCATTTAGAGAACGGTCCATCAAATCGGAGAACGTTCCCCAAATGATATTTTCAAATAACCGCGTCTTTTTTAAACGGCAGCCATATTTGACAGCAATTCTTGCTTCCTTAATGTAAAATATTTGTTTATAACATTTGTTATACAACACTATAAAAGCTATTATTGCATAATTTTGATTGGAAAACGCGTTCCCCAATTGACGACCTATTGATGTACGCTCTGTAAATAATGAATTGAAAGCCACTTACCACTTATTTTAATTTCATTTGGCGAACTACTTTCTTCACAGCCACTTTGTTTACAACTCTCTCTACAGCTGTTCCATAGACTAAAGAGGGATGCGTTCGAAATTTTTTGTTTCGCGTAATCAAAGCTGCGTTCACTAACATGATGCTTATATTGTCGGACATTATATTTAGACTTAGATTTTTTAAATTCATTTTTCTTCTTTAATAATGCTTTCAATAATGTAATATTAGATACAATTGAAGGTGAATGGGTATCAATAACCGTTAAAAATGTCTTATTTTATGACTATTTCTGGTGTTAGCTTTTAAGAATTGCTACTTAGGACGCGTTCTCCAAATGATTTTTTGTACTTATTTGTCCATATAAAATGTAATATATAAGACTTTTTAATTATTTTGTGTGATGTGTGGTTAAAGTAAACACAGTTAAGTGTTTACTAATGCTAAAATGTTAAAAAAAATACAGAATTTAGGCATTTATTTGCTGCCGAAGTGGATTTACCACCTTGGTGATTTTGAGCCAGGTATTTTCTTTTGCATATTAAAATTGAATTAAATTGATATCGTCAATAATATTATTTTTGTGGCCAAAATTGCTCTTTGAAGTAACCACTCTACGTTTGTATAGTTCTGAATAATATTTGGATAAATTTTGTCGATTAGTTCGTTTTCAGTAGTGGCTATGTTACAAAAATCACTATTGAGTTCAATGAGGCCGGTCGTTTGGTCAGTAGGATATGTACCTTTGCCTATTTGTAAAAGTATTTTAGCAAAATGTTGTTCATTCTGGTTCGTTGATTTTGTAAATGTGCTTCGTGCTCGTCTTCCGTTTCATTTCTTCGATATTCTTTTTGTTTCCGTCGTTTCGCTGCAGAACTACTAGTACGTTGAGACAAAGAAAAAAAATTATTTAAGGAAATTACAATTAAAAGAAAAAAAAAACCATTAGAATTAATTAAACACACTATTAAAAATACTCACACGTGATACTTCCAAATAAAGGCTCACAGATAACTTCTTTCTTTTTCGTTTCGAAATCGCTTGTTTCGCTGTACAAATCGAACTAACTCTGGCGGGCGACACCGGGCTCTTATATATTCAGAGAGCTAGGCTCCAGGATATTCGAGAAAGTTTTCTTTCTCACACCTTCTTGAAGTTCAAATACTCGACAACAGATGGCGCCACTACACTTAATTTCCAAGTTGAAGGATTGGAAAAGCCTTAATATCTTTAAGACACGCCCTTTAGGTTAAAACGGGAACTTTCTTGTTCGAGGGGGGAAGGGCTATCTCACTATATAAGTCCCTATATCGTGCCGGGACTAATTTTTAAGTTTTATCGGCACGCACATTTTATCAATTTAGTTTTATTATATAATATAGATGATTTTCTCAATTTAAAATTAAATTTAACATCTGTCTCTCCTTTTCATTCTGTACAGAAAATGACAAGCGTATTGTTAGAAACTGCTTGGTGACCTCAATCTTTACTAAATATTTTATATTTTTTTAAATTATGTTCAATTGTGATAGCTTTGATTGATGTCAACTTTATAAATAGTTAGTGTCTTCAACATCACGAACAATTGTATATTAAATTATTATATCAGGTTTTACTGCAAATACGCGTTTCATCAATAGTCCACGCTCGTCAGTTATCGGTATTCTGTTCTCAAAAAGTTAAGGTTTGGAAAACCATGCCAGATTCGACACCAGTACCTACCTATTTATTTTTTTAATAATCTGTTCTATTAATAAAATATAAGCACTGAAATCACCCACTATTTATAAAACTTGGATTGTGTAAAATTTTAATAAGAAATTTCAAAAAGGATTGCATTACTATAATTATCATTGTTATAAATTCGAGCCAATAAAGAAACGAATCGCAAATAACGATGTAAGTCATTCTGTCCCTCTCGCACATGCTATCCATAGTAATGTGCGAGAGACACGGAATATCTTGTGTCGGCATTTTCGATTCGTTTCTTTAATGGCACGAGTTATAATACACTTTTGCGTCCTTTGCGACCATTTTCGGATACATTACCTAATCTTCACCTTCAGATTCTACAACCAAACTGATCTAAAAAAAACTGAGTTTAATAGATCTAAATCATTATGAAAAAAATGACCCATACTCAACAAATTATTTTATTCACTGCAAAACTAAGAGATGTAATTCCTTAAAATATATGATATCCGAGACAAGCTTAAAAATAATACATGTATAGGATGATGCGTGAGTTTCTTGGTGTCAAATGAGTATACACTACGCGAAAAGAAGCGACACTTAAGCATGTGTGCTCGTAAAATAGCCCGCGGCTATGGGTGTCTGGAGGTGCGCGGGGGCGTTGCGCGGCGCGCGGGACGTGGAGAGGGCAGTCGCCGACTGCCTCGACCGAAGGCAATGGCAGTAGCGAAATAGTAAAATAATAGCGTTTCACTGCATTGCACGCACAGACTGACTACGCTACGCAATCTTATTATTATTTAGATAATAATAAGAATTATAAAACGAATCGAAAAAGTAGAAAATATATAAAAGTTAGCAATTTGTTATAGTACCTGTATTAAAAGATTAAAAATTGATTATAAAATCAAACCTATCCTTCATTATTTACCACAGTTTCCTTGAATCAGTTTACATTTAATAACTTACTATGCATGAATATGTATTGGCACAAGTCTAAATTTCAAGTTCAACCCTAGCGCATACACGCTCCTGCTCAAGGTCACTGACGCGTCCGCGCAGAAGAATATGTATGCGCAAGCGAAATATGTTTGTCCGCATGTCGACCAAAATATATATTTTACTTTACAATATAATATTAACATATTTAAACATGATATTTTTATATTACAATTTAATTATATACTTCATAAGGCATTACAATATATATTTTAAACTAACATAAATTATATAAAAAACAAATATTTAACTTTTACATAATAACTAACAAAATATAAATTATATTATGTAGGCACACTACACCACTCCCCTCCAGAGACCGTCCTACGGGCGATAATAGTCCGGAAACTTAACCCTACGACCAGAACGGGTAGTTTTAGCTGGAGTATCTACCGAATCAGGTGAGTTGTTATGTGTAGTGTTAAGTGTGGGTGAGTGCGAATGTGGTGTTTGTGTAAGATGAGGTGTAAGTGTTGTAGTGTCTGGATCGCGCAGAATGTATGCGGGTTTTACTCGGTCGATTGACACGGTGACCAGCTTACCATTTATTGCGAGTTTAAACACCTTATCGCCTCGTTCTAGAACCTCATGTGGTCCTGTGTACGCTGGTTTGAGGCAGCCGGCCCCTGCGTCATCACGAAGGAAGACGTGAGAAGCCGTGGCTAAATCTTTGAAGATGAAAGGAGACTTCTGGGAACCGTGACGTGAAGCTGGGGATGGTTGCAACTGTCTTGCGAATAAGTGAAGACGTCCCACATAATCCGACATATCTACAGTACTTTCCTCATCTGGTTGGAAAAAATCTCCTGGTAGGCGCAATGGTTCACCATAAACCAATTCAGCGGAAGATGATTTTAGGTCTTCTTTGTAGGTGCTGCGAACACCCAACAAAACCAGGGGAAGAGCCTCGACCCAATTGCTGCTAGAGTGGCAGGTTATGGCAGCTTTCATTTGCCTATGGAACCTTTCCACTAGTCCGTTGCATGAACGATGATAGGCAGTGGTTCGTCGGTGCTGAAATCCAGCAATATCTGATAAGCACTTAAAGAGTGCTGACTCAAATTGCCTACCACGATCAGTGTCAATTTTCGTGGGGCAACCAAACCGGGAAATCCATCCACTGAGCAGTGCTTTCGCGACCGTCTCTGCTGTAATGTCCTGTAAGGGTATTGCCTCAGGCCATCGTGTGAAACGATCAACGGCTGTGAGACAGTACCTGAACCCTTGAGAATTTGGCAGTGGTCAACCAGGTCTATGTGTATGTGCTTGAACCTGGCGGATGGTAGACTGTAACTGCCAACTGGTGACGAGACATGCCGTGTAACCTTGGATCTCTTCATATGGATACCAGGCCATATGAAGCGATCACTGACCAACTTGACCGAAGCCCTTGCACCTGGGTGACTTAGTGAATGGAGGCTATCAAACACTTGGCGGCGCATGTCTTTTGAGACATACGGACGCTTTTTGTTACCCCTTACATCACAAAACACCTCCAGGTTCTTACCAGGCAGTTTCACTTTTTCAAGGCAAAGAGAAGTGTTGTTCGAGTTTATGAGTATATCCAGCTCAGTATCCAAACTTTGCATGGTAGCTAACTTCTCCATGTCGATAGGCTGTATAATTTCATCAACACGAGAAAGTGTATCGGCCACCACGTTGTCCTTGCCTGAGATATGCCTGATGTCTGTAGAAAATTGGGCTATAAAGTCTAAATGCCGAAACTGCCTGGGTGAACAATTTTCTTTTCGGGAGTGAAAAGCAAATATAAGGGGCTTGTGATCAGTATAAATCATGCCTCGATCATATGCCGAAAGTGCTTAATAGCCTCATATATGGCCAAGAGATCGCGATCGTATGGCGAATATTTGGTCTGTGATGGTGATAACTTCCGCGAGAAGAATCCAAGCGGCTGCCAATCGTCACCTTTAGACTGCTGCAGTACTGCACCAATTGCGGTATCCGATGCGTCCGTGACCAAGGCCAACTTTCCCTTGCAATCCGGATGCACCAGCATTGTCGCCTGAGACAAGTCGTCTTTGCACGCTTCAAATGCGTTCATTTCAGCAGCAGACAGATGAACGGGGTGGGATCCTTTTACTGACCCGACTAGGAGGGCGTTCAAAGGTGCCTGATGTTGAGCTGCGTGGGGGATGAACCTGCGGTAAAAATTCACCATGCCAAGAAACCTACGTAACTCTCTAACAGTTTTGGGGACGGGAAAGCTCTTAATAACCGTCACCCTGTCTAGTAGTGGTTTGACACCAGCAGCAGACACGTGATAGCCCAGGAAAGTAACCTCAGAGGCGCCGAACGTACATTTAGTAGTGTTGATGACCATACCGTACTGTTTCAACCGGTGGAACACTTGGCGAAGGTGGTCTTCGTGGGTCTTCTGGTCTTTTGAGTAGACCAAGATATCGTCGATGTACGCATAGGTGAAGTCAAAGCCTCGCAGCATCTCATCGACGAAGCGCTGAAACGTCTGTCCGGCATTACGAAGTCCGAATGCCATATACGGAAATTCGTATAAGCCGAAGGGCGTTGTGATAGCGGTCTTCTCGACATCGCTGGGGTTTATGGGAACCTGATTATAGGCCTTCACTAGGTCCAGGGTTGAAAAGACCGTGCAACCAGAGAGGTTGTAATCAAAGTCCTGGATATGTCGGATGGAGTACCTGTCCGGGATGGTTCTGGCGTTCAGCATCCGGTAGTCACCGCATGGTCGCCAGCCGTCGCCTTTCTTCGGTGCCAGGTGTAGGGGAGAAGACCACGCAGACTCTGAAGGACGACAGGTGCCAATCTGCAACATGGCCTCGAACTCGGCCTTAGCAATCTTAAGCCGATCAGGTGCCAATCGACGAGGTGAGCAAGCTACAGGCGGTCCAGGTGTTGTGCGTATGTGGTGTACGGTGTTGTGTTTTGAGGTGTTATGCAAGCCAGAAGGGCGAGTGATGTCGGGATACTCAGCTAGTATGCGATGATAATTAGTATCACCAGATGCTACCTTAACTGAAAAAATATTAGCTGTTTTAGCAACAACGCTTTGCACCTCGGTTGTATTAGCATCTACTAAGCGTTTATTCCGAACGTCAACGATTAAATTATAATGGGACAAAAAATCAACACCTATTATTGCCCGCGTTACGTCTGCAATAATAAATCGCCAAGCATAGTCACGACGCAAGCCTATATTCAACACAAAACTTGCATAACCATACGTGTTTATTATTGTGCCATTTGCTGCGCAAAGTTTAAAATTGGTTTTGTGACTATGCTTGCTGACTAATTTTCTGGGGAAAACACAAATGTCACTGCCAGTATCTACTAAAAATTGTACTTTGGTACGAACATCCGTTACAAATAAGCGACCGGTATTTGGACAGGCGTCGGTCGCCATAACCGTCTGCCCTAAGCTTTTCCCGAAAAATCACAGGGTTTCACGCACTTACTTGCCTTACTCCCAAATTTGGCATGATTCCAGCACAACGGAAATTTCCTATAGTTCGACTGGGAGCGGGTAGACCGAGAATTTTCGCGGGATCGGCTGTTGGTGGTATATCTTCCTCGGGACCGGGGCCGTGACATCCTCTCGACCTTAGACTGCAGCGACTGGACCTGCCGTGTGAGTTCCGCAATCTGGCTGGACAGCTCGGTGGAACTTCCAGGTCGAACCGAGGCGGCTGCGACTTGGGGATTGGGCGGGACGATGTCTTGCACTCTGTCCGCCAGCTCTGCTACTTCTTCCAGGGACGCCTTTGATTGGGACGCAATAATAGATTGCGTGCTGCTGGGTAACCGGCTCGTCCAGATGGTCTTCAAAAATTCCTCTGGGACATCAGGGCCTGCTAGGTGTTGGAGGTGGCGAAGGAACTGGGAAAGTTTCCTGTCCCCTAATTCCTCGTGGACCAGGAGCTGCTTCACCTTCTTTTCCCTCTACGCAGACAACCGTTTGATCAGCTCCGCTTTCAACCGCTTATATTTATTGGGTCCTGCCGGTGCTGATATTATGTCTTCCACCTCTGACGCGTAGACGGGATCGAGCTGGCTGATCGCGTAGTGGAACTTTGTAGTGTCTGTGGTAATACTCGCCAGATAAAATTGACTTTCCAGTTGTGCAAACCACAACGCCGGTTTCTCTGGATAAAACGGAGGTATTCTCACACTCACTCGGTTTACGACGCTCTTTGGATTCGAATTTACGCCAACGGTCTTGTTCTCTGAATCACTCATGATTGTGCTCAGTCGGGGTCACCAGTTATAAGATGATGCGTGACTTTCTTGGTGTCAAATGAGTGCAACACAGTTGAATGTACTCACGGTTTATTGTTTATACAATATAATCCTAATAAAATATGCAAACACTATTGATGCAATAGGCTAGTTGACCCTTTTTGGAAAAAGGTTTTAAATGGTGAATAAATGTTCTATTAGACCGAAAAAAAATGAATTGTATTTTTTTGAGACCTAAAAAGCTACAAATCTTTAATTTTAAAATAGATTTTTCATGGACATACAAAAACGCTGTCGGCCATTTTAGTCTATAGATTATCTATGCTATGACGTTAACTGCAGTAAACAAAAACTCGTAAGCACGTAGAAAATAACTTATACATGATTTCTAATAAATACCACGAAAAATAAAGTAATTATCATTATTGTATTGTATGAGAATATAAAAAACACATCCTTTATGACTCCAGGAAAGTTGTATTAAAGTGCCGAAAGAAATTAACGTACGCAACTTTATTACACTTATTCATATGTTGTATCAGTTTTATGTTTATTGCTACAATGGTATCGATTCTGGCGTGATTCTTTAAACTTAAAACTAAATTTAACATCAGTCTCTCCTTTTCATTCTGTGTAGAGAATGACAGGGATGCACTGTTGTCAATTTTAAGTTTAGCTTTAGAGAATCATGCCAGAATCGACATCATTGTAATACTAAATACACTGTACTTACATAGATGTCTTGTCGTTTCGAGAGCAGAAATCGGGGTTTAGTGCAATAAATTCACCAACCATCAATGCGTCAATTCTTGGCAGATTTGTGCTTTCTGATTTCACAAAGCCGGCATCCATAATTAGTTATTTCAAAAAAAAAAAACAGTAAACGGAAACTTTTCTAAAGTTAAAAGTGTTTTAAGATAAATTTAGTCAGACGAAAGAATCCACCCACAGTAACACGCGAATGACATTTAGTTGTTTACCATAAGAGACGTCACAATCATGGCGGATGTGGCAAGCAGCGTTTTTAGTGTTTAAAAAATATAAGACTAAAAAATATTTTTTTAAATTAAATTTCTACAGCAATCTTCTGCTTTTATGAAGTGAAATCGATATATTTAGGTTCCTTAGACCAAATACTTTAAGAAATAAACATTTATATAATACAATTCGACATGAGTCAACTAGCCTATTGCAGAAGGGCACAATGAGTGAACACGGAGATTACACAGCGCATTAACTATTACTACTAGCTTAACAGTTTTCATTCAAGCTTAGCAAGACGTAGATAAGTAGTCGAAATCGTTAGTTGCGGTAATAGAACAAGCGACACGCATACAACGCAGAGGCTAAGATCCGACTGCCGTGGCCGCGCAGGAACAAGTGGTGCGGAGGCCCCGCCCACTGAGACCGGTTAGATTCAATCGGCCGCTGCCTGCGTCCGCGCAGAAGATTATGTATGCGCAAACGAAATATGTTTGTCCGCATGTCGACCAAAATATATATTTTACTTTACAATATAATATTAACATATTTAAACATGATATTTTTATATTACAATTTAATTATATACTTTATAAGGCATTACAATATATATTTTAAACTAACATAAATTATACAAAAAACAAATATTTAACTTTTACATAATAACTAACAAAATATAAATTATATTATGTAGGCACACTACACATGTAACACCCGTTACGTAACGGGTGTTACAATTTATTTTTGCAAAAATATAACATACAGAGATTAGCATAAAGCAAGAAATAAAGCATATAAGATTATAATCGTAGCTTTACTTTCTTATAACCATACTATTGTCGTCACAATACAGCAGAAGATATGCAAACTTATTCACCTTTTCTGTAATGGGTGTTACAGTGATTAGTCCCAAAAGAACCCTCAAAAACTAACACTTTAAGGGTGAGGGAGGGAGGAGGTATCGCGAATGGTCTGCATACTGGGATGACTCCTCACAGTTCAAAGGGAAACATTATAGGAGTCCACAACCTTTTCTTCCCTCTAAGCCGTGTAAGTTCGATAAAGTCTCCACTTCTACCATTATTCGCTTGCGTCTTGATCACATATGCTACCTCGTCTTCTTAAAGAAAATTAGGGTTAGGGACCACTCGTTATGCGAATGTGATCTTGACGAAGTAAACGTTGATCACATATTTTTCAACTGCCCTAAAAATACCATCTCCCTTTATGATAAAAAAAAATATATAGCCTAAAAATATCCCCCGCCTTGTGAATGTAAACTACTTCCTAACCATGGTGGACTCTTCCTTCATCCAAGTCCTTACCAACTATATACACATCTATAAAATTAAACTGTAAATTTTAAACATCCATGGCTTACTAATGCTTATATCTATAACCGTTGTGTTTGTTATTGTGACGTCTATAACCTTTTTATTTAACCCTTTTAAGTCATTCAACCGGCCAATAATGGAAGATGCGTAAAACTGCAAAAACAAACTGATCATCTGTAGTGCTCCAACCTGACATTGGCAGAATTGTCCAGGCAGAGAACAGCCAGCCTTTACAAAATAGAATAGAATACATAAAAGCGAGTAGGAGTAACAATAAAAGCCTTAAAATTGTAACTTTCACTTCTATCAACCATGGTGCAAACATGCACGCAATCTTGTTTGCCCTAAATGCTAGGGCCCTACACTCCCTCTTAATGTCAAAGATCCACCGACACAATATGCCCCAGGTAGGCCCTTTTTAGAGCTGCGCCATTAAGCCTAAAAGGCGGAATATGTACCGGTGCAATTCTACCACTTTTAAAAATAAGCATCTCACTCATCAACGAGTTGTAACACAGGCCGTGCTCCATTGCAAATGCCTCACAAATCGCAATTAGTTTGCGCATTGACCCGATCGACGGGCCCAGCAGCACCATGTCCTCAGCTTAACTTATATTATTGACACGGATTCCGTCTATTGTACGTCCAGTATGAGTGCTGCTGAGGTCGCCGATGAGATCATCGACATATAGGTTAAACAAAGGAGAGGTGATCCCACCCTGCCGCACACCACACTCCATACCAAACGGTCAGAAATTTCCCCTGCCCACTTGACTTGATTTCGCTGTCCAATATACTAATCTACTATATATTATTTCCTAAGAAGGAAAATAACCACCGAATACACTCGCCCCCTGAGTTTTTTCCAGAGCTTTTCATACACTACTGTATCATTAGCCCTATATAGGACTGGAAAGCACGCATAAACCTATGTGCCTCTCGCCGTGTAGTACCTGGCAGCCTGCTTGATACATTATCGCATTCTCCGTTGATAGCCCAGTCCGAAAGCCGAACTGAGCGTCATGCAGTTTAACATACTGTAACATCTCGAATGCCGATCATACTTTATTCTCTGTGAGAATGTAAAATGTTTAATTAACACTAACATTCTAAATAAGCAATAATGATTATCAGCAAATTAATATTTTTATCAATGTTGATAGTAGATACCTATTTAAGAAGATAAACGTTGAATATTAAGTATATTATCAATTTATTGATCCAAATGCCGTAGGACAACTTCATACTTTTCAGTTTGCTAGTTGGTATTTTTTATTTTATTTTACCATGAAAAAATCACTAATAATAACCGTTTCAGTTGCTGCTGCTGTTGTTGCAGCAACGGGGCTTGCAGTGTTGATCTGGTGGTTAGTCACAAACAGTGAAGTTACCGGAGACCGATATGAAACCATAGGTGAGAATTTTCCATACAACTTAATTGTAAATTAGAAATCTAAAAGTTGAAAGTTATTTATCTACCTCTTTGTCAAGTCTTTAGGTTTGATGAGTAGCTAAGTGATAATATAGTGTATCTTGTATACTCGACTCGGACTTTAGCTAGAACTTAATCGCTAATCACCACTAAGCCATAAAGAAAAATTATATATTCTCTTAAACTGATGTCACACGTGGCTATGAAATTGTTGTTCAAAAGTTACTTTATTTATTTACAGTGTTGGAAGGAAACGGTTTTGGAGATATCCGTCATCAGGCAGCGTTTACTAGAATCGCAGGAAGCGGTGACATCTTCTGGTGGTTCTACCCTACATTAGCCGAGGATCCTACGTTGAAACCGATTGTACTCTGGTTGGATGGAGTCACTGGACTACCTCCCAGTCTTTTAGCAAATTTTGGAATGTTTGGACCCTTCGACTTCAATTTAAACCGCAGAAACAACTCCTGGGTATGTATTACGATAAACGTGGCCGAGTGGTATGTACGCCGGTTTCAAGGTGTCGCCTACTCGAGAGGTCCCGGGTTCGAATCCCAGGGGGGGGGGGGGGGGCAGATGCAGGTGTTTGTGTTATGAATACGACTATTTGTACTTCAGTCATGGATGTTTAATATCTATTTCCATATGTGTATGTATACTTATATATTTATCAGTATATGTATTCTATCCGTTACCCTAGCATCCCATAACACAAGCCTACAGTTCTAACTGAGGGGCTAGGCTAATTGGAGCGTTAAAAATATTTATTATTATTATCAATATATAACAGCAGATTAAACAAAAGACTGAAATAGGTATCTGCTACGTCGTTATATTTAAACATCACTCTGTCATAGTCACGACGACATGTATCTGTGACGCTACCTCATATTAAGTCTAATTTCATAACTTTATGTACACTATCGAACAAATTTATTCCTGACCTTCTTATAACAGGGAAATTGTGTTAATATGAATCAAAGATCTTTGAAAGGAGATGGTTCAAAAGGTGGTAGTCGGATTCCGGTCGCGACGAAACATATTTGAAAGCTTGTTTTATATTAAAACATGAACAGATACTTGAAACTTTTTATTTATCCCCGATTTATTTTAAATCGTGTTTAAATATTTAACTATTTTGTAAGAACGCTGGCCATCCTGTCATTTATTTATTTATTTTTTGGAAGACCAACAGCTATTAATAAAAATAATAAAAACTTAAATAACAACAGAAAGCCAATTACAGGTCTTCACCAATAAAGACACACTAAAACATAATTAGGCACACTTTTAACATAATAATAACAAAAAAATAAGCATTGCACAATTGCCTATTCGTCGAAAAATGCACTGCTCAATACCCGCCACAGTGATGGAACGCTAACAAATCAATACCAGTTTTCTCAGATACAACATTAAAACTATTACCTGCACGCAGAAGATATGAATTCTGTCTAAAGTTTGAGGTTGCCTGTGGAACGCATATAACGGGATTAAATCTCAATGGTTTTTTTTTAGCCCTAAGGGAAATCCTAGACAGTAGTGCTGGGCAGTCGATAGCATCAGAAGCTATTTTTAATAAAAATACTAAATCTGCAATTTGGCGGCGTTTTTGCAGTGGTAACAAGTGGTGTACAAAAATATAAATATTGGTTTGAATCGCAGTGCTCTTTGGTGCGAAAACAGAGATATTGATGAGACATTGATGATGAGATGTTTTCAATTCGCGTTATATATGTAAGATACAGAGGGTTCCAGACCTGGGACGCATACTCCAGATGGCTTCGAACAAATGAACAATATAAAATCTTCAATGTTTTTGCATTTTTGAAGTCTCTGGAATTACGCATCACAAATCCAAGAGCCCTGGAAGCTTTACTAATGATATTATCTATATGAGCGTCAAATAAGAGCTTATTGTCATGAAGGACACCAAGGTCCTTTGCGACAGTATCACGTTGCAATGTTGAGCCTCTTAATTTATAATCAAAAAGTATCAAATTTTGTTTACGACTATAAGTGACAACAATACACTTTGACGGATTAAGATCTAAATGGTTCTCAACACAATAAATTTCAAGTCTGTTAAGGTCCTCCTGCAACGAAATAGCGTCAGCGATAGAAGATATAGGTGCAATTATCTTCATATCATCTGCAAAGCATAAGAGTTGTGATGTGTTGAAGCACATCTCAATGTCATTCACAAAAACTGCAAATAATAGAGGTCCGAGCAGAGATCCTTGAGGAACTCCGCTGAGCACTGTGAGCCAGCTGGAGATGTAGTTTTTCACTACAACAGCCTGGGATCGATTGTTAATATATGAAGTTAACCATCTGAGCAAGTCACCACTGACGCCGATCTTCTCCAGTTTATGCACCAGTAGGTCTGGCCGAATTCGATTGAAAGCTTTGCTATAGTCAGTGTATACGACATCGACTTGGAAGCCATTATCCATAGACGAGGTGAGCGATTCATTAAGCAGAGTCAAGTTGGATGCTACAGAACGTCCTCTCAAAAAACCATGCTGAGTGGGGCTGAAGGAATGCTTAAGAGCTGAGTATAGCTGCTCATACACAATCTTCTCAAGAACCTTTGAGACTATACAAAGTTTGGAGATTGGTCGGTAATTGGTTATGTCAATCCTGGATCCTTTCTTGTGGACAGGTGTGATAAAAGCACGTTTCCACAACCTTGGTACAATACCTTCAACCAATGATTTTTCAAAAAGGATAGCTAATGGAACTGCAATAGTTTTAGCGCAAGATATAAGGAACTGAGCTGGTAATAAATCTGGACCGGATGACTTGAATGGATCCAGTGTCGAAAGAAGCTTCGCCACATTTTGAACATCAATTTCAATATTTGTTATATTCGTGACGGTGATATTAGAACCAGAAGAATAAACGTTCGATTGAACGGTGGGACAGTTCAAAAAATTTGAATGAAAATAATTAGAAAAAGCATTACTGATCGAATTTCCTGTATTGAGAATAACATCACCATGTCTCATACTGCTAGGAATATTATTCGTATCCGATTTAGACTTAATAAAAGACCAAAATAATTTTGGGTTATCCTTTAAAGAACTCTCAACAGACTTAATGTAGTCAGAGTAGCATTGCCTATCCATTGCCCTACACCGATCTCTAAGCAATTTAAATGTTAATTCGTCAGCGAGGTTCCCGTATGTGTTGAACTTTTTCATTTATTTATATTTCTCTTTAATGGCCTTTTTCAAAGCAGAAGAGTACCACTTTGGATAACGGCCAGCAGTGACTTTTTTTACTGGGTATATACTTATCCCTCAACTTAAAAAATATGGTATAAAAGTAATCAACAGCACCTTCAAGAGATCTGGACGTCAGTTCAGACTGCCAGTCTACTTTTAAAATCTCCGAATTAATTGCCTCATAATTACCCTTATTAAAGAGATACTTAACAAACGGGGCATCAGCCAAACAAATAGTGTTAGAAAACTGTAGGTCAATAGTCATGGCCCCGTGATGCAAATCGATCGGCACTAGGGGATCCTCACTGCAGTCCGTGACCCGAACATAATCATTGGATAGAACCAAGTCTAGAATTCTACCATATGTATTTTTTATTCCATTGTATTGGGTAAGGCCAAGGGTATTTAACTCATCCACCAAAAATTTTTCATCATCAGAGTAATAATTGGATGGGTCAAAGGGTATGAGGGTAGGGTATATGGGTATGATACAATGGATACTACGCCTCAGGAAGCTGCCCAAGCCGTCGCATTACTTCAATCGGGCCTTAGTCAACGTAGGAATAAGTCGCTCTTCGGTACAGCGTGTCTACAGAAGATATCAGGAGACCGGAGCCTTTGTCCGACGCCCTGGAACTGGCCGACCGAGAGCCACAACCTCTACTGATGATCGATACATTAATTTTGAGAAATCGACATCTCAATGCAGTGCAGGTACACAGCAACGGATTCGTGATGAACGCGGAACTGTCATAAGCGCGCGTACAGTCAGAAGAAGATTGGCCGAACGAAATCTAAAGCCTCGGAGGGCTGCAACCGGTCCAAAATTAACAGTGGCTCATCGCAGACTACGTCTTCAATTTGCCCATGAACATAGGGAATGGACACTTGATCAATGGGGGCATATCTTTTTTCTGATGAAACCAGGGTATCCTTATACGGAAGTGATCGAAGACGGTGAGTCTACCGGCGCCCTGGAGAACGTTATGCTCAGTGCTGCATCGAAGAAACGGTTGCATATGGCGGTGGCTCCATTATGGTGTGGGGAGGCATTTCCCTAACAGCACGAACAGAGCTGGTTTTCATCGAATCCAACGCTCAGTCACGTGGTTTGACAGCAGATCGGTATATTGGTGACATTCTTGAAAACGTTGTCGTGCCTTACTCAAATTATATCGGGGACGACATGCTTCTAATGCATGATAATGCAAGACCTCATACTGCAAGAATCGTTACACAATATCTTAGGGACGTTGGTATTCGCACAATGGCTTGACCAGCACGAAGCCCTGACTTAATCCTATTGAACATCTTTGGGATAAGTTAAAACGTAGAGTGCGAGCCAGAACTCCGGCGCCTTCATCACTATCTGAGCTCAGAGTAGTGATAACCGAAGAATGGGACGGCATCCCACAAGATTTTATTGTTAAGTTGATAAGATCAATGGGTTCAAGGATGCAAGCAGTTGTCCAAGCTAGAGGAGGTAATACACATTACTGAAGCATGAAGCACTGAAGCAGTTTTGTTCGGTATTTTGAAGTTTATTATTGTTATTTCATCATCAGCCTATTAATGTCCCCACTGCTGGGGCACAGGCTTCCCTATGGATGGAATAGGGAGATTGGGCCATGACCCACCACGCGGGCCCAGTGCGGGTTGGTGGGTGCTAACGACTGCAGATGCAGCCGGGACCAACGGCTTAACGTGCCTTCCGAAACACGGAGGAGCTCGAGATAGTAAATTATGGTCACCCATCCAATGACCGACCACTGCGAAAGTTGCTTAAATTCAACGATCGCTGCGGAACGCGCTAACCACTTGCGCCATCGAGCTCCTTATTGTTATTTGGCTTAAACAAATTTAAAAAAAAATATGTTACAAATGGCCGTTCTTGTTCACTTTTTGTTCTACGGTCAACAACTCGGCAGATATTTTGTTCTCCTTTACAATCATCTCTCAAAATATATCTTATATAATAACCTATCTAACAATACCACTTTATAAAAAAATGCGTTTATACATTCGAAGAATATTGCATTTGAACTCGAGGATTGCTTTCGGTTTATTTGACCGCCAGTGTATTACACCTGAATTTGTAAAAGCTAAATTACTGGTTCAAGAGTGTAATTGTGCAATACCCTGACCTGACCCTCGAACGTGGGCAATCCCAATATTTATTAAAACTAGTGGCCCGCCCTCACTTCACTTCGGTGTAGAGCTGTAATGTAGACTACAGTGTTCGATGTCAGGTTTATTTATTTATTTTTATTTATTTATTTATAAGCAGGCTACATAGGCCCATCGATAAATAACTTATAGTCTAACATAATTAAATACAGATACACAATTATATTTATACACAATGACTGACGTGGTCTTTAAATACCTAATTACTATAGGTACGCGCCGCTGGCACCCCGACTGATTCTGCCAGAACCACGATGTCCCTGCATTTTTAACCGACTTCAAAAAAGGAGGAGGTTCTATATTCGACTGTATTTTTTTTAGTGTATGTTCACCGATTTCTCCGTCAATTGTGGACCGATTTCCAAATTTCTTTTTTTATTCGAAAGAGTGCACCTCCTAGGTGGTCCCATTAAAACCAAGTCAGGATCTAATGGTGGAATCTGGAGAAATCGAGGGAAACCTTCAAATTTCAAAGGCACGCACGATGTTTTTACCCGGCTGCGCAATGCAAGAGCGCGAAGCGCGACGCGCAGACAGGGTTATGTGTTTAACAGTCTATATATATGTATGTTTGTTCCTTTGTGGCACACTAGAGACCAAACGCCTGGACCGATTTTGATGATTTATACATCAATCGATTCGTCTCAATCATGGGAGTGCTACTAAAGATATGATAGTAATCAAAATTCAATATGGGCAAAATTAGGCGCCATATTGTGACGAAGTAAAAAAAATAAGTTGACAAAATATGTCGAGTGGGGTATCACTGTCCAGATAATCAAAAATCATATTTAGGTTTCTAACACCATTTTTCATTTTATATGATTGTTTAGGATCTACAACGCTTTAAAGTTGTATATTAACCACTTACGCTTTTAATTTCAATCTTACGTTTGTATAGATCTTTGTTACTCTTTCACCTTAAAAAATACTGAATGGATTTTGATGAAACTAAACAGTAATATAGCTCATATATGATAATTTATGTAGTTATTGAGTGAACTGGGCAATATATAACAATAAGTGTCACATAAGACGGAAAAAAATCTCCCATCTGGGAGCCATTTTGGCCTGCACTGCAAAAACAATAAAAGTTACATTAATTTAATATAGAGTGAAAATGTATCTCTTAAATAGTTCTAAAAAAAAGTCCGTGACACCATATATCTATTTTTAATGTGTAAGTCATTACCGCTAAAATAGTGAATCAAAACTAAAATATTATTTGATATCTATTTCCAAAATGCACATTTTGTATTAACAAATCATTTTTTATCAAAACAAATACTTTTATCGCTTTTGATATTTAAAGACGATAAACTTTGATTTTTACACTATGTCATTTCGACAAATATTTAAAAAGTTACAACGATGACAAAGTGATAGCGCGGTGTACTGTGTAAAAGAAAAAAAATGGGGTATTCGCAGTATCTGATCCTATACGAAGTACTAACTAATTATTGAATTTTAATGAAAAACTCAGAATTTTACTGTTTTTCATTTATTTTAACGATATTACTCAATGTTACAAAAAAGGTTTACTTAATATAATGACAAAAAACCCATTTTTCGCTAGTAAGTACATACTTATTGGAATCCCTGTATTTATTAATCAGCTCGCGATAATATTGTTTTTGTAATAATTCTGCAAAATTCAAAGTAAATAATGTAGATTTTTATAGGTAAATCACCCCTTTCATCACCCTACGCCATAAGTATTGCGATGTTGTAGCTAAGAACCAAGTTCCCATCTACTTCTATATGGGAATTCATTATATTCGGTTTAGCTATTAGGGCACAGAAGCGCAAGAAACAAACTCACTTTCGCATCCATAATATTATATTATACTTACTAGTGATCCACCCGGGCATTGTACGTGCGAAATTTATTTATCGGGATAAAATATAGCCTATGTCACTCGGACAAAATGTATTTAAATAAATAAAAATGTTATAATAAATAATGTAGCTACCTTATGTTTAATATTTGAAACCGGTTTAGTAGTTTGACAGATTATTTGTTACAAACATACAAATCTTGCCTCTTTATAATATTAGTATAGATAGTTAAAATAAGATAAGTATTTAATTGATGAAAAAGATTTAAAAAACCAAGTAAGCAATACGTTTATTTCATTATATTTGTAAAAGTTACTTAGCATTTGTGCTTAACAGTGATACGTTATTCGGATTTTTTTTAAACAAAAACTTATTGGAAAATAATTGCCATGATTGCACTACTGGGAGTACTCTTCATTCGAGCTTTACACTACCAATAAAAAAGGGTCGAACACAAAGTCTTTGACCTGTTAAATGTGAACGCTTTAAAAGAAAACTACAAAGAGAACTCTAAATTGATAATAAATTAGATTGCTATGGTGCTCTACCTAACGTTATGAAAATTTTATTATGCGCCTTAAGTTTAATAAAATATTATAAACTTTGCTTTGGTGATTGCATAATTATTTAATTTAGTGATCTAAGGCAGTTGCCACCTTTGTCCAAAACAACAGACGGGAATTACTGCTTTCTTCAACCTGCGACATAAACTTCATTGATTGGTATTGTATATAGGGTGATTAAAAACATTTGAAGTTAACTTCTGGCATCTACATATTGGGTTTCTGTGAATTATGTAGGTATATCAAATTATGAGACTAGGGACTGACACTGAATTTGTGTATATCACAATCTTAGACGTCCGGCATTGACATGACAATGCAGCCACTGCCAATTTTAAATAGTCGACGAATAAAAGTAAATGAATTTTATATTTACTGCTAAACTATTAAAAAAAACATAAACAAAAGATGACTTTTTGAGTAAGTGCTAGTTTACTATAAAATTTACATACATTGGAGATATTTATGTAACGACTTGATTTAACTTCACACTTTTTTTGCGAAAATTGAGGCGCATCTGTAGCCTTGACCCCGCTGGTAAAGTCTTTATATGTCTTAATAAATCAATCTTTTAGACCGACGCAAGGTACTTAATAATTCCCGCGATATTAATTCCCTTACTCAAGTAACAAGACTACGGTATATACCGTCTTAAAATACTAACTAACTAAAAAGTGTGAAATAAAAAAGGTAAATTTAAAAAATCAAAAAACCCGACTGCTTAATTATACTTCAAATAAAAACTGAAAAGAAAAAAACAAGTCCAGTAGTCTATAATTCTGTTAATAAGGAACAAAGCTACTTTAACAGTCGGGACCCATTAGATATTCAAGAATACATAATATTTTTGAACAGTGGGTCCCGACTGTTAAAGTAGCTTTGTTCCTTATTAACAGAATTATAGACTACTGGACTTGTTTTTTTCTTTTCAGTTTTTATTTGAAGTATAATTAAGCAGTCGGGTTTTTTGATTTTTTAAATTTACCTTTTTTTATGCATGATTACCGATTTCTCTGTCAATTGTGTTATTGTTTACTTGGACGATGTAGAATTTCTAATTTTCACTAAAATGGATGAAATATTTTTTTCAAAAATATAACCGCCTTCAAAATCGAAAATGGACCTAAAAAGTAAAAAATAATATCTGGTTCATGATTTGGAAGTCGGGCGAGTCAAGAATGAAAGACGTATTATTACCGATCAGAAACGAAAATCTATTTAATGTTTCAATCTTGACCCCGCCTGACTTCCGAATCATGAACCAGATATTATTTTTACTTTTTAGTTCCATTTTCGATTTTGAAGACAGTTATATTTAAAAAAAAATCTACACCGAAGTGAAGCGAAGCGGGCCACTAGTTTTAATAAATATTGGTATTAAATATCGGTTTGATTCACTTTAAGCGGTTTTTTCATTCTAACCTTATTCATGATTAGAATAAGTGTTACAAAAAGTAAGTGAATATTTTTGTAAAGTAAACATGTGTACCCACTTTAAATAAATACCTTTTATACTGAAAAGTACTATGAAGTCGCAATACTAATTTAATTGTTCGTTATAGTAAGGATTGAAATGCGAATGGTACTGATTCCTATACTAAAGATAAAATACTTCATGTTAGAACGTTAATCGATTTAAAGAGAAGGCGCGATGAGTTATTGTAGCTGATAAATATAATTTTACTTTAACAATCTCCTCACAAAAATGCCAAAATCCTTCCTAAAGATTTACATCATAATAAATTTGATAAAATAAAATATCAGGAATAGCCCACTGAAGTATTTTGTACCTGACCTAACTGTGATAGAATCAGTATCAATTCAGCAAATTTGATGAAAATTGGTGATCTGGACGATAGTTTTGGTACTACTATGAGATCAACCAAACAATATGGCATCTATTATATATCAATGACAGTAAAATTAACACTTTCATTTTATTCAGCCTTATACGGCTAAAGTGGCGTTTAAGCGATTTTGATTTCCCACTGGCGATATATGCGGTAGAAGGTGTGCCGCTCCAGTCAGCCTCACCTTGCCGACCTGAAACCAAAACCCTACCCTATAAAGGAAAAACGCATTCTATTATGTTTCTTTCACTTCGAATTCTTCTTGGAAGAAATAAGATTCTTGCTTTGTTTACTTATGATATAAATAAGTATAACAGTCGTCAGAAAAGGAGCTAATATTAATAAGCATGTTTAGTCAATTTAATGCGAGTAAAGTAATTTAGTAACCCTTGTTTTACTCAGATCGACGAATTCAATCTTCTATTCATGGATGGACCGATAGGATCTGGATTTAGTACTGTCGCAGATAATGGTGAAATACCGAAAACTATTGATACCAACAGTAAGGAAACGATCTTTAAAATGAACCTTGTATTCTTACTTAATTCAATAATGGTTAAATACAGTTCCTGGCTAAGCTGTGTATTGTGTGTGTATAGCATACTTCGCTTAAAGCTTGTAACGTGCTTAGGTCGATACAAGCTTTTTAAGAATGCTATACACACACACGACAGACGATGAGCTTAAAAGGGCATGCATATAATTTTTGCGGGTATTAACTGAGATTTAATATTTATTAGTAAACGCTTTAATTCAATAATAAACTTAACTCAATAATAAACTTATATTTTATGTAAACTTCCAGCAAATCATTTGATCTTGGCTTTAAGATCATTCTATGAACAGAACCGAGAATTGTATCAAGCTCCCCTATATATTATTGGTCAAGGATATGGAGGGCAAATGGCTGTTTCGCTTGCGCTGGGACTCTATAATGTAAGTAATCATCATCATTAACAGCCTATCTTTGTCCACTGCTGGACATAGGCCTCTCCAAATGCACGCCACTCAGATCGATCTTGGGCTACTCGCATCCAGCTCCTGCCAGCCACCTTGCGCAAATCGTCACTCCATCGCGCCTGAGGACGTCCTACACTACGTTTGCCTGGACGCGGTCTCCACTCCAGAACTCGTCTACCCCATCGGTTATCGATTCTTCGACAAATATGGCCAGCCCACTGCCACTACAACTTGTTAATCCGGTGGGCTGTGTCGATAACTCTGGTTCTCTGTCGGATTACCTTATTTCTGATGCTATCTTTTAGAGAAACGACGAGCATAGCCCTTTCCATAGCGCGTTGAGCGACTTCGAACCTGTGCACCAGCCGTACCGTCAGTGTCCACATCTCGGCTCCGTATGTCATCACAGGTAGGACGCACTGATTGAAGACTTTCGTCTTTAGGCACTGTTGGATCGACGATATCAGGATTTGACGTAACTTCCCAAACGATTTATCTGTTGAGTTAAGACTTTTATAAGTGTTATTTATAATTGAACCGTTTGTGTTTCATAGGCACGAGACTTCTCTCCAAACTTAAAGGGACTTATTTTGGGCAATGCAATCATTTCTCCAGCTCTAGTTATGACTAAGTTGGGGTTTTATTTAGAAGAGTTAGCTTATATTGATAATAAAGGGCGGGAAGCTATTGAGAATCTCTCTAATGAAATCAATGAATCAATTAATCAAGGATCACTAGAAGCAGCTTATAACAGTTTTCTAACTTTAGACAAATTCGTTAATGAAAATGCTGGTGCTGTTGCAGTTAACTTAAATTATATAGTGGAAAAGCTTACACAAGATAACAGTACAGGTACGTATTTTTTTTTCATATGCACTTTACAAATTATGAAAAGTAGCTGATGGAAATATTTGTATATCGTATGAGGGGCAATCAAGACTATCATCATTCATCATTAATAATAATAATTATAAATTATTTATTAATTTCTTCTTCACATAAGTAGAAAAATTGACATTTACAACGAAGTGCTTAATTACAATAATTAATTTTACATAATGTGAAGACTGGTGCTTGCCAAGGTAAACTTTAGGCTATAAAAATGTTTAGGTTAATTTTTAAAGTAAACGGTGTAAATAAAAAGCTTCAAATAATTGTAAAATATCAAGAAGAGCCCTTTTGGTATTTTTTTAAACCGAAATCTAGGGTAAACTGAGACCGTGGAAAGGGTTCAATGAAATTGAAACCTGGCGATACTGTACTACCTACTACGTAAAAGCATTGTCAACCGTGAACTAGCATGGAACCCTATTGCGACACGTAACTAATTATTGATATTTGTTAATAAAAAAAAAGTAGTTTTTTTTATTTAGGTTATAATTATAACGAATAGGTTCCTACCTATATATGAGGTTAAATTCTTTGATTTCAGATGATTTTGGACAAACTAGGACATTGAGAGGTGTAACTGGTTACAGTTCAAGTTTTAAGCATTTTATGGACCAAACTGTGGCTCCAGCCTTAGGCATAGCAAACCCGGATTTCGACGGGCGTCGCCAAGCTGTAGTTCAAAATTTTAAAAACACTTATATGATTCCAGCAACAAGCAAAGGTAAGCAAAGGACAGGATCACAAGACCGCCAAACCTTACTCATTTTCTCACAAAGGACGGGACAGGACAAAATATGAATAATCGAGTAGTATTAGTGCGTACAATGCGATTAACTTAAATCCTGAGGACTTATTCCTACGTATGTTGTAAAAAATATTGTAAACAGTTTTAAATTAATAATGCCAGACACATTCTGTCAGCAGTTTTTATCGAAAACAAAAAACACAACCTGACTTATTTTCTGTTATAATTTAGTTAATAAGGAATTATTTAATTATTGTAAGAGGTTTTTTTTTACATTATTTACAAGATAACTTTGATGCTGTATTAAAAAGCACTTGATTAACATGAGCGCGCCTTTTCTCACAGTGGCACTTTAAATAAGCTTAGGGAATTTTGGCCTCTACTATTGGTCTGGCAGCTTGCAAAATATAATCATAGCCCCCTAAATATCATAGAAAAATATCAGGTCTCAAACTGTAAGTTAGTTTGTTCTTGCTTTCGACATTTAAAGTAATGAATAACAAGCATTTGTACTTATATAATCATAGATGTTTATATGTATTTCTAAAAAAATATATACATTTAAACAATGCCTTCAATTAAACAGATCTTGTAGCACTTAGATGAAATTGACAGGAGGACACTGCTGGTGATAAATTGATGAAATTTCAATAAGGATTACAAAGTGCCACAATGCACGAGCTGCGAACCGCGGCGGATGGTGGTCGTCTGGATGGTAATTTGTATTTATAGGCATTAGGTAGATACACTGAACACAGATTTCTGTGTTCTGTATTTACGTACGACAGCACTCTGGCGCCACTCAGCGGAACCGCGCGGGTGAGCCATATAAATTAATTATATCCGCGCAACCGCTATCCGCCGCGGTTCGACTAATGTGCGTAAAATCTCCTCACTAAAGGAAACATTATATTAAAAAATAATTCGGAAAGAGTTATATAATGCGATTCAAATAAGAATAGGAAAGCCAACCTCTAAATGTCAAATGTCGCTTGCAAAGTACGGTTTGCAAAAAAAATCTTGGAACCCTTTTGTAGCACTCCGCTAATTCAAGAATAAAAACCAAACATTTGTAAACAAACAATAACAAATATTGATAATTAATATCGGTTGATATTTTTTTTTCACTTATTGAGCATGGTCATGAATGGTTGATAACCTAAATCGTCAATCAAATTTCTCCGGTGTGTCGGAGGGGCGGGTGACGAGGGCGCGAGACGGGGCTTCGCGCGCGATGACGGCGGCCGGTGACGCACTCGTATGCGCCGACTCTAAACTGCCAACGGATGCATTATGCGCCCCGCGACGTGTGTTCACGTTGGAGACCTCGGGTGACCTACTTGTCCAAGCGGCGCTACTTAATGACTCCAGTTGGGCTCGCAACTCACCGCATGGTGTTGTTTGATTCTTCCAACTTGTTCACCACATCGGCCAGATTTGCTTTTAGGAAGTTGATGTCCTTGAGCAACCTGGTGACATCGACGTGGTCGAACGTGATGGGAGGGAGCTTGTGTAGCTCCTTCGCCACGAATGTAGGCACGTCATCTGGATCCAATTCTTTTAGCAGGGTGACGATGTTCTGCAGACTCTTCTCCGTTCCATCTCTCCGGTGAGATGGCATCTGATCGGCCTTACCGACGGACCGGTACAGTAACGCCTTGCCACTGCAAACCTCCTCTTCATTGAAATTCGATTTGCAGATCTGCAGGATGCTAATCTCGTCCATTGTATCTATGGCGTTTTGAATGAACGCCAACAACTCGTTAGTTCGTTGTTGGGAACTCATTGCTACCAAAGCGCAGGACGGCTGTTGCCGTATGACGCGAATAATAAATTCTCACAGCACAGTGGCGCACGTCCGTTTCCAAGCGCACATCGCACTGCGCATACTTATAGGATGCATGTTCGTATGCGACCTAGTAATAGTGCATGATTATTCATAACTACTCCGGCGGTAATGCAGAGATGAGCGGAATAAAAGAGCTAGATTCCGATTAACGTTTTTTCTCACAGTCTTAATAAAAAAATATTACTTATAAAAAATCGGTGTTTTTTTTTCAATCTTAGTAAATAAATGCTATTAAAAAATCTGATGCTTTTGTCACTTAATCTTAGTAAATAAATTTTATTAAATAAAAACATTTTTTGCTCACTCTACCTATTTGGTTTGAATTGACAGCTATGACATCACAATATGGCGCCCAGTCAGTCCTTTATATAAAAAGCTTTTATATTTTTTATTTTCCTGAAATTAGTTCCTAATTCGGCCACGCGAAGGTTTACCATCGTCCGGCTTAGTCCGGACATGTCCGGACGTTTACACTATAATCCGGACTTTGTCCGGATCTTTATATTGTCCGGATTTTTTAAATTACATTTAATATGAATAACAAAAGTACATTTTGATCTAAATACCATGCCATTGTAACTAAGTGAGTAATGGTACTATTTTGTGTCTAAAAAGTTCGGGCTTTATTTCGAAATGTCAGGATTTTTGTCAGGACTTTTGAAATTCTTAAATGGTAAAGCTAGCTAAAATCTTGGTCGCACTGTATGTATCAGTATTATAAATATATATTTATATGTATTTTATCTAGTACCATAGTATCCCATAATGCGAGCAAGCTTTACAGTGCTTACTTGGGGCTAGCTAGGCTAATAAGTGTGTTAGAAAAAAAGGCTTTTCATAGCTACGTCAGGTTCGAATCCCGGTGGAGGCAAATGTTAGTATGATGAATACTAGTATTTGCACCTTAGTCATGGATGTTAATATATATATATCTGTATAAATACTATATTTACATATTATATGTATATGTATCAAATATATGTCGCTCATCAGGTGCAATAACATCATAATTGTATAATTGCTAATCTTACAGGAGAGCAATTTAAAGTTTTTGAGAATGTTTCACAATGAAAAACTTTTTATTAACATATTATTTGATTCTACCTTAATGCTTAACATTCTAAAGACTTGTAACTTTAAGTAAAAATAAAGGATTTAACAAATATATTTATTTTTTAGTATTTGCCATCAATATAAGTGTATAAATATGGAATAGAAGATGCACAAATACAATTATGTGGTTGTTTCTATAAAATCGAAGAAAATACATATTAGTATCTGGAGTAAGAAACACCAAAAAACAGTTTGCTGATTTTGGTTCAAAACCTGTAAGATTTCTAACCATCACAATAACCTTTATGTTGATGTTGCTCCAAGAAGGGGTTAATTTGTGTCAGAAGTACATTTTTGCCATCTAACGCAAACTATTGACAACACAATTTTGAGTTTATTGCTCAAGATTCAAATACGCTTTAGGTCTAGGTAGGTATAATGGCTTCAAATACTCAATTTTGAAAAAAATGCAATTGTGATGTTATTGCAGCGGATGAGCGAATGTATTCTATATTCAAAATGTTCTAATGTTGCCATCGCCATCATCTAAGAATTGTAATATGGGAATATCACAATTCTTACAGGATGCTTACTACGATAGACCAAAATACCGATTTAGTTCGCAATCACACACCTCCAACACTAAAACCTAAACTGAGTCGATCGGAAAGGGAATGAACGGAATTAATGATAGTCACAGATTTACTACTATAATAGATTATAAAAGTCTGCTATCGAATCATAAATATATGTACATGTATACATGTCTATGTATTGAATAGTTTTTTTTTTAATTATTCTGACCATAGATACAAGTCCTTCAGTAACACATATATTATGTAATACAAAACTCCAAAATATGACATGAAACCATTAACCTAACATAGAAAAAGATTAGAATTGTTCGGTAAACTCATTCTTCTGTTTAGTGTCCCAAAAACAAGATGGAACTAACTAACTAAATGAATAAAACCACTTTTTCAATTCCAAATAGAGAGAGAGAGCGTTTATTACTTCTACATAAAAAACTTATGTTTTCATAAAAACAAATTCTCGGTGGCTAAATGGCTAATATTATGAGTATTAACGGAACACTTAAATTCCTTGAGTAGTATTCAAGCAAAAAATGACCTGTGGAATCTCTCTTTATATATCTATCTTTTAATAATTATATTGCGATGCACTTCAAGTAGTACTTAAAACTACCAAATTAATTAATATTTGCGGTAGCAAATAATCTCAAGATTTATTTTTTTAATGTTGTGTGCGTACGAGTTGTTTCTGTCGCGAATGAACACAGAATGAATGACCGTCAGACGTCGTCAGGCGTGTGGTCGGCTCGTGATGATCCACCTGCTGATGCATCTGAGGACGTCCGCGGACGCATCTGCATTGTGTAGAGGGGGCATAGGTAATATGAGTTTTACGTGGTTGAAGAATGTACTGATGATGTCGGTTGCTAACGCCTTATTATATGGGTTAGTTTCCAATAACATTTTTATTTAACAAGGAATGTGGCGCCACAATTCGGATACCTACCACTTTTTAATTGAAACATTGTACCCAGATTTCGACTGAATCGAAATCAGTTCTTATTAAGAAGTTATTAAGAACCTAATCAGTTCTGCAATAAGAGATCGTAGTAAGCCTTCAGTGCTTACTTTAGGGCGTGAGTATGAAATAATTATTATGTAGTTATACTTACATAACATTATTATCTTTTTATGCAATGATATTAAATACCCTAAGGTATTTAAAATACACCACGTGCGCTCAAAATGTATCCCAATTAAGAGTGCTTGAACACTACTCAAGCACTTCTTGGTTTACAGTCACGCGCGGACCATTGAAAAGTAAGGATGCCGCAGAGCTCCGTGAAAAAGTATGTTAAGTGTCGTTTTCTCGAGAGGTATATAATCATTTTTTGTTAATTTAACGCATTTGAAGCATATTTTGTTCTAATACTATAAACTGATTTAATAGAAATTATTTGTGATATACAAATGCATAGTCGGTAATATAGCCGTCTCTTTTTTTTCTCGCGGTCCGTAACTACTATTTTGGTATTTAGAATTGCGCGTAACAACTAAGAAATAAGGTCTTCCGCATATAGCAAGAAGTTGTTAAATTTTACGAGTTTGTATTTTGAACTGTCGTATCTCTTTGACATTATAATTAAAATGACCTTTTACAGTATGCATTAAAGGTGTATTTCAAGGTTTAAATAATGCCTTATATCGTTTTTGACTACGCAATCATCTTACGGAGCTCCGTGGATCGTTCAATGTACCTTTTGGACAGGTTTCGGCCACGATTTTGTTCGTGTTGGTGTATCTATATTGGGCAGTGTTTCCTAACCTTTCCAATACTGCTACCCCTGTAACCTATTAGAAAAACAGATTTTACACCGACTTTAAAATGTTATCATCAGTTCAAGAAATTCTAATTTGGCCGTTACATCTTCGTCTCTAATAATGTCATCATCAGGAGAAAATCTCGCCCCGATTCCCACACTTAGCACCCCGCGGGCTCGCTAGCAAGAAGGAGCGCATGCTCTATTTAGTAGTATTATAATAAAGTATTTTCTTATTATTTAGATTTGACCAAACAATTAGGTTCTTTGTTACCCCCGAAGTATGGCTGATTTACCCCCGGAGGGGTAATTACCCCCAGGATCTAGGGTATTTATAATCGTTGTTTTTATGTCAATTTACCATTATTTTTTTTTAGATAACAAATTGACTTTTCACGACACTATTGTATGTTATGTGTTAAAACGGCCATCATAAGGTGCCACGAGTATAGTTATCAATAATATATAGGTATTTTTTTCATTTTTTAGTGGAGGCGGTTCTCGATAGTATGAATATTACAGTGATGATTTACAACGGCAACTTGGATGCAGTCTCTAACACTCCCGGTAAGTTTCAATGACAACTTTAAATCCAAAACTTATGTAAACAAACGTACGAACAAAAAACATCTCCCAAACGGTATGCCTGCAGAAAAAAATGGTAATAAAGATTATATTAAACTTGGTAGAACTTGCACTTAAAATAATTAAAAAAACACACAAGAATAACTGTAAATGCCGGCTTTTAACATAAACTAAACAATACTACTTACTGTAAATATTTTATTACTAACTTTTGCAATACCTACCTATTTTTTGAAACTATAACGGATGTTAATGCGCTAATGTTTTATTTATTCCAAAGGTCAACTGCAATGGGTCAACAATCTTCAGTGGTCAGGCCAAACACAATTCTTAAACAGTCCACGACAACCACTTATTGTTAACAATTACCTTGAAGGATATTTTCGTCAAACACGCCAGCTAAGCTTTTATTGGATCAACGTCGCTGGACTATCGGTATTTACTTAAAAATTATTAACAAGTCTAAATTATATATTTTGAAAGTAGGTTTGATTTCCGTAGCGCTCGCGGTATGTACCGTGTGCGCCGGTGTTGTCAAGGTGTCGCCTACTCAGAGGTTCCGGTTTCGATCCCCGATCGGGCAAATGTTTGTACGAGTACCTGAGTTATGGATGTTTATATGTATTTCTAGACATAAAATAATTATACATATATACTATATGAAAGTATGAGTACCTATAGCACGGTTATATTATATACTGTATTCTATCTTATACAAACGATCGGAAAGCGAATCATACCTACGCCACTCGAGTTCGCGGGACTCTCGGGGGACAGCCAGTCGCGATCATGCGCCGCAGCGACGACCGAAAGGTGTGAATTGTTTTTTATGCAGTTCACCGTGCTTAAACGTGCGATTTGTATTGTAAATATTTGATTGAATTAAGTAGATACCTACATAATTTAATATGGCAAAGAACAAACGACGATATTGTGCTGTTTTTGGTTGCTTGAACTCTTCAATAACGCACCCAGAGATATATTTTTTCAATTACCTGAAATATTGGAAAGGTAAGACTATAGAATATTTTTTTATATACCTATCTACTAGTACGTAATTTGTTTTTAATATTAAGGTATTTCGATTTTCCTTTGGGCAAAATATCTGGAATAATATATAAATAAGTGGATAGGGTGAAAAAAGAGACAAACGAGTAATCTACCTACACTCGCGATAAAACAAAACAACATAATAGTTAGGTAGTTTCCTAGACTAGGCTATCTAATTACTTAACTTAACTACATACATTATTAAATAACTAAACTACATACATTATTGAATTAAATGAAATATGTGATAATTTACGAGAGTAATTTATTTATTGTTTATTAGCAACACTAACATTGCGTTAATCATACATGGATATACATATTTTATATTGGTTGTTTACTTGTGAACACAACATAGTCCAGTCGGAATAGCCATAATTTGGACCGACTTCTATTCTAAGACACCAGCGCTTAGCCAATTTTTTCCTAGGTAGTATAGACCTCCACGAATATGCCCTCCATTTGTCCCCGCTAGAACCCGTGTTTTGTAGCCAGGAAAATTGTTTAAACAAAGAAAAACTGTTTTTTTTGAGTTTTTTGCTTGTAAACGGGGATTTTGAAAATTTTTTTGAATCAAAGTTGTTCATTAGCTTGCCCTCTACAAAATCAGTTCTATGAAAAAATAACGTGAGATTGTTAGTTTAGCAGTAAATTGCAATTATGTCGGTTTTACGTTTGCAACAATTCAACATGTTATAATAAACATTTTGATTTCTAAAGTAGTTTATCATGTGGGTAACGCCACTCCCAAGAGAGTCATGTAAAATTTATCGACCTGTGTCGCAAACTTTAGCAACAATTCTCAATCTCCGAAAAAAAGTACTTGCCTGTCCCGTCTTTCCCAGAAGGCGCACAGCGGGAAAAAAAATTCAGGTGATTCGATTCACCAAGAATTTTGAGGAATCGATCGAGTAGAAAAAAATCGTTACTAAAAATGTTCGTTTTTGGACGTAAATTTTTTTTTTAAACTAATGTATTTTTCTCTCCTCACCTCGAATATACTATTCTGAATATATATATATATATAATATATATATATATATAATACTAATATACCCTGAGAATTCCGATTATGAACCGGAAGAAAAAAGGACGAAATTAATTTAATTAGAAATATAGAATACAACGCAGTCTTGTAATCGAATTTTAGTTAATAGTTTTGTAAATAATTTGATTTTTTTCTACTCGATCGATTTCTCAAAATTCTTGGTGAATCGAATCACCTGAATTTTTGTCCCCGCTGAGCGCCTTCTGGGAAAGACGGGACAGGCAAGTACTTTTTTTTCGGAGATTGAGAATTGTTCCTAAAGTTTGCGACACAGGTCGATAAATTTTACATGACTCTCTTGGGAGTGGCGTTACCCACATGATAAACTACTTTAGAAATCAAAATGTTTATTATAACATGTTGAATTGTTGCAAACGTAAAACCGACATAATTGCAATTTACTGCTAAACTAACAATCTCACGTTATTTTTCCATAGAACTGATTTTGTAGAGGGCAAGCTAATGAACAACTTTGATTCAAAAAAAATTTCAAAATCCCCGTTTACAAGCAAAAAAACTCAAAAACATCGGTTTTTTTTTGTTTAAACAATTTTCCTGGCTACAAAACACGGGTTCTAGCGGGGACAAATGGAGGGCATATTCGTGGGGGTCTATACTATCTAGGAAAAAATTGGCTAAGCGCTGGTGTCTTAGAATAGGTCTCATGTTTATTCCGACTGGACTAAACAATTATAAGTGTTGACGTCATTCACAATTATGGTCTAACAAATACAATTTTTAGGATTGAATTTTAACTTATAATATTACATATTAAATAATTAAATAAGATTGCAATTATTACATTTAACCAAACAATGCTCAATTAATAAATTAGAATTTAACATTTAAATAATAATAATAACATTACACAAAAAACAGTCTTTGTCACAGATTACACAACTTTCGTTTAAATGTTGACAAAGTATCACAAAATACATCAATACCAGCATTTCTCACACATAATTAGTTCGTTGTATGTTCTACATATTTGTGGTATAGGTGAGTGGAGTCCGACATTCGCTCGACAGTATGGAATATTAAATATGCTCATAATTGGATTTCGCGGGTAGTTATATGGCACTGATACACCAATTTGGCTAACAATATCATGACAGTCAATTTTGCCGTTCACTATACAGTGCAAAAGAACCATATCCAGCTTTATGCGTCGCTGGCGAAGAGATTGCATCTTGAAGAACTTTAATCGATCCTCATATGAGCTTCTGGATGATATGCCAGGGCTTAAGAAGGCCAGGTGTCTGGTAAACGGTCGCTGTATCGATTCGATACGCTGTGATGTAATAGCGTATTGTGGATTCCAAACTGGGCTTCTATAAAATTCTAAGCAGCTACGGACAAGCGTATTATACAAAATTATTTTAGTATTTGGTGACCGAATAAATGAGGTATTGCGCTTCATAAACCCCAGCATCTGAGCAGATTTCTTAACAATGCCATCTATATGAGAATGGAATTTTAGGTTACTATCCAGTAACACCCCGAGATCACGAATATCGTCCACCGTCTCCAAAAACGTTGAGCCCAACCTATATTTCATTGAAAGAGGATTTCTTTTCCTGGAAAAATTAATGTTATAGCATTTTTTGGTATTTAGAGTCATATGATTGTCTCGGCACCATTTCCATAAACTGTCCAAGTCACATTTGAGAAGTTTGCAATCGGCTAAAGACTGAACCCCGCGATATATTTTTAAATCATCTGCAAATAGCAGAATCCTGCAATTTTGTATGGCAACGTCTATATCATTGATGTAAATTATAAACAAAAGAGGTCCGAGAATGGATCCCTGAGGTACACCGGAAGCAGCCCGGTATTCGTTAGAAATGAAGCCGTTAATACTCACAAATTGAGATCTTTTTTCCAAATACGACAAACCGCTTTAGGAGTGATCCATGTATACCCATCAAGCGTAATTTATGAACAAGGGTGGAATGATTAACTTTATCAAAGGCACTCTTAAAATCAGTGTAGACTGCATGAACCTCTCCACCACGGTCAATTTCTCGAGAGACGCTAGAAACAAATGACACCAGACTTGTTGCTGCCGAACGACCATTCTGAAAACCATGTTGGAAACACGAGATTTTGTGTTTTATATGTTGAGATAAAAGCGGAGAGATAAGAGATTCAAAGATTTTGGCAAAACATGACAGTATTGATATGGGTCTGTAATTTTCAACCTTACTTAAATCACCTTTTTTTAATATGGGCACCACTCCAGCTTTTTTCCATTCCTCTGGAATGATTAAATATTATCGACAGTGGAAAGGCAAGCACAGAACTACATCTTTTAATAAATATTGGGTGAATACCGTCAGGACCACTACTTTTGCAAACATTTATTTAATTTAATTTCTTAAAAACCTCCCTCTCCGTAAGAACAACTACACCAAGACAGTCAGAATGCAAATCACTAGACTGAATAACGTTGTTGTTATGATTATGAATATCGCTCATAAACACAGAGGAAAATTGCGAGGCAAACATATTAGCTATATCAGACCCACTATCTGCGATTGTGTCATTCATGAACATCGTTGCAGGTACAGACGAAGAACCATTTCTTTTCTCTTTGATATAAGTCCAAAATGCTTTGGGGTTATTTTTTATATTAACTTCTAGGTTACGCTTATAGTCACTAAGATACTTGGCATGAAGTTTGTGACAACGTTCTCGAACGAGATCAAACTCCACCTTATCTCTTGGGTTTCTGTATTTGCGGTATCTTTGATGTAGTTTATTTTTTTCTGTGAGCAATCGAATTAAAGGATACTTATACCAAGAGGGATATTTTGTTGATTTCCTGGTACGTTAAGGTACATTTTTCTCAATTATATTGGACAAAGTGTCATAAAATACAGAAACCATATCGTTCACATGCTTCCCAACATTTAAAACTTCAAACAATTTAATTTGCCGTATTTCACTGTTAATTATGTCATAGTTGGCCTTAAAAAAAATTAAATCTTTCCGAGAATCTGGCACCAAAAAACTAACAGGATTAGGAAAGCATACTGACAACAATAAATTAGGATGTAGTGGATCCAAGCGAGATAATAAATCTAGTGGTTCTTCCACTGAAACATTCGACATGTTGGTCAATATGAGATCCAGAATTTTACCATTGACATTAGATACATTATTAACTTGTTGAAGGTTAAGACACGATATAGAATCTATCAAACAGTAACCCAAGGGATTATTATAATTAGATGGATTCATTACAATACTATTCTCGTTTTGGGTCCAAGTAATGGTACTTTGATTAAAGTCTCCCATTATGATTACATTATCAACATAATTAAAAGCTCTATCAACACTGTTAACAAAATCACTTAGAGTCTCCAACTTGGCTGGAGGAGGTAGATAAACACCTCAAATCGCTATGTGTTTCAGGGAATTATTTACTTTCAACTCTAATTTAACCCAAACATTTTCATATTCGCTTTCCCATTGTGACATTCGTGTAGATTTAATATCACGGGAAACCGCGACTAAAACACCTCCTCCATCCTTCTTGGTTAGCCCAGAGCATAGGCGATCTCGTCTATAAACATGATACCGGTTATCAATGAATTCTCTATTCTATATTGAGGAGCTAAGCCATGTTTCAGTTAACACTATTACATTAAAATTACTTATACTTATGTTTTTATGTATATCATTAGTCTTTGTTCGCATGCCTTGGACATTCTGATAGTATAAATTAATACAACTGAATTTTAAAACTTTAAGATATGGATACATTCAATTATGGTATTGAGGGAAAAGTTAAAAATAAATAAATATACCAACTTAAGTTATATTTTTATGACTATTTTTATCACGTATAAGTTTGGCTGGACTTTCTTCATCTTTCCTAACATATATTCTGCCGTCTCGAACCCATATAAACTTATAATTCTTCTCCTTGCCAATCCTGCGAGCAGCAGCATGGAGTTCTTTATTCGAAGGAGTGAGGTGTTCCGCAACATACACTGGAGTAGAAGTGCCACCAAGTCCCAAGTGCGTCGAATTAAGTTTGTCCGCTACTTCTTTATTTTTATTAAACTTATAAGTGGCAGCTAGTAGAGCTTCACGTTGACGACGATTGCGTAACTTCAGGACTATGGTTCGTGGCTTACTATTCTCCTTATTTAATTTTGCGACCCGTGTCACATGCTGGATATCACTATCGCTTATAGGACAGTCAATTATGCGCCCGAGCTGGACAACTAAGTTAGCTAAGTTTTCCGATTTGTGTTCAGTCACATTACCAATTTCAATATTCGACTCTCGCAAATATTGCTCAGTTTGGCTGATTCTGGCCGACAAATCATCAACAGTCACTCGTAGTTCGTTTCGATTTCCAGATTATTTATTGTTTCGTTTCTCTCCTCCACCAAACTCTTAATATCATCATACTGCTTACCAATAAATGTGATTGATTCCTGAAAACTCACAATGCGGTCCTCGATCTGCTGGAACCGCTGTGAAACCAAATCTCTCAGCACCACATTCATAGTGGTTGACATTTCCTCTCTAATAATCTTGAGTATACTTTCCTGAGTCAATTCGTAATTTTTCAATGTCTTCACTTCTTTGTCTTCAGGAGAAACTAATGATTTTTGAATGTTAGTAACCCTTTTCCTGATATAAATATTCTCCTCTCCATGTTTGTCAAGTTCCTGAGGGATCTCATCGCAATCTGTCTGAAAATGGGAGTGCACAGGTGTATTTGAATTTCCAGTTTTTTTCATTTTGCTGCAATATCCAGGACATTTCCAACTCTTCTTGCGAACCTGATCCAGTGCATAAAAGCTTTGGAATCTTTTGGATGATATTTGCACACAATCTATATCGTAATTCAGATTACACATTGAACAAACCATGAATTCTCTTGTTTTAATAATGTTTTGACATCCTGCACATTTGCCGAAATCAGACGCCATTGTAATCTAAAATATCTCTAATTAGGTAGATATATTTTGCCTTTGGCAACACAGGTGAACTGTCAATATCAAATTGACACCCGTCAATTGAGTTTGGCAGTAGAAGTTATTGCATGATGCGGGTACTTGGATTTACTGTCCTTGACGGTGCCACACAAAAAAGTAAATGTAGGTAGAAAATGTACACTTATCTTTGCGGATTTTCCAAGCTTGGAGCCGAAGGTCGCATTGGATAACAACACCACAAGCAAATCCAACTAAGCACAACACTTTACATATACTTTCAACTTATTTTAAGTGAGTTATTTGATAATCTGAACAGTAGCAATAATAGTGCAATGTTAGGCAAGTGTTTTTCTTTTCTTTTTTTTTTGAGTAATAAATGGTAGGTATTGTAGTGATCGGATATTTTTGGTGTATAATGGCAGGTTATAGGTAATTTGGAAAAGAGACGGATTGTTGACAGGAATTGATAGTTGGAAAATATTAAAAAAAGGGAGATTTGTGCGGATTTTAAAAGACAGTATTTTGTTTATTGATAATAATAATTTAATTTCTTGAAAATAAAAGTGTTTCAATGACAATAGTTAGTTTGCATGAAACGATTCGTACAGTACCTACCTAGTAAGATTTACCGACATTGTAGGTAATTTCCTTTTTACCGGACTGCGCCATGACTTACAAATAAATATAACTTGTATGTTTAAAATAATATTCTTTTATTGAATTATGTAAGAATAAAAATCAGCAGTCGGGTTTTTTACAAGCTTTTAATTAACTTGCAATAGGTAGGTATGTAACTATGTTTGTTCGGGTGGAATCTTGCAACTCAATTTTGAAGCAGATATCTTCAACCGGTTGAGCTGAAATTTTGTATATACACGTTTTGATTAAAAAGCACAGTTAGCTGTGTGACGTCATTCTAAATCCAACATGGCGGAATAGTTATTTTTAATGCATTCCTACGATATGGGTACATGGGCTTGCGGAGAATCTTTCCATATAAAATAAAATATTTACAATCACAAAACTAGAAAAAACTCAATTATGTAGATGAAATTAAAATGCGTGTTAACGTACCGCTCGGCCGTAGGCAGTTATTTCAAGGACAGGGCCGAGTCACAATACTGTATAGATAATATTACCGTGCCTATAGTAATGTATTCTATGTGTTACCCTTGTATCCTATAACACAATCCCTACAGTTACAATACGTCCATACGTCAACACAGCTGATGGACAGGGGACAAACCAATACACTACCTTTGTTTTGCCAGACAGCCAATTACTTCTTCACGCCCATGAAAATGATCAGTATTTGGTAGGAAGGAAGGACATTATGGGGTAATACCCTACATCAAAATACCTATAGCTGGGCACCGTTAATCAAATTGTTAACTTCGTTAATCGTGAATCCGTTACTAAAAAAATTAACTCCGTTAAACGTTAAAACGTTGCATTTCGGAAGATTTAACGCAAGTTAACGTTAATCGTTAATCCTTTAACACGTGATAAAAAATGCATTTTTTATATCGTTGCGTTAGTGATCTGCTTACAAAAGCTGTTGTTTTGGGTTCTGGAAGTTAATAGGTTAAGTTAAAAAAAGACAGTGTATTAATATATAAAAAATAAGTGTGTAATTTAACCATCTGGCACAATGTGGCTATTCCCCTTCATGAATATTAGTACGTTGAAGTTTTCGTCTGAGAGTTAGGCTATCATCATTAATACTGGACGAAGGAGCAATTTTTCTTTTTGGCTTACCCCGATTAAATCCCGCATTAACAGTCTCTTCAAATAGCAAGTATTAAAAATCATTCACTCTTCTTATATGCTGTTTCACATTGTTTAGACTCTGTATATGGGCTTTTATTTTTGTTTCTTTTGGTGAGAATTTAACGCACTTTAAAAGTATCTGCCCTGTCCCGATCTACATTAAATGTGGATACGGATTTTCTACCCGTAGAGGAACTGGATGTATCCATGATACTTATGGTTTTAATTTACACAGTAAGTACTTACACTCTTTCCTTATAAATACACACACTGCACAAAAGCAAACAATCAAGTACGGTACACAAAATCCAAAAATTATGTAGTATTTGTATACTTCACTAAAAACAACCAAATCACACGTCACTCGTAAGCGTCTCGCTAGTAGTGAATTGAAAATATCACACGCGCCGCCAATACATGCCTACATAGTTTCGGCATGCGTTGGCGCCGCTCTGCACTTGTCGTTATTTGTCGGCCTGCCCGAAAGTACTTGACAGAACGCGTTTTTCGCAACACGGCGTGGTGCCTGCGGTATATTTTTGATATATAGTACAAGTTGTAGGTACTGGATTAACAATTAACGGACTTAGGATAATTTAACGGAAGTTAACGAATCCATTAACATTTTTTAAAGTAAACTTAAAAGTTAATCCTGTAATAGAAATGTTAACTTCGTTAATTAACGGATTAACGAGTTAAAGATATGAAAATACCATTGCTCTACCTTGAAACGGGACGGCGCGGCGGCAGGCTGCTAATGGCTGCACACCCCTGCTAATGCCGTACTTAAAACTTGTAATTACCGCTGCCCTATCTGAAATACAACTCTGGCTACGGACCTCAATTATGATCGCTAAATTTAATGGTTTGTATTACTTTTTACATTGTTATGGTAAGTCGATTGACTTAATACATACCACGCTGACACGGCAAGTGACATGTAACATCTTAGATTAAAAAAAAAATCTAAGTGTCTAATCTATATATAGACACTAAATACCGCAGTCATATCATTTTATGGGAGTTATTATCGCGGGAATTATTAAGTAGCTTGCGGTGGCCTAAATGACCTCCTAAACAAATGAAATGCAAATGATGTAAAAACCTAAACGTTATTTTCGATTATCTAGCTAGACAATGATACCCCACTCAACATATTTTGCCAGTATCTTTTTTCTTTCTCACAATTTCCATTACAATTTCTTACTTAGCACTCTCATGATTAAGACGAATCGATTGACGTATGAATCATCAAAATCGGTCTACGTGTTTGATCTCGAGTGTGCCACAAAGGAACATACATACATATAAGATATATACTGTTAAACACAATACCCTTTCTGCGCGTCGCGCTAGCGCTGCTTGCATGCCCAGTCGGGTAAAAAATGGTCGCGCCTCTTCCGCAGAATCCTCGCCCATTCTCGAGAATTACTCTAGCATTTGGCCCTCAATTGTTACTTTATATAGTTTGTATGTTATAAAATAGACATAAAGTACATCATAAGCACTTTAATTAAAATTTGTTACAGGCACCTTTGGATAATGCCGCAGCGGTAAAAAGAGCATTACAAGACATCTTGCGTTTATAAGTACGTACAAATGGTGTAAAACATTGAATACAAAGTATAAACTTTTATTACAATAATATTTTTATTTCATTATTGGCGTTAACATCTTTCCTCTCCCTTTCTTGTAATTTGTGAAGTGTGTTTGTTGAAGTGCGTAACAGAAAGTCGAAGAAGCACGCGTTATGTGATTTGATTTTATAAAAGAATATTAAAATTGCTTATTTATTTTGTTACTCTTGAAGTAGGTTTTATTTTTGCTAAGGTGAGATGTCAAATGATACATGGCTAGTTCTAAAAAAATATTATTTTGTCCTTACACTGATTTCTATAAAAAGGGTCAAAACTTAAGTAAATGAGATTTTCTTTTGAAACTACATCATTAGCCGCACCAAATTTTGTACTAATTTTGTTTCAGTTGTTGTATGTTATTAAAATATATTAAAATTTATACCTCTAAAATCATTTCTTCACTGTGTCCTAACCACCAAAGGACCATGGGGGATTTTGTATGGACGCCGAACGCAACCTACAATAGACATAGTCCCGGGATGCGTGCCAATATGTTCTTTCGTACCTAGAAAAAGACAAAATTGCTGTTTTAGTTGGGATGGAGTTTAATTATAATAAAAAAATATGATAAAAAAGTATTAAAGTGTGTTAATTATCATTCAAAAATATTAAAAGTATTAAAATCCTATTTAAAATGTATGTGTAATTAATTGGTGATCGGACATGGCGCGAAAAAAAATGTAGACTCTGTGAACTAGCCAAATTTTACTAATAAGGTATTGCATCGCTATGCAATACCTTATTAGTAAAATTTGGCTAGTAAATCGTGTAACTCTTTATCGCGATAAAATTCTCAATAATATGGGCATAAAGCATATTATTTAACAAATCCATAATATCTAACAAATTTTCACCATTATTGTTAGTAACTGTACATCCCCACGCTTGATGATGACAGTTAAAATCTTCTAGTACTTAAAAGGGTTTAAGGGAGAGATGAGAACATATTATTTATAAATTTCATTAAAGATTGGAGATGATGGGCGAGATAAATAAATGTATTTGTATATATTTATATATCTCGCATCACTCACAACTTTAGATTAGTATCAAAAGTTGTGAATTTTCACTGCAATCATTGAAATTCTTCACTATGTGTTATTAACGTAATGGGTTCACAAATAACACAATTTTAAATTAGAAAGTCTACTCCACCATAGCCATGTATTCTATCTTCTCTGATAGTATGATAACCATTAATTTTAAAATTTCTTTGAGATGTTAGCCATGTTTCAGACTAGGCTCAAATTTATTTATTAAATGAATGTTTCATTTTTTTTGCTTATAGCATTACGGCAATTCCACTGTATTATCTTGTCTGTTTGTCTGTCCATTGATGAATTGAATGTTATTTTTAGTAATCTGAGCAGCGTTGGACGGTAGAAGGATATTGAATTGAGTAACCACATTGAAAAGAGCTGTAATAAAATCAGGAAGGAGTGGACTCTCTGAGGATGTACTGTGATCGCTTGTACTAAGGCTCGTGTTACACAATCAGAACTACGTACGTACAGTTAGAAAGGGATATCGCTTTGTATAGCACATAGCGACATCCCTTTCTAACTGGACTCAAGTAAAGATCAACACTTATGTCATTCTGTAATACGAGCCTAAGACCACAGCCATTGTTAGTGGTGGGAATTGCAAATTCCTTTTATAATACATTTGCTCTTAAAGCGTCTCTTATTGCACCAATTTCAATATCATAATCTATCACATTACACACGCGTGCGGTAATTTAAAGTTAAACGCACGGCTTATTAGGTTCCGTCTAAAAACGAACGCTAGTTTTTTAAATCTTAGCAAAGTTTTTATGTCAGAAAGGTAGCCAACATTTTCTTAATAAAATTGACTTTGGAAGATAAAATATAATATATAAATATTTAATTCTTTAATTTGATTCATTTTGACAATAAATTACAACCATGTATCGGTAAAAAATGCACAAAAATATTGATCTACTTTATTAGTAACACTGGCTGTTTTTTGTTCCTTTGTCTAAAAAAAGCGTTGATGCGTGCGCAATCTGTGAAAATATTGTCAAGTAGTAACGTATTAATTAATTTGACACCGCCAGAAGGCGAAAAAACTACGCTAAGGCTCTTGCCCGAAATATCCACGGATAGATACTTACAGTCAAGCTTATCAAAATTTCAGGTAAAACTGTACTTCCAGGGCCCAAGAGCTGATAATCGAACTTTTTTGTAGAAAAGGTTTCTTTTAAAAAAAAATTTTTTCTGGCGCTTCGCCGGCCGCTGCTTCGGCACTCTCGCTCCGCTCGCTCGGCTCGCGAGATATTCAAGAATACATATATTTTTCAATAATGGGTCCCGACTGTTAAATTAGCTTTGTTCCTTATTAACAGAATTATAGATTACTGGACTTGTTTTTTTCTTTTCAGTTTTTATTTGTAGTATAATTAAGCAGTCGGGTTTTTTGATTTTTTAAATTTAACTTTTTTATTTCACACTTTTTAGTTAGTTAGTATTTTAAGACGGTATATACCGTAGTCTTGTTCCTTAAGTAAGGGAATTAATATCGCGGGAATTATTAAGTACCTTGCGGTGGTCTAAAAGATTGATTTATTAAGACATATAGAGACTTTACCAGCGGAGTCAAGGCTACAGATGGGCCTCAATTTTCGCAAAAATGTGTGAAGCTAAATCAAGTCGTTACATAAATACACATATCTAATGTATGTATTTATAGTAAGCTAGCACTTATTCAAAAAGTCATCTTCTGATGAAGTTACTAAACTACTAAAAAGAGTTCTTTTTAGTAGTTTAGCAGTAAATATAAAATTCATTTACTTTTATTCGTCGACTATTTAAAATTGGCAGTGGCTCCATTGTCATGTCAACGTCCGGCTCTAAGATTGTGATATACACAAATGCAGTGTCATATCCTAATCTCATAATTTGATATACCTACATAATTCACAGAAGCCCAATATGTAGATGCCAGAAGTTAACTTCAAATGTTGTTAATCATCCTATATACAATACCAATCAATGACGATTGTGTCGCAGGTTGAAGAAAGCAGTTATTCCCGTCTGTTGTTTTGGACAATGGTGGCAACTGCCTTAGATCGCTAAATTAAATAATTATGCAATCACCAAAGCAAAGTTTATAATATTTGATTAAACTAAAGGCGTTTAATAAAATTTTCATAACGTTAGGTAGAGCACCATAGCAATCTCATTTATTATCAATTTTGCCTTTGTAGTTTTCTTTTAAAGCGTTCACATATAATAGGTCAAAGACTTTGTGATCGACCCTTTTTTATTAGTAGTGTAAAGCTAGAATGAAGAGTACTTCCACCTATCAAGCGTGCTGCTATCAGCCTAGTAGGTATTGCAATTATGGCAATTATTATCCATATATTTTTTTTTATAAAAATAATACTGAATAACTTATCACTGTTACGCACAAATGCTAAGTACCTTTAACAAATATAATCAAATAAACCTATTAGTTACTTTAATTTTAAATATTTTTCATCAATTAAATACTCTTATCCTAACTATATATGGGTCAGGCCGCCATTGATATGGCGCAGAAGTATTGTGTTGGTGGCGTAGAAACTTCTACGCGTCGGTGACGTTGAGTAGCGTATAATAGTGACGAATAAATGTTAAGGTTGGCATACACATGCCAAAATATTAAGATTAAATTATGTTGTATAACGTAATTGCACCAATTATGGACACTTTAAGGATGAAAAGGTGGGTTTTTGCAGGATTATTCCTAATATATCAGGATTTTGTTTAAACATCAATGTTGAGCTTAATGTCCGTCTTTTTTCCTTCATGCTTATGCCGAAAAAGTTAGAAATAATCGCATAAAAATGAGAGATATCATTAAAATATAAACACGGTTTTTAAGCTAATAATGGACAAGGAAAATCATTTAATGGACATCCAGTGATGAACATGCACCAAATATGGACATCTAATAATGAACACAATTTAATAATGGACCCCCACTAATGGACCAGCTCGTTGAATTTAGAATAAGAAGTAGTTTCCTATATCTAAGTAAATAAAAACATCAACAATTTTATAATCAACTAGACATTTATTATATTTTTATTTTTTAAAGCATTTATTTGCTAGATTTTAATCTAAAGAAAATTTTTACTAAAAAAAAATCCACGCGGTCCAGGCAGCAGACGGGACTCGAAACTGCACCCTCCGCTATCCGGGCAGATGCACTGACCATTATGTTACCGTGATCTATGCCTTGCAGCCTAAGAAATACAAGCTGAAATTACACGAATGGGCTTAGTTAGTATACATACATACAGTCAGGTAAAAAGTTAGTATAATAAAAACGAGTGGATACCTACCTTTATTTGGTGGCGTAGAGGAGGTGACGAATATCTACGCTACCGTTGGCGTTGAAGTACCAAAGTGGTGGCGTATTTCTACTTCTACGCTATCGTCGCGTTGAGAAAACCACTTATATCTCTGTAAATAAAGTATGATTTGAGTTGCATTATAGCTCCAAACATGGCTTTCACTTCTACTAACATGATGCACTATTTGTTTTTCGTGTAACAATCAAACTTACTTTTTTATGCACAAAAATCTTACCTTGAAAAAATTGTGTACACAAACTACACCAGACGTTCACATGTCAACTGTCAAAAATATAGCCGCTCGTCAAGCCGCTGCCCACACATTACAGAAACTCAGTAATGCCACTTCCCGATTTGAACTTCACCGATTCCTAAAGTTTAATAGAACATGGAGAATAGGTGGCGTTGACAAAGTGGCGTATAAGTACAGTTTTTGACGAAAATTTATTTGAAATTATTTTCAAGGAAATTCTTAGGATAAACGTTGCTAAATTAAAAGCACGGATAGCTATTAATATAAGTATTCTAAAAGTATCAGCCATGACTCAAAAACTGACATACTTTTTGCTACTACGATAGTTAAAGTGCACCTCTACCTCGGCGGATAGAAGTTTTTGTGTATTTTTACTACCTTTTTTCAGATTTCATTCGAAATATATTTTTTGTTTATTATCTGACCTGAAATAATCATAATGTCCACTTGAGTCACTTTGTTGCTCAATCCAAAGCCGTCATCGAAAATCCGATATCTATAGTACTTTTCAAAATACTGACCGCGGAGAAAACAGTTTTCAAAATCAGCAAAAAATGGCGGCCTGACCCATATACTAATATTATAAAGCGTATGTATATATATAATGTATATATGTGTATATTGTATGTTTGTAACAAATAATCTGTCAAACTACTGAACCGGTTTCAAATACTAATTCATCATATGGTAGCTACATTATTTATTATTTCATTTTTCTTTATTTACCTAAATATATTTTGTCCGAGTGATATAGGCTATATTTTATCCCGATAAAATAAATTTCGCCCGTACAATGCCCGGGTGGATCACTAGTAAGTAATAATAATAGTATAAAGTAAATATAATATTATAGATGCGGAATTGAGTTTGTTTGTTGCGCTTCCGTGCCCTAATAGCTAAATCGATTAAAATGAATTCCCCTATAGAAGTAGATGGGAACTTGGTTCTTAGCTACAACATCGCAATACTTTTAGGCGTAGGGTGGTGAAAGGGGGGATTTACCTATAAAATCTATATTATTTGCTTTGAATTTTGCAGAATTATCGATTATAATTACAAAACCAATATTATCGCGAGCTGATTAATAAATACAGGGATTCCAAAAAGTATGTACCTACTAGCGAAAAATGGGTTATTTGTCATTATATTAAGTAAACATGTTTTGTAACATTAAGTAATATCGTTAAAAAAAATTAAAAACAGTATAATTATGAGTTTTTCATTAAAATTCAATAATCATAAATAGGTACCTATTATAAAAATTTCTTTTTCATCGTTTAATAAGAAGGAACTGTATCACAGTTTTATTGTAAGTACTTCGTATAGGATCAGATACTGCGAGTAGCCCATTTTTTTCTTTTTCGCCTAAGTTTTATCCACGTTTATAAACACCTAAATTAAATTTCTTCTCTTAGTATTCCCGCATTCTACTCCTACATAGTACATCGCACTATCACTTTGTCATCATTGTAACTTTTAAAATATTTGTCGAAATGACATAGTGTAAAAGGCAAAGTTTATCGTCTTTAAATATCAAAAGCGATAAAAGTATTTGTTTTGATAAAAAATAATTTGTTAATACAAAATGTGCATTTTGGAAATAGATATCAAATACTATTTTAGTTTTGATTCACTACTTTAGCGGTAATGGCTTACACATTAAAAATAGATATATGGTGCCACAGACTTTTTTTAGAACTATTTATTTATACATTTTGCACTCTACATGACATTCATGTAACTTTTATTGTTTTTGCAGTGCAGGCCAAAATGGCTCGCAGATGGGAGTTTTTTCCGTCTTATGTGACACTTATTGTTATATTTTGGCCAATTCACTCAATAACTACATAAATTATTATATATATGTTATTATCATTTATGAGCTATATTACTGTTAAGTTTCATTAAAATCCATTCAGTATTTTTTAGGTGAATGAGTAATAAAGATCCATACAAACGTAAGATTGAAATTAAAAGCGCAAGTGGTTAATATACAACTTTAAAGCGTTGTAGATCCTAAACAATCATATAAAATGAAAAATTGTATTAGAAACCTAAACATGATTTTCGATTATCTAGACAGTGATACCCCACTCGACATATTTTGTCAACTTATTTTTTTTACTTCGTCACAATATGGCGCCCTAATTTTGCCCATATTGAATTTTGATTACTATCATATCTTTAGTAGCACTCCCATGGTTGAGACGATTGATGTATGAATCATCAAAATCGGTTCAGGCGTTTGGTCTCTAGTGTGCCACAAAGGAACAAACATACATATGCCAACTAGCAAAGTAACCTTATAACGCAAGAGTAATAATAAGAATAAAATTCTTATAGATATGTTATTAAAGAATTACTTTTACCATTTTCCTTATAAAAGCAAGCCATAAGTATTTTTGGTATATTCATAATATGGTATATTCAACTTATTATTGAGATATATAAGTTTTTATAAAACCAATTTATATGACTTTAAAAAAACACATAGTTATATATAAGAACTTCAAAGGGTGTTTAGTCATAGCATATTTTAGACATATAGTGGTTTTCGCCACATAATATTTGTTTAATTAATAAAGCTGTAATAAAACTAACAACCTTGTATTGGCAAATAAAATCACTTCTATATAACATTTGCTAAATGGTAAATTATATATTTTTTATAAGGGTTCAGTATTTTAGACTGCCTTTATATGATATTTAAAAGGTTTTTATTCCTATCTTACTCTTATTTATGGCTTAACAGCAAGTATTATTCTATGGTAACGTAAGTTAATTGTGCGGATTTCAAAATGGATTTAAAAGAATGGAAAAAGATTAAGCGTAATGGAAGTTACAGACGTACGGTGAAAATGAGATACGAGTTTATGCTGCCGCCAAATACTCGAACTGTAACTGCGACAAATTCTACCCGTGCAACAAAAAATACCGTGGCTAAGGAAGAGGAAGCCAAATATTTAGAGGGTTCTGTACAATCATCAAAAAGATCTCATGAGTATTTTTGTTTATGCCCGGTCTTTTTGTCTTGTCATTATCCAATTCTGAATCAGAATTATAACACATGTTTTCGATTTCTAATTCTGCCCTGTCAAATGTATTCATATTTCTTCTTTTTACTATGCAATTTAAAATTGTCCGATCCTTTTCCGGCTCAGAATGTTCGATCCGGCGTAGTTTATCCACTTTAATTGCAGAAAGAAGAGGCCAAAATAAACGCCCATCATTTTCCCAGGCGGACGTTACAGCGGTGAGAACTGACTTGCCCTTTTCAATCGTACTGACTATTTTATAGGGCATTATAAACCTGCAACAAAAAAATAGTAAAATATGAAACAGGTACCTTTCGCGCACAGCTTTCGCGCCAACATAGAACGCAAAAACGGTCTGATCTACGGTCTGTCCTGTTTAATATTACCTACTTGGCTTGCTCGCCGTCACCTACACTGCTACTCTTCCCCGCGCACTTACCTACACCCACAGGGATTTAGGGTGACTATTAAAGTTTAAAAAATGGAATATATTTTACAAAATGAGAGTACCTGTATTTTAAACATGCTTTTATTAGCTTATTTTATTAATTAAAATGGACTCGGAACAATACTACATGAACACTTTTACAGGTTTAGTACCCAAAATACGTAGTTATACATATATGTACGTACCTATAATTAATGAGAGCAAACTTCACACTCATCAGTAACATAATGATCATATTTTGCAAATTGGCAGTATTGACATCAAAACCAATCAACGTAGAACAAATATTTAATTCCATCTTCGTATAAAATAAAATAGGACGGCATCATTAAAGGAATTAGACAGCGACAAAAAATCAGTTTTATCTTGATTCAAAATGTGTGACTCCAACGCCATCTTACTTTTGTCAATAATTGTTGGAAATCATTTTTTGTAAAGAAGTTGTCTACATCCATATATACTACCATATTTCTAGAAATAAAAGTATAATTAATGTACATGTTGTTTACTATTTTGTTTTGAATTATATTAAAACCAAGCAAAATTCAATTCAAGTAAAATGAAAAATGTGTTTATTTATTCTCAATAAAACTAACATTAATTCACACTTACTCACATTACATATACTTATTTAATTTAAAAAATAATACCTATTTTGCTTCAGATAAGGGAACCCTAAACTTGCATTCAATATGGTGGACCAAATGCCTCCTGACTTCTTTTCAATGTTATACAATAATTCAATGACTGCAGTTAAAAAATAACTTTTCAAATAAAATATACACACATATAAAATAAAATAGTTTTAGAAGTAATAGAAATGCAAATCTTACTTATAATAAGATTTTTTTAAATTTACAATATTAAAAATAAAGAAATGAAAGGGGCATTAAAAAAATGACAAAACTTACCTATGTTTACGATGTATAATCTTTCCAAGGTAGATTTTTGTATAAAACTCCAAAAGACAGTAAAAATTTTCGCCATTAATCACATACACTTATTTAATTACTGAACTTGTAACTTGTGTGAAGAAGTAAACTTGTAGTATTTTTAGTTTTGTTTCTATAAATACCAAAAAATCTACAATAAGTAGAATTTCGAAACCCACTTTTGGAGTGATTTATAATAGCAAGTTCATCGCGCATTATAAGGGTAATTGGACATATAGAATGCATGTTGAATAGCATATTAGTATACGACTAATTAGCATCGTGAATGCTATTTAATAGTAATTATAAGTAGGAATGACACATAATATGGCAACTTTAAAACAACTATAAGGATGTCACCCTTATAATATGTGCCAAAACACGGTCATATAAGCCGTGATATGTGTAGACATTAGTATGTAGTAGTACAAGGGCATTAATTTTAGCTTTATCGACCTTTAAATGACCAGTTTTTGCTATAGACTGTTAAACACTATACCCTGTCTGCGCGTCGCGCTTCGCGCTCTTGCATTGCGCAGTCGGGGAAAAAGTATAGAAGTAAACGCACTATTGTCAGTTGTAACCTACCAAGATTCCGCACTAAAATAAATAAAATAATTGTTTTTTACCCATTAAGTAGGGGCCGTTTTTTTTGGCGCTTTTTGACCCCTCTCCCCTTTGTTTAAGACTACCCCCCCCCCCCCATATCACATGTATTTATTAATATCAAGGTTGCAGGTTGTTTTTGAGTGACATAAAAATAATGAAAGAAATGCGAAAAACTTATACATGAACATTATGTAATGCGAGGAAGACAACCTCTGCAAAAATCACCCCAGGAGTCTCTCGGCGGGCGCCCTGGGTAGCCCGGGTAGCGGCGGGCGAGGCTCTGTTAGTTGGGGCGGAAACGCCATCGGTGAGGGCGGTTGCGGCGCAAACTCCGCGTCGCCTCCGGCCAACCCGTAACCCCGCACGTGGTGTGGGGCCGGGGGCCCCGTCCTTCGGGGCGGGGGCTACAAGGAAGAAAACCTTTTCAAAAATTACCCTTGAAGAGGCAAGGTAGGGTTCCCTCGCCCGGAAGAGGGAAAACAATATGATAATGTCAATAACACAGGCATGAATTTGTCATGCGCTCCCGTTGACACCGGGCGCTCTGGGGTAGCTGGGCCCCAGGGTGAGAAGTATGCTACTAGCGGCCTATGCGCTCCGGCTGGCCACTGGCGCTGCGGGATTACCGGGTCCCACAGTGGTAAATTGGATACCGAGGCGTTTGAGGGAAAGATTAAGGAGCCACGCATCCTGCGCCTCAGAAGCGGCAGGGACAGCGTCATAGAGGAGGAGGTGGACATAACACCAACGCCACCCAAAGTGAGCACGGTGCAAAGGAGGAAGGGCAAGCGCAGGGCTTTGCCATGCACTCCCGAGGAGCCTTAGACCGCCACTGGTGGCGGATCGTCGCGGGGCGGAGACCGCAACGAAGGCGAGGGCGACAGAGCCGTGGAATGTGGCGGTTGCGAAAGGGAAGAAGGTAAAGGGTACGGTTTCGGTTCCTGCAGCCAACCCTGCGTGGAAGGAAGAGACCAACGCGCAGAACAAGCGTGTCCCAACCCAGAAGAAGGGCGTGGAAAGGATGCCACGAATTAAGGTGCCGAGCACCGCCGCAGTGGAACTGAAGGTGAAGCCCAGGGCGGAGCAGCTTGGGCTTCACCTTCACGAACATCGTGGAGATGGCACGGGCGGCTATCGAGCTGCCGTCCGTGGGGATCGATGACGGCCTTAAAATCAGGACCAACCAGACTGGGTCCAGGCTCCTGCTCATATCGGGGACTGGAAATAGGGAGAAAGCCTTAGCCAAGCGCATGGAGGAGGCGGTTGGCGAATATGCGGAGATCGGCAGGCCGGAGAAGTGCGCGGACCTGAAGGTGTCTGGGCTCGACGAGTCCGTGACGCTGGAGGAGGTAAAGGAGGCAATAGCTAGGATGGGAAGCTTCGCGGCGCACGACATAACATCGGGGGAAGTGCATAGTGGGGGAAGGGCCAGGAGGGATAAGGGGAATGCTCGATCGGTGTTCCACATGGGCCGCAAGGAAGGTTGCGGATGGGGGGAAATTGAAGGTGGGCTGGAGCCTGGCAAAGGTGATAGTCCTCAGCCGGCGTGTGCACTGCTTCCGGTGCATGGGCAGGGGGCACGCGGCTGCACGATGCCCGGCGAAGGAGGACCGGAGCATTATGTGATTTCGGTGTGGGAAGACGGGGCACAGGCCGGCGTTGTGCCCTGCTCCACCTCCTTGCGCGGTCTGCTCGGAGAGTGGCCGGCCATCTGGCCACATCATGGGGAGTAGGAAGTGCGACCTTCCGGTTACTAGGGGCAAAGCCCCAGTCGTCGTCGCCTGGACAGGCACCCCCAGAGGATGGGATGTCCGAGTAGTCTAGGCTGCTTGGACTCCTTACCGACTGCTACTGCCTGCGTCTCCCACCTCTTCTCCTAGGAGAAGAGACGGGGAGACGGGAGGGGGGGTGTGCCCCTGCAACGACGGTGAGGGGAGAGGGGCGGGGAGAACTTCGTCCCCCCTCCCGCTCCTCCGGGAACCAGTGGCCAGACGTGGGGGGCGTAGAGTCACAGTTGATGTTTAAATCTAAAGAAAATATAACTAGAAAAAAATCCACGTGGACCAGGCAGCAGACGGGACTCGAACCCGCACCCTTCGCAATCCGGGCGAATGCACTGACCAATTATGCTACCGCGGCCCTCACGGACCGCGTTAAAATTCTTCTAGCCATTCTTTAGCTGCAAGGCAGCGCCATCTCTTCGCATTATAGGCAACTCACAATGCCAAATGAATACTTTTACAAGTATTAAACATTTGAAAGAAGAAATAGCAATTATAGTTATAATTTTTATTATTTTTAAAGCATGCAACTGCTTGATGTCTAAATCTAAAGAAAATATAACTAGAAAAAATTCCACGCGTGGAACACCCGGCTACAGCGCGTGTTGGATTAACTATCAGAAAGACAGTGACGTAATTCTCGTAGTTGCCCGCGCTACGACCGTAGCGTCGTCCGTAGCACTGCTTCTGGAGCTCTACTCTCTTTCTCCGAAACGAAATTTTGATAACGAACGAATTTTAAACGAAACTTCGCCAGTGCCTCTTCTGTATTTCATTTTCAAACACGCACATATAGTTCGGAATCACAAACAATTTTCGTGAACGAATGGAATGAGTCATTTTTGTGAGTTCTTTTATTAACTATCAGAAAGACAGTGACGTAATTCTCGTAGTTGCCCGCGCTACGACCGTAGCGTCGTCCGTAGCACTGCTTCTGGAGCTCTACTCTCTTTCTACGAAAGGAAATTTTGATAACGAACGAATTTTAAACGAAACTTCGCCAGTGCCTCTTCTGTATTTCATTTTCAAACACGCACATAAAGTTCGGAATCACAAACAATTTTTGTGAACGAATGGAATGAGTCATTTTTGTGAGTTCTTTTATCTCCACTTTTACGATTACCTTTGTTATTTAGGAACAATATTAATTAACGTTTTTTTTTGATAACATTAAAAGTACTTTCTTTGACAGTAATTAATTTGTGGAGTTAATGCAAACCATTGTATGACAAATGCTTTGAAGTATTGGAAATACAATAAATAATAATAAAATGATTTAGTTGTTCATTTAACATGCTAAAAAAATTCCTCACGCCAAGCAGCCTTGATTAAAAATACTGTAGCAATAATTTTAGGCTTACTTTAAACAAAAATGTAAAGGTAACATTTTTGTTTCGTCAATTTGGTATTAAAATTTCGAACAACTATCTGTCAAATTCGACTTTTCTTTTGAAAGTTTTGTGAATTAGAGTAGGCTTGGAGTATTAATTTTTCAATCAATTTTCGGACGAACGAACTTTCGAAATGAAATAGAAACAGAGTAAGGAACATACGAAATTTCGATTGAAATTTTGGCCTCCTGGTCGTGACTGCTTCAATGTGCGGCGGGGACAATACATATGCTCCTCTAGCTATCTCGCTTGCACTCGTTGCCGCCGAATAGTAATATCTCGGCAGCCGTACGTCGCCTAATGATTTAAATAAGTAAACAAATCCATTTACGCCATTTTGAAAAGATTTCTTTAAGATAAGATAATAACACTTTTTTGCACAACAGTAACATTCATTTATTGTATAATCCGAAATGCGTAACCTATTTTTATCTTTTTTGTTTCAATCAGATTTTAGCGAGATGGTCCCAAATCCCAATTATTCATTTGGTGAAGATGCCAAGTACTTTCGAATATATAAAAACCTACTTCTCAATTACCAACAGTAGTAACTTAGTTCGTGTTTGGTTATTTTAAGAAATATGATTAGCTTAAAAAAAGTGGGAAATAAAAACATTTTTAACAAATATCAAAAAAGGCTTTAAAAAAAACCACTAAAAAGAAAGGAATAAATAATACATTGAAGTCTAAAAGTACCTGCATTTAAAGTCAAAATAACATTTGGATTGGAATTGGTGATCGCAATGCATATCACCGACACCATTAGGTTTAGAAAAACAAAACCACGTAATTAAAACAACCAACCTATATAAAAAAAAGTACTCGGGGCAAACAGTTAAGTATAGTGCGATTCAAATAAGAATAGGAAAGCCAATGACCTCCATCTGTCAAATGTCGCTTGAAAAGTACGGCTTGCAAAAAAATCATGGAACCCCTTTTTAGCACTCAGCTAACTCTAGAATAAAAACCAAACATTTGTAAACAAACAATAACAACTATTGATAATTAAAATATTGTTTGATATTTCTTTTTCATTTATTGAGCTTTGGCTATGACTGGTTGATAACCTAAATCGTCAACCAAATGTCAATCCTTTAAGTTACGTTCATAAACTCGATTTAAAACTTTCGTTTACATAAAGGATGCATGTTCATATGCGACCTAATAATAGTGCATGATTATTAGTAATGCAGACATGAGCGGAATTAAGAGCTAGATTCCGATTAATGTTTTTTCTCGCACAGTCTTAATATTATTAAAAATCGATTGTTTTTTTTCTCAAACTTAGTAAATAAATTTTATCAAAAATTCTGATGTTTTTTCTCACTTAATGTTAGTAAACATGACTTCACAATATGGCGCCCAGCTGGTCCTATTCTTAGTTGAATGGCATTATGAATGTACCTTTTCACTTATTATTATCGTCGTATTTGATTATTAATTTATAACTTTTTTTAACCAACCAATATCATATCAAACCCTAACAATAAGCTTAAAACTTATCTATTATACATTTACCTAATTATTGACCCCAATTATTCACATTTCAATTTAGAGAGGACCTCCGTAGGTTCTTGAAAATATGACATCTATAACACGTCTCAGTATACAAAATAATCACCTAAATCTAATTTGAATAACTTAGCAACACGTCAAACTTTAATTTAGAGATAGTGGTAGCTTTCCAATTACAGCATTATAGCGCATTATACGGCATAATACTTAACGTTGAGTGTTTCAACTACAGCAACGCTTCGCACAATCGAGCACTCTCAAAAGTAATGTAATGCTTTCTTGTGATGCGTGCAATCGTACCAACTCAGAGACAGAAAATTAACAAGTGTTTTTTCTTTAAGTTGGCATTGATCGAAATGTTTTATTTATATGTTATCGTTAGTAATATTATTTATTGTTGAAAAATTATTAAAACTTTCGTTTCACTATAGTTTTTTTTTAAATAATCAAAGTTAATTCAAAATGTGTTAAAAAATTAAATATAAATATGGATGTAGGTACAAACATTAACTTTTTTTTCAACACTGAACTTAGCGCACTCTGCTGGTGCATTTGAAAACTAATTCACGTTCCAATTAAGCATTAGCTTAATTCGGCATTGTGCGCCACTGAGTCGCATTATGCTCTGTAATTGGAAAACCACCAGTGGTAGCTTTCCAATTACAGCATTATAGCGCATTATGCGGCATAATGCTTAACGTTGAGTGTTCCAACTACAGCAACGCTTTACACAATAGACAAGAATTCTGCAAAATTTGGCTACTAGGGGCGCTGTAATCGCTTGACCCAAAACTTCGATCAAATACATACCTATTAGCTTAAATTCATTTTTAAGCTTTTTATTAAACAACATACAAATGCTGAGTTGCGCTGTTCGTGGTTGTTGTGAGAAAACTGTATAAGTTAAATTATATTTTATATGTTGCTTTGAAAGGGGTAGGATAAAACTGAGCTGCTGTTCATCATTGTATGTATCTGGGGCAGGTAATTGAATCTGGATGTCTTCATTTTGATCAGAAAAACTGCACAAAAATTAAAATTGCGGTCATATGCCTCAAGTCTCTAAAAAACCCCAATGTTATACCTCCCATTTTAGCCAGAGATAACCTAACCCTATGAGATACCTGACTGATGCAAAAATAAGATAGATTTGACTAATGAGTCCGCTAAAAGTTACTCAGATCCATGAACTATTAAAATAATCATGGGAAATGCATCTATGTACCGAGAATGAGCATTCTAGCATAATAATAGAAAGAGAAGCTTTCTACTAGATCAGCATTTCTGCCTTGCACAGATGCTCCTCTCCTTTTCAACTCTGTTTTCAGCTGTATTACAGACCATGTTCAATACATTTTCACCACTTATTTAATATTTTTAACAACAAAAAAACACGTTTAAAATTTGACAGCGGCAAAATTTGGTTGTGGTTTGGGTCAAGCGTTTGCAGCGCCATCTATGTCGAACTTTGCGTATACTTCTCCATTGAGCACTCTCAAAAGTAAGGCCGTATACAGAAAGAAAGCCGAAAGCCGATCGGCGCCGATCGGCGCTGATCGGCGCTTATCGGCGCCGATTCTTCCTACATAAAGGAAGCCGATTAAAGCAGATCAAGCAAAATGTCGGACTCATCGGACGATGATTTGGTTTTGTTAGGAAATGTTTATTTAAAAATGCGAAAAACAGGTATACATCCTATAAATAGAGAAAGGAAACGTTTCGGAGAATACCATCATTTATTTGTTAAAGAATTGAAATTTGATGATCAAAGATTTTATGCATATGCAAGAATGACTAAAAAAACATTTAATTACATTTTGGATTTAGTGGAAAACCGTTTGATGAAGAATTGGTGTAATTGGCATAAACAACCAATCCTTCCAGAAGAAAGACTTCTTGTCACCATTCGGTAAGTACGAAACAAATAATTTTAGCGCTTAGTTAATAAAAGATAAAGTTATTAGATTTATAAAAAGATTATAACTTAGATTGATTTAATCTAAGGATAATAATTCAAATACAAATTATTTATAATTCGACAATTAGGCGCCGATCAGTACGGCGCCAACGCCCTTCGAGGTATCTATGATGACATTTTATGTCGCACGCGTCACAAATTCTTCGAGTGCATTTATCGTAAACCGGCTGGATATACTAAATAAATATTTCCAACACTCACACCAATTAGCCTAGCCCCAAAGTAAGCACTATCAGGCTTGTGTTACATCGATAAGTATATTTATATAGAAATAAATATTAAACATCCATGACTGGAGTACATATGCTCATATTCATTACATAAACATCTGTCCTCACCGGGATTCGAACCCGGGACCTCTCGAGTCGGCGACACCATGAAACACGGCGTTTAAACCCCGCGCGGACCGTTGGACAGTCGAGATTTCGCAGAGCTCCGTGAAAAAATGCGAAATAAATACTAAAGTGTCATTTTCTCGACAGGTATCTAATAAACGTTTGTTAATTTAACGCATTGGAAGCAAATTTTGTTCTAATACTTACTATAAACTGATTTAATAGAAAATATTTGTGATATTGAAATGCATGGTCGGTAATATAGCTGTCTCTTTTCCTCACGGTCCGTATCTGTTACATTGCGAATAGCGCATTCAGAACTGCGCGTAAAATCAAATGAATAAGGTGTATATTCTTCCGCATATAGCAATAAATTCGTAAAATTCTACCTTGCTTGCATTTTGAACTGTCATAACTCTGACGCATACTTTTTAATTAAGACCTTAAAAAGTATGCATTAAAGGTGACTTTCAATGATTAAATAATGCCTTATATTGTTTTTCACTACGCGATCAATTTACTCCGTGCTTAGTTCCGTGGATCATCCAATGTACCTATTAGACAGGTTTCGGCCACGATTTTGTTCGTGAGGTTGTATCTAGGGTATTTAATATCGTTGAAGGGCTCTTAAGACATAGGTAATATTTAAATAAAGAAGTTGTAATACTTAACCGATTTAAATGTTCACTAACTTTATGTAAGTCGACAAACTAAAACAAAATCAATTAATATCTACTCACCGTCTTCATTCATGGCCTCGCTTATTTCTTTCCAACATTTGTCAACCACGTATCTATTACAGTGCCTTTTGTCGGTTTTGTCCCACAGAGGTTGTTTAGTGAATACTAAGGATATCAAAATGTCATTATCCATTTTTCTACTTAAAAAATAATTGCGTGTAGTAATTGACGTACCTGTTGTCGTTGTTTATTAATTTAAAATTGCAGCTGACCAGCGCGAGTCGGCGCCGATCGGCGCCGATCGGCGCTTATCGACGCTTATCGGCGCCGATCGGCGCCGATCGGCTTTCGGCTTTCTTTCTGTATACGGCCTAATGCTTTCGTGTGATGCGTGCAATCGTACCAACTCAGAGACAGAAAATTAACAAGTGTTTTTTCTTTAAGTTGGCATTGATCGAAATGTTTTATTTATATGTTATCGTTAGTAATATTATTTATTGTTGAAAAATTAATAAAACTTTCGTTACATTAAAGTTTTTTTTTAAATAATCAAAGTTAATTCAAACTGTGTTAAAAATTAAATATAAATATGGATGAAGGTACAAACATTGACTTTTTTTTCAACACTGAACTTAGCGCACTCTGCTGGTGCATTTGAAAACTAATTCACGTTCCAATTAAGCATTAGCTTAATTCGGCATTGTGCGCCACTGAGTCGCATTATGCTCTGTAATTGGAAAACCACTAGTGTGTCATTGCAGAATACCAAATTAAATTTGACAAGTCTATAACTAATTTTAGTTAGTAGATATAAGTTGACACGCCAGAATTGGGCCCAGTAAGTTTCCTTTTAAATGTAGCAAGAGCAAGAGACATAATAAAGATATCACATTCAGAGAATTCCTCGTTGTACGTGTTGGTGGAACCATTATGTGTTTCACGCATATATTTTTGACGTATTGGTGGAACAAACAGCGATAGTGTACGTGAGGAGCGCACGGGAAGACGAACTCGACATGGAAATCGAATTTTTTAAGGAGTGCGGACAAATCTATAAGCAAGTTCAGTATTTTGTTGGCAAAACGCTACTGCTACAAAAGACACTGATAATATCGATAAAGATCACGTTGATATTGGCGATATATCGGATAAAGATATTTTTTTGACCTCGATATGTATGTCAATATCGCAAAACTGCATTCTTACTTAGTATGTACAGAGCTATAAAGTATAAATACTAAACATATCGATATTATCGTTAATATCGTTTTAGCATAGGCGATTTATCAGACATCGATTTTCACCCGACTTCTATATACATATCGTTATTTCAAAAGACTGCATCCCTACAATCGACTAAACGTCAGTGTTGGATGAAATGGGGAAACTCACGGCCGGTCGTAAAACTTAAAAAAAAAGCTGACGTCAATTCAAAAGACTGCATCCCTCACAGACCATTAAGAGAAGCATCCCTCCTGCATCCCTTCAACTCTGACAATCAACCAAACGTCAATGTTGGATGAAATGGGGAAACTGAGGGCCGTAAAACTTAAAATAACAAAATAACGTCAATTCAAAAGACTGCATCCCAACAACTGACAATCGAACAAACGTCAACGTTGGATGAAATCAAGAAACTCACACGGCCATAAAACTTAAAAAAAATAATAACAAACTAACGTCAATGTCAATTGCCGAAAATTAATGGCGATGATGGCTGAAGTTGTTTTTTTTCTCTTGCTAAAATAGTAAATAAATGACAACAACCAGCTCAGCTTATTTATAAAGTGGGACGATTACTTTCTTTAAAACAGTAAAGTTATTTGGATCGTTTTTGTTTAGAATTTGTTTAAAATGGCTGATATTCTAGACATACTAGATATTGAACATCCTGGTGCAGGAGAAATCAGCAGAGATAGCATTATTCATGGGGATAAAATAAAGAAAAAGTATATAACTGCCAAGAGTGTGAAAAGACCAGAGGGCATGCACAGAGAAGTTTTTGCATTGCTTTACAATGATTCTAATAAAGATTTACCGCCTCTTCTTCCTACGGACTCCGGTAAATCATTACGATTCCTTAAATTTACTAAGTTTTTCATTTAATTACCAAAATGTTCCTTTCCTTGTTATCAAGATCAATTTATATATATTTTTTCTTTCATAATGAAAATACTTTATTAATCAGGTAAAGCTTATAAACAAACCAAGGCTAAATTGGGCATGCGGAAAGCCCGCAAATGGACCTGGGCCCCATTTAACAATCCAGCTCGTAAGGATAATGCTGTATTTCACCACTGGAAAAGAGCCTCTGATGAAGCAAAAGAATATCCATTTGCACAATTTAACAAGGTATAATACTTTTTCTATTTACCTACTGTGTTCTAAATATTTGTTGTGTACTCTTAACAACAGTCAACCTAGGAGCTCGAACCACAAAGCAACTATAAATATTTTTTTTATTAATACCAATTTTGGATTAATATTGTAGCAAGTATCAATACCATCTTATACTGAATCAGAATATAATCAGTACCTGAAATCTGAAGACTGGAGTCAAGCTGAAACTGATCATCTCATGGACATGTGTCAACGTTTTGATCTAAGGTTCATTGTGATACATGACAGATGGGATCGTGCGGCTTTTAGGGATAGGAGCATTGAAGATTTGAAAGAGCGTTATTATGGCATATGTGCTACCCTAAGCAAGGTAAAATATAAATAGTGTGCTAAGTGCACAGTAACATTAAAATTAATAGTTAATTAATAAATATATCTCTTTTTAGGTAAAAACAAACCCATGGTCAAACACTGTTACCACAGTCAATGGAGAAAAGCGTATTTACCATTATGATGCTGAACATGAAAAAAAGAGGAAAGAGCAGCTCAAGAGATTATTCGATAGAACTCAAGATCAGGTGTGACCATTACTAACTTCAACCAAATTAAGTTTTTTTTTATTTTTTAATCAGACATGAACAAAGAGAAAAGTCATGTTGCCTTATTACAAAATGTAGACTTACTAATGCTGTATCTACCTTCTCATTAGCAAACAAAAATTGCAGTAGTGAACGGCTTTAACTTTAGTAAATGTTATGTTATTAGGGGCATCAGGTTGATTAATGTTAGGAAATAATACAGAGATAAAGTGACGACTAAAGACAAAAATAATTACCACTGAAACACCATTGAAGATTATGTCAGCTAAGCTCAATAATTCAACACCTGATGTATTTTTAAATTAAAACTGGTGAAGTTATTTACCTGATTTCTTTTCCTAGATTGATGAAGAACAAATGCTTCTTACTGAATTGAAGAAAATTGAGGCTAGGAAACGTGAAAGGGAAAGAAAGACTCAAGATTTACAAAAACTAATATCAAGAGCTGATAGTGGTAACATGCCAGTCACAAATACAGTACCCAACAACACAGAGGCAACCCACACTCCATCTAATGTTTCCACCAACAACATTGTGAGGCGCCATGATAGAAAACTTCACAAAAAGAAGTTATCAACTCAACAGAGGCCAGTTCGTACTATGGAAACTGTTGTGAGTGATATTTTAGACATAAAGACACATAATGCAGCCTATAATTTATTACTTGTAAACACAGGCATTGTCTAGTCTGTCACTTTCTTTGTAAATCAGAATTATTATATTACTATAGTACTTCTTTATACTGTTTTCAATGTGAAATTTGAAAAAAGCTGTTTAAATCTTTCAGACTGTAGAATGGTCGGGGATTAAATTCCCAGAGGCACGCAGTACTGGTGTCTGGCTTCGGTCACAACGTATGAAACTACCCCCTGGGGTTGGACAAAGAAAAACAAAAGCCATTGAGCAAGAACTACGTCTCATGAATATTGGTTTGTACATGAAAGTTTATTGCATTCAACTATATTTTTTTTAATTAATCAAGTAACATATTCTATTTCATAAAATATTATCAATCTATGAACTCCTATCAACATGCAATATAATCAAAGCATGGCAAAGAGACAGACAATATACACGGACGTCCAATAATACTTTTTTTTTTATTTATTAAGCATTTTTTGCTGCTGTGTTCTTGATATTTTAATTACAGAAAATCTCAAAGTTCGGCTTGCCTTCTGGCAGAGGCCAATCCAATAATACAATACAACACAAAAGACTTTATTGAAAACACCACAGTACAGTACAGAAATGGGAAAATTAAATGTTTTAAAAGAGTGCTTCAATAGGCGGCCTTATCTCTAAAAGCAATTACTTCCAGACAACCTTCGGATGGAGAGGATTAAAATAATCTGGCACTCGCGCCTCACTCGTCCTTCCTTATGTCACTCGCCACATTGAGAGCATGCATATGTTACTGGCCATCTGTATAATCTGATTTTCTTTATAATACCTAGACAATGTAATGATGAAGTATTATTCATTTTATACTTTGCCTAGGTATTCTATGTGGAATGCAGTCTATAAAGTGTCTAAAAGACATCGATTTTCTTTGTTTTATTTATCTATTATAAAAAAATAAAATTCATCTATTTCAAGCAACATAACTAATATAATAAATTAGTATAGAAATAGGTACATGTCACTAAAATACAACCAATGATTTATTGATTTAAAATTAATTCAAAACAGTAGTTGACTGTTTATGTATTTAACTGAATTATACAGATTGCGAGTAACACATACACTCCACAACAATATTAAACCAATATTGTTGGAACTCATCATCATCAATCAGTCTAACCTTAAAATAAAACTAAAATGTTGAACATCTACACAACTAGATGCCATTGTAAAATGCCTAATTTTATTAATTACTAGCGGTCTCCCGCGACTTTGTCTGCTTGAACTTAAGTTTTTTGAGAATCCGTCTGGAACCTAGAACTTTAGGGGATAAAAAGTATCTTGTCTCAATTCAGGTAAGAAACTGTATGTGCACAGTCATCAATATCAGTTTAGCCGTTTTTGCGTGATTGAGTTACCAACATTCAAACTTTTATTATATTAGTAGGAAGTAGGATGAACTTTTAGTAATCTGAACATTCCAAATATCCAGCACCCTCTTGATTTTTAAGTGCTGGATTAGTAAGCTTCTTTTGTATTTATAAACAATGTTTTTAAAATTTAAAGTAGGATAGGATATAACTCGAATCAAGCTCTAAAATTTCCTTCCTTCCAATCCTTGATTTGCAGTCTTTTTTATTTAATTTATTATGCAACTATGGATTTTAGATATAGCACCAACACCAACAGAGGCAATATGTAAGCACTTCAATGAACTCAGATCTGACCTTGCACTTGCTTTGGATCTAAAGAATGCATTAGCTGCATGTGAATTTGATCTGCAAGCTTTAAGACATCAATATGAAGCTCTCAATCCAGGAAAGGTAAACATGCATTTTACCATATTATTATTTCATTAAATGAAAATTTTATCAAATTTGAATAAATCACTTTTAAACCTAACTTCATAACGTTTCAGACCCTCCCAATACCAGCTTCATTATGCAATACAACAGATGGGGAAACAAAACCTATGGGAGAAATCATCGATGTGGTGGGATCTCCAAGTGCACTGAATTCAACTATATAGTATTATGTACAGCTATAACCCCTCATTCCTGTGCTATTTGGCATTGAAGAACAGTTTGTGAAGATAATTGTGATTAATCCTAGCTTTAAAAATCATAAAATACTAGCAAACCCGGCGAACTCCGTTTCGCCACCAGATGGCTTCGTTTTATGTAACATTTCGTTTGGTGATTAAAAGAAGTTTTTTTTTTAATTTTTCCTGAACTTTCTTTGCTATAAACCTCATGAAGCCCGAGACCTTTCCAACGAAAGCAAAACCGTGGAAATCGGTTCGTGCGTTCTGGAGTTATAGCGTCAGGAAGGAAAACCCGACTTATTTTTATCATAAAATATAAATGAATACACAAAATTTTCTGAAATCTTTTATTTTGTTACTAGATAGCTCCCTTTGGGGCACCATATGCATCTGGCATCCTTTCAATAGTGTATTTATGCTGTGCAACATACATAATTGGAACACCAGGTATCTTTCTTATTCGTCTTTTTAAATCTTTGTCATTAGTGGCTACTATATAGCACTTATGCTGAGTAACTCTTTGAACTATACAGTCATCTGCATAGGTCCCTTTATGTAGACATGCAATACGCTCAAATCGAGGGTCCTTTATAATTCTTAATGCAACCCTATACTTTCTTCCTAATTTTTCTAATTCACCCAAAACACAATCAGTTATATATGGTATACACTTTGCATAAAGACAATCCATCATATTTTGTACTATATCTAGTTTGTTCTTGATAGAGAAGTTAATGAAATTAGTGTCAATAAGGATGTGATAAGGTGGCCCTAACTGAGTATTATATTGAAAAAATAAGGCAGAACTCGCTTGTGGCACTTCTCGAACTTTTATCTCATGTGGGTCTTCTCGTTTTTTCTTCTTTGGATCAGCTCTTTTTTCAGCCTTAATGCGATTATCACTGGGGCTGATCAGTTTTTTCATTTTCGCGAATCTTTTTTCCACAATTTTTCTTGTCTTGCGCTGTTTACCCTTGAAATGAAACATTAATGAATAAAATAAATGAAAGATATAAAATGAATAAGAAATATAACCACTCAACTTACCATGTTAATAACTTTTGAAGAAAAACCTTGAAAAAAGACCTATGTGTATTACTATAGAACTGATGAATTCAAGGTTTTGAGCATATAAATTTTTCAAAAACGATAGGACCTTGTTTCTAAAGTTGCAATGTTGTTAACAAGAAAGCATTAAAACTATTCCTCACAGAAACAATAACTGTTGACCTCTCCGTACCCTGTACCTGAAAAAAACAAATAATAGTTTATTATGTTGGGCCGGTATCAAACGAAATAGTCTTTCGATATTGTCTTCACTGAATTATTTATACCACGCAGAGGTACCTTTTATTTTGATTTTGGGGTTAGGTCACAGTAGGCACCAGGGTTGCCAGATGTAATGTTATGATTACCCCAAACTGAATTTATCATTTCCCCAAAATGATCCGTTTTTTAAAAGAAAACCCGCTATCGCTTTGTTACTTAAAAAAAAAGAAAATGTCTAGCGTTTTTACTATGTCTAAAACAACGATCCCCAAAATTTATTAACTATATTAACGGGTACGGCCAGAGTGTACTCAGATTCAGATTCCGAAAACAAGCGCGAGAATTTAGACATAGTAAAAACGCTAGACATTTTCTTTTTTTTTAAGTAACAAAGCGATAGCGGGTTTTCTTTTAAAAAACGGATCATTTTGGGGAAATGATAAATTCAGTTTGGGGTAATCATAACATTACATCTGGCAACCCTGGTGCCTACTGTGACCTAACCCCAAAATCAAAATAAAAGGTACAGCCGACGACCACGGACGGCAACGCACGCAGACCAGGGCTCTTCCCACGGTGCGTGTCGGTCTGTGTAGATCTTTTGATAGCTTCATTTCAAAATGCAAAGTGAAAGTGAGTGCACTCTGGCCGTACCCTAAGGGTAAGGGTAGAAATATACAGTGTAGTTTAAGCAGGTTGCCTGCTGCCACTATGGCCACCCTGCTTAAACTACACTGTATATTTCTCGCGCTTGTTTTCAGATTCAGTACCTAAGGGTGCGGCCAGAGTGCACTCAGATTCAGATTCAGATTCCGAAAACAAGCGCGAGAAATAAACAGTGTAATCTAAGCAGGTTGCCTGCTTTTTCTCGCGCTTTGTTTTCTGAGTCTGAATCTGAATCTGAATCAGGAGTGCACTCTGGCCGTACCCTTCGACTACACTGTTTATTTCTCGCGCTTGTTTTCGGAATCTAAATCTCAATCTGAATCTGAGTGCACTCTGGGGTACGGCCAGAGTGCACGAGAAATATACAGTGTAGTTTAAGCAGGGTGGCCATAGTGGCAGCAGGAAACTTTTTTTTTTTTTTTATAACGCAGGTAAAAAATCTTTTTCTGCGAATACCTCTACACTGCTTAGTGCGGAGCCGCAGGGTCCCCGTTAGGGATTCTACCACGGCTCCGCCCCCAGCAGCTTCCCGGCCTCGCCGGGGCTCCACGGCAGGGGTCTCCCGCGGTATTACGGGGACCCCGCAGACGTGCGCAGGTAGGCCCGCGCATGGGGGCTGAGTACGCGGCCTAGTGCCCACCGTACCGCCCCCCGTCCGCTGCGGAGGGGGCAGCAGGCAACCTGCTTAAACTACAGTGTATATTTCTACCCTTACCCTTAGGGTACGGCCAGAGTGCACTCAGATTCAGATTAAGACTCAGAAAACAAGCGCGAGAAATATACAGTGTAGTTTAAGCAGGTTGCCTGCTGCCACTATGGCCACCCTGCTTTAACTACATTGCTTCTTCTCCCTTAGGGTACGGACAGAGTGCACGAGAAATATACAGTGTAGTTTAAGCAGGGTGGCCATAGTGGCAGCAGGCAACCTGCTTAAACTACAGTGTATATTTCTACCCTTACCCTTAGGGTACAGCCAGAGTGCACTCAGATTCAGACTCAGAAAACAAGCGCGAGAAATATACAGTGTAGTTTAAGCAGGTTGCCTGCTGCCACTATGGCCACCCTGCTTTAACTACATTGCTTCTTCTCCCGTGAACTTATACTTGTTATACTTGATTGTAATGAAAATTTTACCGTACTCTAGCTTTTTTACAGATATTAGGATAGATTGTAAGAAGCTTAAGTTTAAATCGGGGATTGAAGAGTGGTCACAACTGGCCGCTTTATTGGAAAACGAGTTTATATCTCTTAAATTATTGACTTTACGGAAAAAATAGTAGAGTACTTTTTTGTTTATTGCTAAATTTTGTAACTTCTTTGTGTAAAACTTTTTATTTGTAACTCTTATCATTTTTTAATTATTGTTGTTTATTAGAACATGTTTGTATTTTGCCTTTATAAAACCTTAAAAATGTCATAATTAGATAAAAAACGTCTTATTTATTCTTGATTAAATTCCCTACAACTTTTATATAAAACTTTTTTTTATTAATTAAATACTTTTTAAGTTATGAGTGTTAATGTGGCGCAAAAACGGGAATTGAAGTTACAGAAGTTTCCGAAAAACTCACTTAGTTTCATACAAATTGAAGTTGATAATGATTTGTGTTGGATTGTTATTGATTAATTCAAAAAAAAGTAATTAAAAAATTAAAACTAATATATAAACACTATTAAATATTATATGTATATGATATTAGTGATGAAAATCAATTGCACATGTTCAAAACTCTGATATACTGCGTCATTACTATGTTAACGACGCACAACTTTAAAAGTATTTATTTAATAAAAAAAAGATTTAAACAAATGTTGTAGGAAATTTAATGACGAAATTTGACTTTTATAAGATGTTTTTTATGTGTTTTTTTTATTAATTAATGGTATTTTAAATGTTTTATAAAGGAAAAACCATAACTACATGTTTAAATAAACAACAATTATTGAAAAACTGTAAGAGGTACAAAAAAATATATAAGACATAAAAGTTAGGAAATTGAGTTATAAACAAAAAAGCGTAGTCCTTTTTTTTCGTAAAGTCAATAATTTTAAAGATATAGCTATAAAAATGTTTTCCAATATGGCGGCCAGTTGTGGCCACCCTACATTCCCCCGATTTTTAAACTTAAGCTTCTTACGACCTACCCTTAAATCTGTAAAAAAGCTAGTGTGGTAAAATTTTGTTATTTGGCTTTCCTCTATTGCTTGGGCTATACAGAGTAAGCCGAGCGAGCGAAGTGGTAAAGCTCGTTTTCTTTTTCTAGAAGTTCCTTCATTGGATAAAAGGTACTTAGTTTAAGTTTTTGTTGATCCCTAACCTCAAATTTGAATCTTCAATATCCCTGAAAGTATGCGTTTGCTTTGCTGGGGATGGGTTTTGGCTGAAAGGGGGAGTCCCCCTACCCCAAGCCCGTAAAATTGTCGGCCACTTTTTAGTACCTACTTATTCAGGAAAATAGTACCTTGACGGTCTACAATTTTATATCTAAAATAGGTAAGATACTCTAAAATTCCGGACAAATTACCATTTTTATACAATCAAAACCCATGGAAACCACAAATATAAAAAGCCATATGTTATAAGCATATTCATTCACTTTGCTTCACAAGTTTTCCTTATGACTGCATCATTGTTTCATTCATTTTTCACACAAGGGTAAGCAGGAACTCCTGCTACGCCCCATTGTAAAAGCTAATAACAAAAATATTAGTCGAAGCAACGATAATTAATAACTAGGTAGGTACTTATAATAATAAAAATTAATACGGTTGTGGAAACTAACATACAGTCAACGATCAAACTTTTGCGGTCGTAGTATATCCAGCCAGTTTTACGATGAATGCACTCGTAGCATCGCTCGGGACGCGTGCGGTACAAACTGACACAGGCCCGACCTCAGTATAAATTGCATTTTACGGGTGATGTTTCAATTCTTATAAAATAATTATTAATGAATTAATTATAAAAAATATACATATTTCAGTAGTTCAATGATTGTAGATTAATTTTATGAAAGTTTTTGATAGTAATTCTATTTAATTCAATATCAAAATACGAGGTAAACGAGCGTTATTTTTTGGGAAAACTCACGGAGGTTAGATGTTTTTTTTAATAATTAATGAGATGGAAAATCAATATTCTAATACATTATGTTTCAACAAATACATATTTCTGATGTCGTAGTAATTAATTTGATCTAATTTATTGAACATTATTGAGAGATTGAGGCGTTTGAAGTTGTGCATATTATCGTTTTTTCCGTAAACTAGCTGCGGTAGAACGATCAGTACAAAAAAAGGAAAATAGTATTTGCAAATATTCTACATTAATTTTCAATAGGAAGAATAAATCTAGAGTTTACTTCTATTATAAATAGTCAAAATGTCTTCTAAGGGGGTAAACGAGGCGCTCAAAAATTGCGATTTAGTGCAAAAAATGTGAAAGGGCTCTTAATGTCAATCCGTCATCTTTGTTTGTCAAAGTTGCGCGACATAGGATGCGCACCAAAAACGTAACGAGGTCATTCATCGATAGATTTTACTCCTCACATTTTTCCTCCTTATATATCGATTCTTATGGAGTAAACTCCAAAAATAAAGAAAACATCCAAGGCCAGAATAAATGAATAAAAAGACTTAGAATAGGTCATTGCCTTTTTAAAGATCACCTGTACCGGCTCAAGATTGTCAGTTCACCTGTTTGTAACTTCTGCAACATAGATAATCAGTCCCTGGAACCATAATCTTTTTCTTTTGCGATTAATTTCAAGTACAGAGAAATTTGCTGCTTCAAGACCTTCGAAGTACATTTGTCGAAGAAACCATCCCGCGCGACTTGAGAAAACTTTTACCAAATAACGACACTTAAATTTCTTTATACAAATTTGTAAAAGCTACTGTCCAAACACTTTAAGGAAGAGAAGTTTACACACAGGGCTGTATGGACTTTGAATCCTTTGCCCGTTCCAACAGGGACAAATTGACCAAAAAAAAATAGAAGGAAAACAGAAAATCAAAATAATTGTTTCTGCATGGTTTCATGTACACAGTGTACACTGTACTAAATTACTAGGAATAAAACCTTAGTTTCTGATTAAACTTTTGTTGTTTACAGTTACATTTATTTGATGAAATAAAATTCATGTAAGTTTAAAGAAATTGAAGTTTTATTGGAAACACGTAAATTTCCACATGCAAAACTTTTGCGAATAAACTTTATTTTTTTGTTTTCTCTAGCTGTACTGGATGCTCGCACGGAATTTGAAAAATCTAATTGAAATTTACATTGCAGTATGGCTATGTGTAGGGCGTGTCTAGCTTCCAATGCTTTAATAGATTTTGATGAATCTCTTCTAAGAAATTATAACTTAATTACTAATTTAAATGTAAGTATTACATGTAAATTACAGGATAAAAGTGTACAAGATTTAATTTATACAACAACTACAAATTTCATCTTAACATTTTATACATTTAAGGTTAATTTATATGATGGTCTTCCACAATCTTTCTGTCATAGCTGTAGCCAAGCTATTACATTTTTCATAGACTTCAAGGAGAAATGTATAGAATCTGAGATATATCTAAGAGAAGCAATTGAGGTAAATTTAATTATTTTCATATTAATTTTACTATAGCTAAAATTATGATACTTTTAATCTACTAATTTTTTGTGTTGTTAATTTTACAGAAAACAAAAGTAGAAGAAACTGTTATTCAACCCATCAGTGAACAGACATTAATTAAATTTGAACTCAAAACAGAAGAAGATGTCTTTGATAATTTTGCCAATGATACAGAGACCTATATAGAATTTATAAGCAATAATGAAAATGATTATTTGAATATGGATGAAAAACAAGAAGGCATACAGGGTATGGTATACAGTTAATTTTAAAATACTGGTTACCACACAGTACTAGATATTATATTCTCCTCCTGGGTCCTATTTAAAAAAATATTTTTTGGGTTGGTAAACTTTTTATTGAGGAAGGCTATTATCGGCTATATAACATAACGCTATGATGAATACAAAAATGAAAAATATTGCAAAAACTGGAAAAATTATGTATGACAGAATTTTCCCCCTTAAAATGTTCTACAAAAAAGTCTGCAACATCAATCTATCCTTATAAGGAGTGACCAACTATAAAGTTTTTCCTTAAATTAATGTGTGTGGAAACACAGGGCACCTTTAGTTATTAAATATGTATAGATTTATTTCTTTTTACAGAAAACACAGATGAATCTTTACCAGAAACCAAAGAAAAGATGAGGAAGCTTGCTAAAAGCCTAATTAAATTAAAACAAAAGAAAGGTAAATAACATAACAACCTTAATGCAACTGAAATAAGTGTACTAATTACACTATGTATTATCTAGAGTCTCATTTTGTCTATAGTCAGTTGTATAGCAAGAGTATATAAAATATTGACTTTGGAAGACCATTGTGAAAAGTAACTTAACATCCACAATTATTGGATCTACCCATTTCTTCATCTTTCCAACTAAGTCAGTACCTAATGAGACAGATGCCATTTAAACCATTTGGAAATTTACGCTGTGAATTTTATGTTTAAAATAGTACATTGTACACACACAGGAAAGTAATTGATATTTATATTGATTTAATATTTACAGAAAGTAATAAATCTTCCCTGATGTTCTCAAAATATCCTTAATTACTCCAATATATAAAACTGGCAATAAGAATGCTATTGAAAACTACAGGCCTATTTCAATTCTCCCAACCATATCTAAAATCCTAGAAAAAATTACAAATAACAGACTAATTAACTATTTGGAATCAAATAATATTATTTCTGACAATCAATTTGGTTTTCGCAAGGGAAAATCTACTAATGATGCAGTACTCAGTCTTACTGAATTTCTCACTTGCAATCTTGACTTAGGTAAATGTATAGAGGTATATTTTTAGATATGGCAAAAGCCTTTGATACAATTTCCATTCTAATACTTCTTGCTAAATTAGAAAAAATAGGGATCCGTGACCAACAGCTTAAATTTTTTTCAGATTATATGTCAAATAGATATCAATGTGTCAAAGTTAATTCTTGCATAAGCGATAAATTAAAATTACAGTATGGAGTTCCACAGGGAAGTATTTTAGGCCCAACCCTTTTCCTTATCAATGATCTTTTGCATCTGGAGCTTCCCAATGGTAAAACAACTTCCTACGCAGATGATACAGTTCTTCTTTTTAGTGCACATGATTGGGATAGTGCTTTTGGTGATGCCCAGGATGGTATGAATTCTGTTCAGAAATGGCTCACAATTAATAGACTTTCGCTAAATGTAGATAAATCTAAATATATTAAATTTTCGATAAAAAATCACCAAATTGTAATACTAACTTAAAAATTAGATTCCATACTTCCTTGACTGACAATATTGTTAACCATGAAAGTTGCTGTTCCTGTTTAGCCATGGAATCTGTTCAATCTATTTAAATACCTTGGTATTATTATTGATGAAAGTATCAACTTTTACAAATAGAATTCGTAAGTTGATGCCTATTTTTAAGAATATACGTCATGTTCTGGAACCTCATCGTCTTAGCAGGTGTCCTATGCGCTCTGTCAATCGTTATTGTGTTACTGTATCGCTAGTTGGGGTGGTGCAGCTAAAACAAAAATATTAAAACTAGAAGTAGCTCAAAGAGCAATACTGAAAATTTGCATGTTTAAACTGTTTCTGTATTCAACTTTTGACTTGTTTCAAGTTTGCGATGTACTTACGGTACAACAACTGTTTTTACTAAATACAGGGCGTCCCACGGCTACCTCACACGGAGGGAAAGTATATTAAATATTGAAGATAGGATATTTTACTGAAAGAAGACATCATTTCATTTTTAATAATAACTAGAACTGCATTCACAGATTTTTTTAAAATCGCATGCTACAACTGGGAATCAAACTCGTGAAATTTCGAAAAAAAAACGCGACATATTTTATGATAACCATCGAAAGGGTTAATCATAAGGATTATGTTTTGCTAAATAACATAGCATTTTAAATGAAGGGAATGTCTTATTACGTGATAAAAATAATAAAGTGTTATACAAATTGTAGTACCTATGCATTTCTTTTTGAATTCAGTTACAATACGATTGGCTGAAATTTGTAATAATAATTCGAAAATGGACCATATAAATTTTCAAGCCTGTGTTCTTTTGTTTTTCGTGAGTTTCATTTTCGTTTATTTGCATTTTTTGTTAATTTACTTACCATGGCGCATCAAAATAAAATAGATTTAATGTAAGCTTACTCTATGAACCACAAAGACATATCATTAGCTTAGCGGTGGTACCGCAAAAGATATCCTGATAGAGACAAACCTTCTCGATATGTGTTTAAATAATGAAAGAAAGATAGAGAAAGATTTTAATAAGTCATTGTAAATAAATTAACTAAAAATTGCAAATAAATGAAAATGAAACTCACAAAAAAGAAAAGAACAGACACTTGAAAATTTATGTGTTCCATTTTCGAATTATTATTATTACAATTTTTTACCAGTCGCATTGTAACTGTGAGTTCAAAAAGAAATGCATACGTACTACAGTTTGTATATCAGTTCATTATTTTTATCACGTAATTCACATTACTTTTATTTAAAATGCTATGTTATTTAGCAAAAAATAATCCTTGTGATTAACCCTTTCGATGGTTATCATAAAATATGCCATGTTATTTTTTTCGAAATTTCACGAGTTTGATTCCCAGTTGTAGCAGGCGATTTTTAAAAAATCTGTGAATGCAGTTCTTGTTATTATTAAAAATAAAATGTCTTCTTTCAGTAAAATGTCCTATCTTCAATATTTAATATACTTTCCCTCCGTGTGAGGTAGCCGTGGGACGCCCTGTATAGTTCTCAGGCAACATGCCTTGCTTACCTTTGACGTGAGTAGCACAATTCTTTCTTCTCGGCGAAAATATGCAGTATGTCGTACACAGAGGACACGTACGAAATTCAGTCACAGGTTTTTTTAATTTTTAGGTCCCTATTTATACAATGAAATTAATAAACTGATGAATATTTACCCATTACCCAGGTTAGTATGTAAAGAAGTTATCTATTCGCTATGTGCACGACAGTAGCGCCACCTACAATGCGCAACTTTCCGGGATTATGCCAAATAATGACATCAGTTTGTATTTTATTGATTTCTAGTAACTATAGTAAATTAAAGATAAATAAAAAATATTATAAGTAAGTACTTAAGTATAATAATTTAAATACTGTCGGATTTCAATTCGGAATTCAGTACAGTCAATAATAACTCTTGTATTGATGTAATCTGGACTGAAACACTTGGGCATTGTTGCTTGTACGGTGGCTCTATTCGGCCAAAAGATTAAATTAGCAGTTGAACAAGCTACATTTTGTAAGATCGAATGAAATATACGTGAGATTGTGGTTTTGTGTACACCAAATAACACACTCAATGCTGAAAATGTCAAGCCAGTTTTCATTGTTATCAAAAAAATCAGAAGTCGGTCTTTAGTGGAAACTGTACAGTTTTTTTATAGTTAATAAAAACTCAAAATTGCTAAATGACACACCAGCAAGATCTAGGAGTTCTTGATCATTTTTTATTGATGAAATACCAACAAATTCTTGACTTTTTGTTTCGGTAGATTGATCCTCATACGATTTTTTGTCAGTGCCACAGCTTTTATCTTTATTTCTTAAATTATTTGTCATTAAAATTCTTGATGTTGCTATATCTGCTTGGATTTCAGCATCACAGTGATCGTTGTAAATTAATCTAATACAAATAAAAATTGTATCTCTTAATTTCGATTCAGAAAACATATTGACTTGACATACTTGATCGACCATAAAAGGTTGAGTTTGATTTAATTATTATTTGACTTGATGTGGTATCTGAGACTTTGTGGTTCATCGTTTTGTCAAGTGTGTATATCTAGCTAGGACCTGTGAATCATTAACCTTCCTCTTTCGATATATTTCAGGGAATATTCGAAGGAGCATAACTCGGATTTTCTTCCTCATCTGATTTTTTTTCCCATAAAATGTTCACTACAAATTGTGTCGTCAGGTTTGGGATACCATGGTGACCCATCTACACTAAAATAATAAAGAAAATAATGAATATCACATAAAATATAGCGCAAATAAAATTGATCATAATTTATGGTTATTTCGCTTACTTATTTCTTTTTATGGCATCTATCCACTTATTTCTTTGATTTAATTTCCAGTCCAATGTAGGAAATATAAACACAGACTATTTGTGCCGTTATTTTTGCAGTTCACAACACAACAACATCTATTATTAGGCTTTTTAAAAAATTTATTTATTACGAACTCCGTGCAAATTGACTTTACTTTCCCGGATTGTTGCGTATTTCTGCCACGATAAGCGCTGCGATCGTTTCACAATACCCCCACCATGTACTTCGCACATAGCGAATAAGTGGCTTCAAGCAATGTCTTATGAAGAAACCGAAAACTTTATAAATATACTAACTTGAATTATTCAAACTGATACATACACGTATGCTACAAATACTAATAGCTAAATACATCCGCACTTAAACACATATACACAAACACACACACATACACATACACATCATTTTCATACATTACTTAATTTAAATATTATACTCATAGATGCCTTGCTTTTAAAATGAATTACTACCTATTGATCTTTTCATTTATGAGATATGTACTTAATATTCTCATGTCTGTGGTTTATGGCGCTGCATGCTGAAATACAGGCATTGCTTAGTTCAGCAGCAGAGGCTAATAAATTATATTTTCTGTAACTAGTGCTAAGTTTGTTACGTAATCTTACTGTACTGATTTTTGGTCAATAAATCTTATTATTATTATTGGAGTTTACTCCTTAAGAATCGATTTGCATATATATAAGGGGCCCGGTATGAAAAAAATGTGAGGAGTAAAATCTATCGATGAATGACCTCGTTACGTTTTGGTGCGCATCGTATGTCGCGCAACTTTGACAAACAAAGATGACGGATTGACATTAATAAAAAATTTTAAAATCTGAACTGAATTTAGATATTCTTTCTGATAGAGCAATGGGGACAACGAGGTAGGGTACAACCATTGATGCGGTATTTTCAAGATTCGTGAACCACGTATCTACGAACGTCCATGTGTCTTATTTTAGTTATCATAAACCACTTGTCACAGTAATTAATAATGCAAACAATGTTGATTTAATTATTTTTTTAAAAAATGATAATAGTCTGATAATAATAATTACATAATTTATCAACATTCCTAATGATATATTTATGCACATCTCAAATTGACTATTGTAAAAAGTTTAATGTAAAATATTTCGTCAATTAGTTATAATAAATGTATATGAAATGAATAAATATATATTTATATTCGTATATTATTTTCATTAATTTGTTAATTTACCCTTTCATACAGTATCAATCTTTTAAGTTAAATAAACTCTTTTTGCGTCTGGTTAGACTATCGAACTTAAGGAGTAAGCTCCAGTCGTGCGTCGGAGCTGACACACACAATTTTTTATCTTTAAAAGAAACAAAGAAAAAGAAACAAAAGGTTACTAAAGGGAGTTCCCAAATTAGCTTGAAACAAAACAAAGGTAAGTAGCAAGTTTAATGCATCTTGCACATAACCAAATTGATATCAAATTGGATTTAATTTTTGCATTTGAAACCAATGTTTACATAACTTTCAAAATGTGTAATATTTTTAGGGTTCATGTATGTTTGTATGTTTCCTTGTACATACAACCATAATTCCTAAATACCTGAACAGATTTTAAATGAGCCATCTTTTCTTTGAATATACATTTATATATGTTCTGGTATTTTGAAGTTTTGGTGGAACAAAAAACTTGCATACAATAGATACATGAACACTGAAAACATTGCACTTCCATTTTGGCAGCCAGGAAAAAGTACACTCAGCATCATCACTCATCATAACTAGTATTTCTTCAAACCCAGACACCTTGCAGACACTGAACACAGTAATGAAAGATGATTGTAAGAAGAATGGCTTACAACTGATGGGCAAAAATAATATTAATAACAGGTTTTGTTTTTCTTTTTATTCCGATTTCAGTGCTACATTGATATACACTTAATCACTTTCTGTTCCTTTCACCGAATGTTGAATATCGGACAGCAAAGAAAAACATCTTAGGAACAATTTTTTTGACCATAATATATTACAATGTTTATATTACATGAGTAAAACTGTTCAGTTTACGCGTGGCCCTAACTCGAGCAGTGTACGGAAATTCCTGATCAATCAACTTACTATTTAGTTTGCCCTGTGTTTCAAGTTGCTGCGTAAACGTACATCTGGACATTATGGCGTCTCACTAGTGTGTGATGTCATTTTTGTCTTGGCCAATCCCAGGTGTTTCGGTCATGTGACCATGAAGCAAAAGAATCATTTCTATTTAATAATAAATAAATAAATATTTCCAACACTCACACCAATTAGCCTAGCCCCAAAGTAAGCACTGTAAGGCTTGTGTTATGGGATACTAGGGTAACGGATAGAATACATATACAGTACATATATAAGTATATTTATATAGTAATACATATTAAACATCCATGACTGGAGTACAAATGCTCGTGTTCATCACACAAATATCTGCCCCCACCGGGATTCGAACCCGGGACCTCTCGAGTCGGCGACGCCATGAAACCCGGCGTACAAACCACTCGGCCACGGAGGTTGTCAATTAATGATTTTATAAAAAAGATATTAATTATTTGTTCTTTCAGAATAGTAAAATCGCTGTTAATATTCATATTAAATCTTGATGCCAACAATTGGTACATTATTTTTTCATACTGCCAAATAGCCTAAACTAAAATCAAACTCAAAGATTTTTTTCTGTATGCCATTCTTCATTTTCGAGGTACATAGAAAGGTCAAAAAATTAACAGAGTTTGAAATAACTTCAATCTTGACATTAAACTTATTTTTTTAAGCCTAACATTGTTTGACTATTATGATTGTTTTAGTAAAAACTTTTAGACCATCTTAGCCAGAGAGCAAATGTGGTGCACAATCAATTTCCCAATGCGGAATTGGTATTTTAAGACTTTAATGACAAGTCTACAGTTAGGTTTTTCCAAAACTGAATGTGCAGGGATCTTTGCTCATGCATTCGCTCTCACTCATGACTTGATGTAGCTAGTTGATCAGCCTTCCAGGATTCTAGATATTCCAAGTCAAACGCCTTGTCTGCTGCACGTTCGTTGTGGTGTACTGCATAATTCGTAAATTTTGTTACAGCTGAAATAAGATACACTCGAAGTAAGAAATACCTTGGAAATAAAATTTATATGAGGAAGCCTACAGACATACCTGAAAACAAATCGTTACATTGTGGTAAGTACTGATTAATTTAGTATTAAGTTAATTTGAAATTAATTTATTATTTACGATACGTTTTATCTAATGCGTAAAGCTAATTGATTAGCATAAATTAAAGCTGCTAATCTTCCTGCTAGGCTATACCCTACTATATATCTAATGGAGGCATAACATACCATTGATACGTATTATATATTTTTTTACTGTAATTTTTATTGAGTTCTATAAAATAAAATAATAAAATCAATTTAAATAAAAAAAACTTGTTTCAACATTATTTAATTTTATCGATAAAAGGACAAAATTTGCAAGCACTAATCGAGTAGAGGGTTGCGTTCTTGAACTTCCAGTTTGAATCGTATCTTATGTTCTTAGCAGTAAAGTGGTAAATCACATTAGCTTAATATAAAATACGCCATCTAGCATCGAGTAGAAACACTAGAATAAATTAGTTTTAAATTTAGTCGTTATGCCGTTTCTAGTGTTTCTACTCGACGCTAGATGGCGTACTTAGAGATAAATTATAGAATAACTTTAAAACTAAATAAATAATTAGAGATAAATTATAGAATAAATTTAAAACTAATTCATTACAGATAAATTATTGAATAAATTTAAATTATTCGACGTTAATGACGTACCTTATATTAGTTTTCGTTTTTGTGCTATATTGCTAAACAAGTAAGGTTAAATTTGAATCTCCAAAAAATGTGACTTATGCTGATTTGCTTCTGTGTATTGTCTATTTTGAGCAATCGGGGTGTCTTAACCTTTGTTTGTGTTATGTTAGAGGCGTAGCTTTAGTTTTTAATGTGTGAGTTTTGGTTACACTGGTTCTGGTACTGAAACGATATGATGCTACTTCTACTCTTTTTTCTATATTGTGGCAATATCCACTAAAGCTGATATGATTAGGAATCCTTTCAATTACGTGCAGTTCTGATACTTTCTCACTGCTACGTGGACGTTGTTAAGTATGGACTGCAAGTTTTATAATAAAATTAGAAAATGAAGCTCAGCAAAAATTCGACGTTTACTTTTTATCGCATGCCGTACCGCGCGTATGATACGCGGTCGGTTACCCGTTTTCTCTAGCGGTTGGATGGTGTTGGTGGTATGCCATACTCATAGCCTGTTTTGGGTAAAAACTCTAAAACTCGATTTTAGAATGGTCTCTTATGTTCAAATGGCACCTATTTCATCCCCTAAAATTGGCATTAAAAAATAAAACTGGTATATTTGAACTATTTTCCAGAAATGATTTTCCTTGCTGGATGAAAAAAAAAGAATACGCAAACGCACACAAAGCAATTATTTATTCGTTTAATATTATATATTAAAATTATATCTCGTGTTTGTGACCGTGATCGTTATTTTGTTACAGGTATCTGCAAAAAAAAGTTTGATGAACCGGACAGCTTAAGTTTTCATTTGGATTCCCATAAAACAGATAAGCAGTGTGGAATATGTGATAAAGTGGCACAGTCATGGCCTCAACTGTTTGGCCACCGCTTGCAACACTTACCGCAAGGTCAAAAAAAGTGCCATTTGTGTAAACGTCGTACTGTATCTCCATTTTATTTAGAATTTCATTACTTAAATTTCCACAATGATGGACAGGTAATTTTTATTAATAACCATAAGTTAGAGTCGAAGGCATGGCCATACACTTGTACTATTATTATCATGTTATCGCTACGTTAAAATGAACTAGCGATGTCAAATTATATCCCACTAAGTGTCATCAACAGTAAATAAGAATGGAAAGCCTTAAAGGAGACCTTCGATTTTTGCCTAATTTAAACTGCCTAACTTTAACTTTGGTAATCTCAAAAAGCATTAAAAATTATACTTAAAAAGACTCAATCGTCAAAATTTCAAGAAATTCAATATAAATTGGCGAAAATCTTTTAGGAAGGAGATTTTATTATGTATGGTTACAGACTACTCTTTTTCTATCCCCAGGATAAGACTCTAAAGTGCCCGGAATGCGGAGGTGCTTATATGACCCCACGAAAATTGAGGAAGCATATTTCGGCTTGCCATTCCGAGTTGAGATACGTCTGTGATCATTGCTCTAAAGCGTATGTTTTATTTCCGTATTTTTTTGACTGCTATCCGCTCGGCGGGATCAACAACGATCGCGTTCAATTTTTTCCTAAATTTTATTCATTATCCACGAAAAGGTTCAAATTCATGTTATTATGGGCATTTGCGGGCAATAAACTAGCAAAATATTAATTATAGTTGTTAAGGTTGATTATTTCTTTTTCAAAATTTTAGTGATTAGCACTACCTATGAGAATGTGTGTGTTTACACAATTTTGATATTTTCGTAGATTATAGATAGCCATACTAATATTATAAATGGGTTGGTTTGTCGACAAATCATAGAAAGAGGTTAGAAGGGTGATAATAGGCCGATTATATGAGAACCAATGTCGCCGGCTCGCCTCCATTTCACTTCCACCTAATAGATAATAAGCCAATCAAACGTCGAGATATTAAACAAACGAACGAATCAGGGTCAAATATAAATATATATCGATATTAAATATGCGAGTTAAACTTGTCTTAATTACAGACAGGCCATTTTAATAGGTAAAATTTGACGTTTGTCAGTTTTTTCTTCATATTGAGGTGACCTGCTTTAAAGATCGATTTAAGTGAATGAATCGATACGGACTTGACCTATATGTGAATTTTAAAAATCATCAGGCGAATCCCTTCTTTCGGAAATTGAAGGAGCAAAATAAGACAAGTACATGATTTAACAAAAGAATTGCATTTATTCAGTTGAACTATCAGAACTGTTATTAGTATTGTATTCTATTATTGTTCGCATTCAACCATGTTTCGTCAATAAACACTCTCATTGTCCCAATCTGTAATTCCATTTACCTTGACATAAAAATGTTACTCTCTTCAAAATAATATCGTAGCGTTCTAGCAGGATTTTCTGCTTGTCAGATTTTTTTAAATCTAAAGCCAATCGATTTCAAAACCTTTGATAGAGATGATTTACCGCCAAAAAATAAACCTGCGTCTTTTTACGAAGTCAATACCTCTTTCCGTGTACTCTTTTCTCGAGTAATATCCATAAATGTGGTTACAAATTGCAGCAGCATCAAAATTATCAACGCCAACAATTTTCCAGTCCCTCTTTCTTTTTTTCGGTGTACGTAAAATATTATCTTCTAAGCCTGATGGTCCGTATTTATTATCTTTCAGAATTTGAGTTACTGTTCTCTTCCCTATTCCCAATGCTTCGGCAACACGTTCTCTCGGTTGAGCCAATGGTAAAAGAAGCCCATCGTTAACTGAGTCACGTTCAAAATAATAGGCTAGTTTACTCATGTCGAATTGTATTAAATAAATGTTTATTTCTTAAAGTGTTTAGTCTAAGGAACCTTAATATATCGATTTCACTTCATAAAAGCAGAAGATTGCTGTAGAAATTTAATTTTAAAAAATATTTTTTAGTCTATATTTTTTAAACACTAAAAACGCTGTTCGCCACATTCGCCATGATTTTGACGTCTCTTGTGGTAAATAACTAAATGTCATTCGCGTGTTACTGTAGGTGGATTCTTTCGTCTGACTAAATTTATCTTAAAACACTTTTAACTTTAGGAAAGAAAAAAACAGTAAACTTAGTTTTTTTGACTAAACAAATTATGGATGCTGGCTTTGTGAAAGCAGAAAGCACAAATCTGCCAAGAATTGACGCATTGATGGTTGGTGAATTTGTTGCACTAAACCCCGATTTCTGCTCTGCGGAGCAGAGAAACGACAAGGCATCTATGTAAGTACAGTGCATTTAGTATTACAATGTAGTAATAAACATAAAACTGATACAACATATGAATAAGTGTAATAAAGTTGCGTAGGTTAATTTCTTTCGGCACTTTAATCCACAACTTTCCTGGAGTCTTCAAGGATGTGTTTTTATATTCTCGTACAATACAGTAATGATAATTACTTTATTTTTCGTGGTATTTATTAGAAATCATTTTTTTTTTTTATTATAAACTCAGTTAAAAGTAATTTTCTACGTGTTTACGAGTTTTTGTTTACCACAGTTCACGTCATAGCATAGACAATCTATAGACTAAAATGGCCGACAGTGTTTTTGTATGTCCATGAAAAGTCTATTTTAAAATTAAAGATTTGTAGCTTTCTAGGTTTAAAAAAAATACAATACATTTTTTTTCGGTCTAATAGAACATTTATTAACCATTTAAAACCTTTTTCCAAAAAGGGTCAACTAGCCTATTGTACAATTTCACAACTACTTCTCGAGGTTGACAAGACTGTAATGTTGTTCTTGTTTACTAAGCGTTAAGAAATCGGAGTCCAATTTATAGCCAGGTAAACGTAGTCAGTAAGATCAGTCCAATAAAAAAGCCGGGTCAGAAGAAAATAACAGAGAGCACACCAAAAACGCGCAGTCACTTCGCACAACGACAAATGTGTCATGTAATGGCGTCATGACATGGCGTCATCGACAGGCACTGGTGTTGCCAGCAACATCCCACTTAAATTGTACCTAACATCAATGATACGGTACATAGGGGAAGGGGGGGCATGATGGGGTGGCTAAGGGAAATAACAAAATTACAGCACAATCACTATGTTTATTACTCTCATTAATTTATGGCACGTTAAGTCATTAATCTAACTATGATTTGGTACAGTCTTTGGAGAATCAACGTATCACATATTTTTATAATTAATACGAACATTATGAAAAACCATCTTGCCACATACTATGGGGCAAGATGGTTTTTTGATGTCATCTTTCAATAATGACGACACTGTATGCAACAAAACAGGGAGAAAAAAATAGCCCTTGCTGAGTTTCTTGCCGGTTCTTCTCAGTACAAGGTCTCCCGCCGTAGATTTACAAACCAATAGTGTAGCATTTGACTTTCACAAGAGCTTGTAACAGCCTAGACTGAATAAATGAATAAAAATGGGGTTTGAGTCTGTATAGGGGAAAAGTCCATGGAGACGAAGTTGCGCTTCATAGATGCGTCCATAAATTACGTGAGATGTTTAAGGGGGGGGGGAGGGGGTCGAGTCAAATCTCATCTAATCTTACGTTGGAGAGAGGGGGGTCTCGGCAAATATCACGCAATTTTTTTCTGATTGAAACAAAAAAAAAATACTATTTTGGTCCATTTATTCCAGATTGTACATGCTTAAGATTTCGAATCTTAAACGTAATCGTAATAATAAAGATCATTCACTAATTCGTTCGAAAGAAAATAATTTCATTCATACTTCGACGTTATACATGACTGTCAAACCACCATATTTGTAACAATCCAACGCGTTTACGTAAGAAACCCACATTTTGAAAAAACTCACGTGAGATCGGGGGATGGGGGAGGGGGTTGAATAAAATCTCACGACATCTCACCAGGGGGGGAGGGAGGGACAGAAAATTCAAAAATACACCTCACGTAATTTATGGACGCCCCCTAAATGCATCTTATGATTTTTAAGGCATAGAGTTTTTATAGTTCATAATTACACATAATTATGAACTATAAAAACTCTATGCCTTATCACAATGTATGCACACAGTTGAATAAGGCTAAGTTCATTAAAGACTGTTCAGTTGTTCCGTGCGGGTTGAGATGGACAGACGCATAGATGCAGAAAAAATGAGTAGCAAAGAAGACATCGTATAGACCGATTTGCTTATTGATGACAATTGACAATTGACAAATTGTGTAAAATAATAAATAAAAGATTGTTCATATTGTCTCCGGTCAATAAATAGGCTAAATAGGATGCACCCAGTAACATCTGCGACATCTTAGCCTTCGGTATAAAATCCAAATGCAAATTGCCTCGTCCACGTCCATTCTCAAGAAAATACAAGCAATGTTGATTGCAGACTCAAGCGCGTACATATGTGAATGCTCCAACATATAACCGCGCGGCGCAAGGTTATATGAACTTACCCTAAATATTCTCTTCTCTATTTTGTCTTAAAGAATTTATTATTTTTTTTCGTTCAGGTTTAGAGCAAAGAGTGTTTTGGCTAAGCATATGAGTTGTCATAGCACAGTCAAGACCTTTAAATGCGAATCGTGCGAATTTGCGTGTAAATCTAATTTTGGACTTCAGGTAAGAAACCTTAAACTACATAGTATATCAAACCACTGTATGAAAAAATATATAAAGTGGTGTAACGCTTTTGATCTAGTATACATATACGTATAGTATATATATATTCATTCGCGCTTTTATAACAAATGAGCAGCAAAATAAAAAATAATTTATTAAACTCAAAAGACATGGTAAAGTTTTGTATGAGCGACTGCCCTGGCAATGTATAAATACTGTTCTTAGTAATAGTTAATGGTAAATGGCTAAGTATTTATAATTTCTATGAAAAAGGGCTCAGGAACTTTTGATAAAGTCACAATCTTGAAAATTATGAGAACTCCTACTATGTCATTACTTTACTACAGTTGATAAAAGATGTTGCTAATTATTTACAGAGTGATCAATTTCGCATTTTCTTAGATTCTTTCTTCCCATTTCTCTGATTAACTCTTCACAAAAAGTTTTTTTAAAGCATAAATAAATACAAATAATTTGTTATCGTCGGCCTGACAGGAAATCTGTGAAGTTTTTTTTTGTCCATTTGCAAAAATTAAAGGATTAATTATCATACAGCCTTGTCTCAAGCCTAATCAGAATAATAAAATCTATTATTTTAGGCCTTCCGTGATTTGTTGTAACAAAAATTAGGGCCAAATATGTCATATTTTGAAGGAGTTTAGAAATAATATTGTTTATTTCGATATACTTACACAAATATTTTTTGTGTACATTTATTGTTCATTTATTTTGTAAAACGGAACATTTTGCTTTTGAAACAGACGTGGCAGTCAATTTTTATACTTTTAAATATTTGATTATTTCACGAAAGTTGTATGAGAATAATAAACACGTAATAATTAATAAAAAAATATTGTTATGTTACTGGCTAGTGCGAAATATTTATACACGTTAAGGGCAGTTTCTTAGCCATGTCCTTTCCAACTCTCTTGTTATTTACTTACTTTTATAAAGCGTATACATTATACATTTTAATAAGGAAGCTAAGACCACAAATCAAGTTATGATTTTTCATTACAGACTCACAAAATGCATAAACACACACCGACCAAAGTCACATGTCAAAATTGCCTAAGAACATTCGTCAACCAAGAAAAATGTGACAAACATAAGTGTCAATTGAAAATTGTCATTTGCCCCATTTGCGGTATACAATTAGGGCATAATAACAAAGTAAGTTAATATTCTTATTTCATACTGGATTCTTTTATTTTTTCTGATCAGCAATAATATTCCTGAATATTATAATGTACAGTCGCGGAATGGCAAGGTGCATCGCCTTAAGGTCGGTTTTCGCTTGCACATTTGCACTAGTGCAAGAGTCAACCATGCCAACTTTACAGTAAAAATCAGGTAACATTTATAAAAATGTGACAGGACAGACCATAAACTTAGGATTTCTTATGTACCTGAAAAATGACAATATAGTTCTTTTTTAAATCAGTCTCTCCTTTTCATTCTGTATAGAGAATGACAAGGATACACTGTTGTTAAATTTAAGTAAAGGTTTGGAGAATCATGCTAGAGTCTGTGCGGAAAGAGAATGGGCGTGGCGAAAAACGGAACTAACATTAAGATTTTTATTTGGCAATCAAACCCAGCAATCTGTAAAACGTCAAAGTTTTGTATTGATACGGATTTGTTTGTTGTTGTGATTTCTTGCGGTTTTTTGTATTTATATACGGTAGAAAAGCACTACAGCGCCCTCAAATCTAAATCCCATTCTCTTTCCGCACAGACTCTATTATCGACACCATTGTGTGTTACCTACAATGCGAAGAGATGGCGCTGCCTTGCAGCTAGAGAAAATTCGAGACGGACAATTAGGGCTGCGGTAGCATAGTGGTCAGTGCATCGGCCCGATTTCGGAAGGTGCGGGTTCGAGTTCCATCTGCTGCCTGATCCTAGTTTTTTCTAGTTAAATTTTCTTGAGATTTAAACAGCTTTTTAAAAGAATAAATGTTTAAAAAATAAAAATATAACTATTTATAGGTTTATCGAATTTAATCATCATTCATAATAAAAGGTTGCATACAGGATAATTATTAACATGATAGTATTGAAGATCCGTAATATCTTAGATCATCATCGATAATATAAACTTTGAAAAATAATAAGCACCTGAAAAACTGTAAATAACCTTGATCTCAATAATATTGAACTATGTTAACGAATAGTTATGTTTATTTGTATAGAAAATAAATAACAGTGTTTATTACAATTTCGGAAGTTAATAATAATATTGTTTTTCTATGGTGTATAACAATAAAGAATATTTTTATTATTATGATTACCACTGTCGGTACGCTAACACGTTAATTGAATCAATTTGAAAACTAACAAGCCTTTTCATATCGCGACTGAACTTAAAAGGTTCTCCTTCACTGGGAGCATTCGTCTGAAATTGTTAAATTTTAGACTCGATTTTGAGAATTACGTTACAATATTGTCTCTCTAACGAGCATTCGCCTGTAATGTAACATTTTAGATTCGATTACTTAAGGTGCTACTTCACCGGGAGTATTCGCCTGTATTGTTACATTTAAGACTAGATTTTGAGCATTAAGGTACAATATTGCCACCCTGACTAACAAGCATTCGCCTGTAATGTAACATTTAAGATTACGATTATGAGCATTACTTACACATACTGCCTCCCTAACGAGCATTCGCATGTAATGTAACTTTTTAGATTCGATTTTGAGAATTACGTTACAATACTACCTCGGTGACTAACGAGCATTCGCCTGTAATGTAACATTTAAGATTCGATTTTGAGCATTACGTCACAATACTGCTTCGCTGACTAACGAGCATTCGCCTGTAATGTAACATTTTAGATTCCATTTTGAGCATAACGTCACAATACTGCTTCGCTGACTAACGAACATTCGCCTGTAATGTAACATTTTAGATTCGATTTTATAGGTTGGTTCGACATTACAGGTTGCGCATTTTATTGCTCGGTTCTCCTCCCTCACTGATGTAATGCTCGAATCTGGAACGTTGAACTGGATACTGAATTGTACCGTTTGTTTGTAATATACTGATGTACCATTCGAGACAGTGGCGGCGCTAGACCACATGTGGACGTCGGCGACATCAAGTTCGCGAGGCCTATTTTACTTCGCAGTAAAAAACCGTTAAATTAAGTGAGCCAAATTATAAAATAACGTATGAGTAAACGAGTTTTATTGTTGATAAACAAATGATGACAAAAAATAATTACAAACATAGAAATTTAATTACAAAAATAGTGTTGCCAGACAGACGATTCTGAATACCCGTAAGTACTACTCGCTTCCATAACGCACGTGTTAGAAAATAATGAAAGTCATTATCATCTGCTTAGCTTTTTCCCCAAATTGTTCGGGGTCGGCTACCTAAGCCAGGCCAGGAGAAACGAAAATAAATATGTAACTTGTAAATTTTTTTTGCGAGGCCCCCTCATTCGCGAGGCCGTCGGCGGTGGCCGACGTCGCCGACGCCTAGCGCCGCCACTGATTCGAGGCGATAACGTTACATTACGGAGACACAGACTGACTTGTACCGACTTCTTTGTAATGTATTATTCGAGCTGTTTGCTCAAGTGTGCTCAATTTTTACCCAAAATGGTAGATTCGGAGGATGTGTTAGCTTCATTCATTTACTAAGTTATTGTTATAAACATATATATATTTACATGAAAAGGAAATGACAATATATTATGAGTTCTTTCGTTTTCCTACTGCATTTTTACTAAGATATCGAAGATTGAGAGTGCAAAACGAGATCGATCGCGCTTACTATTTACCATCACGATGAATCATCCTGCACTGACTTGTAATGTAACACTCAGTACGAATTTTGACAGCTCAGTATTCGTATCATCATCGTCATATTTTATTTGGAACTTTGACGATGCGATACAATTATAGAACTTTTAAAATCGTGCTTGGGTGTCAGCTCTACAGTAAATAGACCCAGTGGGGGATCACCTTATTACTGTCGCTTTAATTTGTTTTTTATTATCATAGCTTACACGCCACATGGATACCCACAAAGCAGTCGGCCAGTATAAATGCGAGATCTGTCCTTCTGTGTACAAGACGAGTGGAGGCTTGAAAACGCATATGAACCGGCATAAAGGCATTCGTGACAAGAAATGCGAGTATTGCCCTGCCAAGTTCTATTATGCTAGCGTACTTACCAAGCATAGGAGAATACACACAGGTAGGTAAAACTGATGCTTATTTTATTTCTGAACTTTCCAAAATGCAAAGATGATTAAGATCAGAAAATTTTGGTTATGCATTGGGTTAGCCGTCTTTTGGGAAAGTTGTTTACTGAATTCTTGTGTGAGAAAAATTACATGGACTTATTATGTTATGTATGAGATAATAGTGTCCTTGTTATTTTATAAGATTCTTTTATGTCTCCTCGTTCGTTAGCTGCGGTCCTTAAAGTTGTCAGTTTAAGCACATCGTCGTTTTAGTGTTTGTTTGTTCTATCTCCATTGGGTTAATTTAAAGGAGACGAGTTTTACATTTTATTTAAAAGTCTGAAAACAAAATTATGTTTCAGACACAATTTGACATTTGCAAAAACAATATAAGCACAAAAACACATTAATTTACAGAATATTTTAATGTTTTTTGTTGATAACTGGGATTCTTATGATATTTCCAGTCACAGTGACACAGTAAACAAAATGGCGGCCATGACGTCGCGGGTTGTGATTGGTCTTGAGTGACATAAACACTCAAGCACTCTGAACGTCTCTTACGATTTAGGATTAATGAAGATAGAACAAAAAAGGAACAAACTTTTCATTACGATGTCATGTCACTAATAAAATTAAAAAAAATACTTTTTTCAAAAAGTAAAATAAAAAAGTTATAAATATTCTTTGACCAACAAGATTGAATTTTGGTTGATAGAACAAACAAGCACTGAAGCGACGATATCAAATCCCTCCCAATAAAGTATGTTCTTCATGTGCGTGTGAACTGAGGGACCAGAACGAATTGCTCAAAATAATGTTAGCAGGATTTAGTTGGTCTTAAACAACCGTAGAACTTGTCTGGGAATTTGCAGTTAAATATGTTAAAAACTTAAGGGCTTTAAGTATGGTCCCTCAGTCCTCCCAGGCCATCAGCAAGGTCTCAGATAGTATTTACACAATTATGGAAATATGACTAGAGTACGTCACACGTTAAGGCGGGAGTCGACGAACTGTGAGAAGGGGATGGGAGGAGTCCTAAGGTTCGTGACGTCACATAGTAATCTAAATCTCTCCAGTAGCTCCTATTTCAAGTCTAACGATTTGGACGCCAATAGGCGTGAGTAGGCGAATGTCGTCTCTGTTGTCGTATGTTTTTATAGCTTTTGTTTCTTATTTTCAGGAGAAAAGCCATACGTTTGTAAAATATGCAGTAGAAGTTTCACTGGGAACCATAATTTGAAAGTCCACATGAGGATTCATGGCGAATTCATTATTAACAAAAAGGACAAGACGGCGGACCAGTCAAACTGCACCTAGATATAATTTAATTTGAAACAAATATAGATAATGCAAGTTGTTTTAATGGTTGATGTTGTAAAATAATTACGAAATATATTGTTGAACTTTTTATAAATATTTTATTTTTAAATACAAAGTACATCTAGGTACAAAAATTAAAGTATAACATAAAAACATAGGAATAATCTTTGGCGGCACAGAGCGCATTAATATCATTAGAAAAGGTTTTTACTTTTATAAAAAGTACTTACATTTCTAATAGCGCTTTATAAAAATATCCAAAAGTACGTAACTATTAAATAATAAATACTGATTACATGATACAGCTGTGCTTTTAATGGCTAACTCGATAAAAAAAATACAAATGAAATCACAACAGTACCGTACCTAATTATATTTACATTACAAATAAGTACTCTTAGAAAATAGTAGGCAAGAAATATAACGGAATGTTAAACAAAAAGGCATGATTCTTACAGGGGTATTTTTCAAATAATTTCAATACTAAACTTAAAATAATGGCAAGAACAAGAGAAACTTTTAATGCATGATTTAATTTGATTCAATAGTTTTTTAGGACTGATGTTTGTATTTTGGTTAATTTATTGTGGTCTTTCTGTTTGACAAATCTGACACCTAAAATAATATGTAATAAATACCCTATATATTACATTATTTATTAACATAAACTGTTATCTATAAAGGAGATTGCTCAAATTGGCCCAAATGTACAAAAAATATTGACATATACGGTAATTCTTGCAATTTATACTTTATTTTACAGTCATTAGATTTTAACGGACACCTTTGTATAATATATTTATTTTAAAAAGGACTTTTCGGTTTGGAAAACATACGAATCATTTTTAATGGCTATGGGTGTAGTAACATTCAGCCATAGATTGATCGAAGTTTATATATCATCAAAACAAATCTATTTTGTAAAGATCGATAAAACAAATCTTTTTTTTATTACACTGTGGTATTAATATCCACAAGTATATTATCATTTTTAATGTATGCATGCTAAGACAAATATTATAGATGGTAGGCGACATCATAAAGTCTATTGACATACATTTTTCGCCAAACACCTAAACAAATTATAAGGTGTGATACACTAAAAATCAAAAATATAGTTATAATATAAACAAAAATAATAAGCTTTCTTTTGTTAACGAGAGTAATAAATATCTGTAATCTGTGGCTCATTCACAAATAACACAGTTTCTGTCACAGAGTACCTACTTTATTATAACCAGAAATGCATAGATGATACCTGATTTTAAAAGTTACTCTTATGCATTAACTTTAAAAACATGTAACAATCTTTTAATTTACATGCTTTATATACCTGAATAACACATAATTTCGGTACTTGGTTTGATTTCCCTAGTTTGTTATATAAATTATTTGTTCTTTATTATTTTAATACCTATGTACCTATTTGCAAACATAACCTCAAAATCATTCAGTGTATATGGTTTATAGAAGTTCTCAGGGGTGTCCGTCAATAATATTTGTTTCTACGGTAATCTCTTATCTATTAGACAAGTCCGTCCGTCCGTCTGTGGTGCTGTTTCAGCGGCCAAACCGTAAGAGATAGATAAAGAGAATATTTAAGTTATAAGTTAAGAATAGTCTGATAAGACTACAAACCGGATTTGAGTAACGTAGCACTTCCGGTTTTCGAGAAATCACGAATTTCAAACGAAACCACACAAAATCTCCGTTCTCAATTAATTAAATACATTTTTTTTTCAAATCAGGTTTTGGTGAACATTTGGTTCACTGGTTTGCTAGTTTATATATAATTTCGAATCTAGGAAACAATTTTTCATGATTCTTTAGGCCAAACATGTATAGCCATCAATAATTATTAATAATTGAAGCTGAGAATCTCCTTTAAAGTTTATTTTGTTACTAGAAAAAAAAACCCACTTTCGTTTAATTCCAGCTCCACAGAAACGAGATCTCAACTACTCAACTACCTAATTTTTACTCTAGTCAAGTAAGAGCCCCAACAGAAACAATGATTTTTGTTATTGTACTTTTGAAATTCAACAACTTAAATAAAATCAGTCTTAAAATTTGATAGCGCTATATTTAAATGATCCACAAAAAATATTGCCAACCTAACCAACTATTAATGTTACTATTTACTTTTGTGTGCTTTTCGTACTTTTATGAGGATCATTAAATATAACATAAATTTAAATAAGTATTCATTGGTGTCGATTCTGGCACGATATTCTAAAGTTAAACTTAAATTTGACAAGTGTATCCTTGTCATTCTCTATATAGAATAAAAAGGACAGACTGATATTAAATTTAGTTTTAAGTTTAGAGAATGCTGCCAGCATTGACACCACTATACGCCTTAAGATTATAATAAGATAAATTGAACTAGAGAAGAGAAGTAATTGAAGACTTAACAAATTCAATTAAGATATGGAATTTAACTTTAAGAATGAAGTCAAATCTTGTTAATTACTAGTTTATATTTCCTGATTTACCAATACTGATTTTTAAACTCCGAAATGTAACATGATCTGAACATTGTTAATTTTGAACTTTTGCCACTACCCATTCGTAATAATCACTTTTCATGTTAGTGACACGTTAAATGTCGAAATATACATACATATTTATTTAAATTAAAATTTATAACATATACGTGTTTGTAGTTTCGTATTCGAGGAAAAGTTATAAAAATATTATTTGTCGGTTCTTCGGTACCATTTTTTTTTTACCATTTTTGAGCTTATAAAATGGATAGACAAATAATAATTGTTTTAAAATCCTTACTTTCCCCAATTTACGTTAGTAAAGTTAAACCAAATATTTACCTTAATACAGGTCTAAAGTTACATAAAAATTAAATCCTTTTTTCATTAAATGTTAATTAATTGGTAAATACATAGATATATTTAAGTACCTACCTATAATGATGTGATTCTGTGGTGAATTGCGTGACGGAATCATAATTAGTTATGCAGCAATAAATTTCTTTGCATATATTTATCTCAATAGGATCAAAAAGCATCTTATAATTTTTCCAAATGTTTTATTACAAAAACCGATATAATTAAATTGAGATCTATATTACTTATTTAAAAATTAATACTTGCATGTAAACGAAGCCTAGTCGATAATAAAATATAATTGCTTATCAGTCCATTATTTAGTTCATTGATGTTCTTTGTAAAACTAAATAGTCCTAATATGTTATTAATTTGAAGATATTTATCGATTTAAAAGTGTCTACGCAAATTGGAGTGTCGGCGAAGAGCTGTCGTCGGTTGTAGGCAGAGCTCAGTCATATTTACTACAGTACAGATGTTTTAAGTTGCGGACTTTAATATGGTAATTATTGCAGACTTAATACTACCCTAGAAATTATTTCTACAACAGTTAAGAAGATTCCCTCGCGCTGGCTCTTTTGGGCGCTTTTGAATCCAGTGGCATTTTACTTCGTTCTGATATACAGATTACAGTCGCGTGTAGAATCAAAAAAAGTTGAACTAAAAGTATTATTAAATTAGCGGTTAGATATGAAACAGAACCTATTATTTTATTAATTTGATGGAACACAACCTAAACAAATACAACAGCAATTGTACATAAATATATCAAAAGACAACCATGCGTTTCATGCTTAAGTGATGTAGGGCAAGATCCCGTGACCGCCAGACCTTACTTATTTTATCATGGACAAATTATGGATAATTGAGTAGTATTAGTGTGTACAATGATCGTATGCTTGCTAACTTTTGCTTATTGACAATACTGCAAGACACGTTCTGTCGACAGTAATTAAGGACAGACACTTCAAATGGCGAAAGCAAAAAAACACAAACCTACTCAGAGTCTGAGACTTGATGTCTATATATGATAATAAGGGGGCTATTATTAAATTTATAAGCTGCCGTCTATATATGATATTAATGGCGCTATTATTAAATTTATAAGCTGCCAGACCAAACTTAGGGGTCAAACACTGTAAAAAAGAGCGCGCTCATGGTAATTATGTGACTTTTATATACAGCTTCATCAAAGCAATGTAATAATTAATGTAAAGGAACACTTTTACAATGATTTCTTAATATGTGATTATCAAAATTATCACAGAAATAATTTTCTGTGATAATTTTTTCTAGTTAGTTGTGATTTTTTCTTTCGACATTTAAAAGGGTCTCGCAATAAAAACTGCTGACATAATGTGTCTGGCATTATTAATTTCAAATTAATTAAAATATTAACAATTACGTAGGAATCAGTTCTCAGACGGTGAGTCTGAAGATTGGTCCAAAACACAAGTTAGCAAGTATGTATATGTTCATTGTACACACTAATACTACTTAATCACACTAATATTATAAAGGCGAAAGTTTGTGAGTGTGTATGTTTGTTACTTCTGCACGTCTACAGCTGGAGTGATTTTAATAAAATTTTGCATGGAGTTAGCTGTCACCCTGGATTAACACATAGGCTTCGTGTTACTGCGGAAAAATATCCCTAATAAACCGCGGGTAACACCGCGTGGCACAGCTAGTTATCTATATTTTGTCCATTTATAAAATTAGTAAGGTCTGGCGGTCTTTGGATCTTGTTCCATTGTAATTGCTGTTGATTTGTCTTCACACAAAGTTTAATCCTTCATGTTCTAGACTATTTTGTAGTCATAAAAAGATATTATTTTACATAATTGAAATCCATGATCAAATTCCACTAGGTAAGCCTCAATCGAACAATTGCCATCTAATGCCGGGTCTACACTAGTGCCGTGAAATAATGGCCTGAATTCGCCCCGTGAATTCACGTCAGTGGTGATGACTCCGAACTCTAAAGCCGCTAAAACCTTTCACGTTCGCGGAACTTCACGGCCCAAGTGTGGAGCCGGTAATAAAACACAACAGGGTAGTTGCCACAGAACACAGACCGCCTTATTAATAAACGTAGAATAAGCTTGAATTAGTTACTCCATGTTTTGTCTCTGTTCATTGAATGACAAATGGCAATTGATCAATTAATTAATTGAGTGACATGAACAAAGACGGCGTAACTAGTTTTAGCTTATTCCTTGTTTATTAATAAGGAGGAGAAAGAGGTTAGAAGGGTCATCATAGACCTTTTGCACAGGGTCCCGATGTCGCCCGCTCGACCCCACTACACTTCCACCTAATAGATAATTGCCAATCAAACGACGCCACATCAAACAATCAAACCAATCATCGCTCACACCCGAGAGCAAAGACGCAATCAGGAACAAGTTTTGGTCAAGTTATGAGCATTTCCTCACACATTACTGTGACGCGCCTGCCCCGCCTACAAGACCTTCTAACCTCTTTCTGTGTACTATGGTAGTTGCCTTAGTATTTTTTGCCTTTATTTCTTTACTTATTGGAGAGACACATATCTGTAAAAAATACTTCAAATCGGCCTCAGAGTAAGGCATTATTTAAAATACAACTATAACGAGTGGTAGGTAGCGTGGTAGTTCCTCTCCATATATACTGTTGGTTGCAGATTACCTTAACAGTGTCACCAGGCTTGGGATGGCAAATAGTTTTCATTTAATTTCGCATTGATAATGAGTGTGCCATCAGTATTTGACGATTTCTTAGATTTGAGCAATTTTTGTTAAAATTTGATAATAAGGAATGGATTTTTTTAATATCAGTAATAAAGACGAGTCAACTACCCTCATATTCAGTACCTATACACCTCACCCAATATGCACATTAATACAATCACCAAATAACAAGTTCATATTCACACATCTAGATAAGTTTTAGCTAGTTACACTTGGCCCACTTTGAGATTGCTTATTTGAAAATATCTCTTCAATATTCTTATATTGTATAATTGTTACTGGTAACTACTGGAGATCTCTTAGTCATATACAACACTATACATACACTGATAATAAATATTACGAATATATTTCTATCAAAATTCCTTTTTACTTTAAACATTTATGAATTATTAAATCATTTAATATTTTATTTCCATTATTGAGAATCTGAAGAGATGTCAAACAAGCAGTCTCTCGATCGACCGACGATCGTAAGTATATAAAAAAATTAAGTATGTACTTAAAACTAAATTTCGTTACCAAATTGAGTATTAGGTATCCGAACGACGGTTTCTCGCGTGCCAACTTTTTCAGTATCAATAAGAGAGCCCGAACTGTGTTTTTTGGTTTTTGGTCCGAGAGGAGGCACTTCGCTGGATGTGGAGCGATTATCTTCCGTTACTCTGGACGTAGAACCGACGGTATTGAACTTTTTAAGACTACCTGTGGCGAGTGAGCCATTTGAGGAAGAACAATGTGGAGGCAATAGCGGCGCTTTTTCCTGCAAATCTTTGGAAGAACCTGTGATCCTGTGGCTGCAGCTATTACTGCTCCCTGGTTCTGGCATAACTGAATCTGGACAGCCCCCCATTTGAATCCATTCTTGAATCCTGCAAAAAACAACATTCCAATTCGAATAATTTCGTAGGGTAGAACAAAAGATAATACGTATAATAAAACTTAATTTACAACTCTACCACATAGGTGATGCTCTAGATGTTTCTTTTTTTCATATTTTTATTGTGCAGGACGTTTGTCAAGTCCTCTAGTTATTAATATATATGTATCCATTTTCAGAATCAAATTTCACCACCACCTAGTTAGTGCATCACTACATAGTAAAAGCAAAGTCATTTCCCGCTGTCTGTCCCTATGTATTTGCTGTGCTTAGATCTTTAAAACTACGCAACGGATTTTGATGCAGCTTTTTTTAATAGATAGAGTGATTCAAGAGGAAGGTTTGTATGTATAATACATGCATAATATAGCAGAGAAACACTGATAATTTTAAAGGTTTTTAATGTAAGGTCGTAAATAAACACATTTTTTTATGCTTACATTGCAAACGCTGGCTGAGCCCTACGAGATAGATGAAAATAATGTACGAATGAAAATAGTGTGTAAATACTGTAGTATTGTACACCTTAAAAAGGTCTACAAAAAAGTCCGCAATGGTATATGTCTATCTCTTATGGATAATCCACAATAACCATTTTTTATTCTATACTTTTTACGAGAAATAATAGCTCAGTTACGAAGCGATTTGCAGCAATATAACATTCATCCTTAACCAATTAAGTACCTTAAATACATTGTGTATTTTAATACAGATCAATTTGGCCCTTTGAAGTAGTTTGAAGCACGTAATTTCAATGAATATTTTCGAAGATATTACACATTTTAATATGCAGGGACATAGCGATTCCGACGCTACTGGGCGGGGGGCCTGGCGGCGCGTGCCTACTGTAATTAGGTATAAGAAGAATGTTATTGTGTATAATACAAGCCTGAGAACAAAAACTATAGTCTACACTTCAGCTCTACACCGAAGCGAAGCAAGGACGGGCCACTAGTATGGAATCAAATCGTATGATAATACATTCTGAAAATAAAATTCTTAAGATACCTGTTAACAATTTCCTCAAAGTTAGGTCTCCTTTGAGGCGTGTGCTTCCAGCAGTCACGCATGAGCGCATACATTAGCGCCGGACACGCTGCCGGCATCGCCAAAAGTTCTCCCCCTCGAACCATAGCTATCACTTCTTGATTACTATACCTGCAAACAATATTGAGTCATTTTATTTAACATTTTTATCAAGACATGTTTAAGATTTTTTTGGTAATGATTAATTAAAATGCATTTTTTAATAATAATCACAAGAAGGCTGAACCTACTGTGTGTACTACAGTAAGTGTATGAATAGCTTTATTGTTATAGGAATGACAATGTCCAGTATAAGACACTCCGAATTCCTGTTGAAACATTGAAATTCTCTAGGCGCAGCATTAATAGTGTTCATGTGAATGATTGTCCTGTGTATACTATTATATATGTAAAGTGATTTAAATCTGCATTAAAATAAACTTTCAGTAAAACTTACCCATAGTAAGGCTGTAATCCATAACTATATATTTCCCACAAAACCACTCCATATGACCAAATATCAGATTCTGTTGTGAATTTCCCATACAAAATAGATTCAGGTGGCATCCAACGAACCGGCAATAAACTTTTCGATTGAACCTATAATATTTAATTTTAGATTAAGATTTTTATAATTTAGTATGAGCTTTTATAAAGCTCACATAAAATTAATAGGTCTATTATTATTATTATTTACATTGTAAATATAATACTTACTCTGTAGTAATCAGAACTGTATATGTCTCTGGAGAGTCCAAAATCAGATATTTTAACAATAAAGTCATCTGATACTAAACAATTTCTTGCAGCTAAGTCCCTATGCACATAATGATGTGAGGCAAGATATTGCATTCCTGAAGCAATATTATTGGCAATGTTGAGTAATCTCATGGGAGGCAAACCCTTTCCCGAAGGGGGTGCTCTTCCCATTAAAAATTCATGCAGGTCACCACGAGCCATAAATTCAAATAACATGCATAATGGCTCTTCACGAAGTGCTACTCCAACTATACATACTATATTCTCATGTGTAAGTTCCGAAATCAAATCAATTTCTCTCCTAAAATCAGCCTGTGTTTTAGCAGAGGCATTCTCTTTTAATGCTTTTACAGCAACATATTGTGTTTCCCCATTCTTTTTCAGTGCTCCTTTGTAAACTTTACCAAATGCACCTTCACCCAATTCTTCTAAAAACTTAATTTGAGATAGGGAATATTGAGGTATCCTAAGAACACCATTACCCCTTGTGTTTCGTGTCAAGTGTGGTTGGTTATTAATATTCTGATTAGTCAACAACTCATTCATTTCTATTGGAGAATTCAAACGTGAGTTTCCATATATATTCTTATCAGCATTAGGCAAGTTTATGTCTCTGATAGTAGCTGCACTTCCCTTGTTCTTATGTCTATAGCAAAGGCATATTATAAACCCAATGATTGATAGGGTCAAAAGGAGGAATATAACAACTATATAAATCCAAATTTTGTGGGCACATTTATTTATGTCACAAAGTTGTTTCTCTGTTTTTCCATCTTTTTCAACTATGCACCAAGGCTGGGACTTTATGCCACCAGGATTCCTGCAGTAACTATGTCTTCCTGAAAGTTCTGGATAATCAGATACTCTTAGTTGTAATTGTTTCGACCACTCTATACAAGCCATTCCATTATTTGCTACATTAACTCTGCCTAAGTAACCACTCCCATTTTCCCAGTAGCATTCATCATCTGAAACCATTACTGGCCCTATTCCAATTTTCAAGCAGTCAGGATCATCTTCGGGCAAGTTATGGCATTCTTCTAATGTGAGCTGTCTTCCAATATGTGGGTGCCTTTTAGCAATAGCATATTCAGTCTGACATAATTCATTTTCTAATATTTCACAATCTTGTTTACACACTCGCCTGAGAATTGTTGAATTATATCTGTAATTGAGTGTTTCTAAACTTCCATTCTTATTCAATTTATTAAATAAAGTTGACATTACACCAGGTGCTACATTTTCAATAACAATTCCCGACATAACTTGGTCGGCATTAGTGGTTTGTGTTGGTATGGAAAGATCCTGAAGAATATTTTTAGCTTCTTCAAAAAAGTTCATATTTGTTGTTAAAGGATCTCTACATATAGGAAATGTTGAGTAACACAGACTTGGCAATGCATATCCTTCACACTGTGAGCTAATATCATTAGAGTATTGAGTGACTCTGATAGCTGTCATCAGTTTATTTTCAAGAGCAGACTGAGAAGTGTTATATGGTATGTAAACAAACTGAGCTTTAAGATGTGCAGCACACACTTTACCACTATATTCCTGACAAATTGGTTCCAACTTTTGGACAATTGTTGTGTTTGGAGATCCAGTAATATTTTCACCATGCAACTTCATGTCTTCCGAGATCAAGTCTGGTGTAGTCTTTGCAATTACTTCCAGTTCTTCATGATGATGAGTCAATGATGTATAGGTTGATATGTCATACTTATTTGTTGTACCTTTTACTACTTTCAGTAATGTTGTTTGATATTTTTCATAGTTTTGTTTTATGACACATGTATAATTGCCTTCATCAGAATAGTCAATTTCTTTTATTTTTAGATTAGATCCTATAGTACCATTATTCATATCAATTTTTGTATCAGTTTTTATTTTGTTATTATCAGATAAGATCTGACTGTTTTTTAACCAATATACTTTAACATTTTTCAGTAATCTCTGCTGTATATGATCTGGCGGAGATTCTCTTGATAGAGTTTCAACGCCTTCCTTATTTTTCGTGTATTTTTCAACTTTAGTGAAGTTCATTGTAGCCTCACATTTTAATCGCACATCGATGCCAAGTGGTTTTATAATCATCGCAGGAAGTGATTTCGAAAAGTAAATGTCAAGTTTTATGTTCCATGTTCGTGTATTTTGTTCAGTAATATTCCCTTTTCCAATTGAAAGTATATCTGAACTTAAAGCGATACTTTTAGATAGAGAAATGCACAGAACAACAAATACTTTTATGATTAACATGACGAATGCTTTCCATAAGTAACATTAGTCAGGTCAATTTGCGGTCATTTTATAGTTGATCTCAAAAAGACATATTTAACAAAATACTTTACTCATTTTATCACAACACAAATACTACTTATTAATTATTCTGAATTGTCCATTTTATGTATAAAATGCTACAAACCAACTTGCATTTATTTGGGAGTATGACTTTATATTTTTTAATTTTAACAGATGGTACAGGTCTATGGACTAATTGACTATTGTCTACAGAGAACATTATGATATATAAGAAGGACCATACACGTTACAAAACGGTCGCACGGATTTCGGTCGTATGCGACAAGTTCGTTCGTGAATGGATTGGTCCTAGAGCGGACTGAACGGCCAAGGTCAAGTTGCCGGTTCTTTGAAATACATATCAAAGCGTGGTTCCGGTCCGATCGACTTTCAACGTGAATGGCTAGGTTTCAGTACTTAGAGGAATGGACCCTTTAACTGAGACCATAGACATCATAGAAAAAATATCATGATAGAAATAATATCCAGTGTTGCCAGGACCCGATAAGCATAAGTAACAATATGCACATGCACTACGCCTGAAAGACCTTGTTGGAAATCCCTAGGCTCTGTGACATATATATGTTAATAGATTCCGAGAACACTCCTGCGTTCCAACCAGTGTTGGTTTTGGCTCTTATATATACCCTGCAATATTCTAGATCTGGATTGTCTTCATAGGTTGTCTTCATTCTATGTTTTTGTCAATAGGTACAGTATAGGAATCTGGTCGGTTTTCGCCAAGAAAATGGTTTTTTTTCCTCAATGCCCTTTAAAATTCGGGTGTGTAGCGTGTTGTTGTCACTTCACAGGAGCAGCTTGTGTAGCCAAGTAGATGCACATGCTGCTTCCTGCTGCATGTAAAAGTGTAAGGGTCTAATGTTTAAAATTGTCTCTAATGCTGCAGTCGTAGTGGTTTTATGCAGCCCGTTATTGATCACAGAAATAAGGCCTATTATAAAAAGTTAACTTTTTGATTATAATTATATTGTGATCCGTATAAATTACACGAAACAAAACATAAAAGAAAAAAAATGGGTGCGTGTACTTATGTAGGCGCGTGAGAAGTTATCCTTCTTTGGCATCGTTTAAAATTAGTTTTTAATTGCATGAAAATAATTAATTACAATAAATTAATAAAAAGTCTGGAAAAGGACGAAGTCAATAAAGTTCAGTTTTAATTTGAAAAAATAAATAAATAATCAAAATATTCAATTAAAACCGCTACTGAATATAATTTATTAGAACATATGTGATTTGCACTTGTATGAAACTCAAACACGTATTCCGAATATACAAACTAGAAACATGTGGATAAATATTATAAATATGAATACCTATTACTGTTACTTTATTACAAAAAATAAAGATGTGGTTTTTGGTTCTACTACACCAATGGTCAAGAGATGGCGCTGTAGTCTCCTGAATCGCGCTTTGGTTCCGTTGTTCCAGATTAATAAATACTTTTGATAGGCCTTCACATGCATTGTGCACCCACTAGTAGCACCCACTGCCCACTAAATAGAGATTCTATTTCTATTTTGTTGGTAGATTTTCTTAATGTGCGGTAAACACAAAAGTAACAGCATGAAGTTGGTGATGACCAACTTCATGCTGTTAATTTTTTGTGTTACAGTGATGCGCGCGCATCTTATAATTTCACTCTCATCATTTTTTCATAACGCGCCTTAAGAAGTATAACTTCAAAAACCTAACTAATTTAAAATTCGATAAAAATTATTTTTTTTCGTCACAAAGTATCAAGCGGACCGCTCTAGCACTGTTTGCCGAGTTGTAGAACTGTCGTCTATGCGTGTGTAAAGTATATGTGATATTAATATATTTTTATAGACTTTTCCGCATTATAGGCATTATTTCAGCATAGGGGCCTTATTTGTATCAGGTGCCTTAGTACATCATGTTTTACAGTATTTCACCTATAGGTAGGCCTATTTAATTCGCTCACGGTTTTTGATGATAGTGTTAATCATTGAGCTAATTACTAATCCACTTCTGCTATATCATAACGCCACTAAATACCTTATCCTGAAAAGCCTCGATGGATATGTAAAATACACCTCAGTTATCTACATACTGTAAATATAAAAAAAAATAGATGAATAAGCCAACACAGGTCTGTGTATCTAACTTTACGTAATAAAATCTTTTCCGTTTCATACATTTTATTTTTTGTACCAAATGACGATTAGATTACTAAACAGTAAGTAAAATTTGCAACATGTGAGGTAGATAGACATACGAACTACATTGGATATTTCCATTAGATTTCCATTCTTGTTTTGTTGTAGTTGTCATCAGATTTTAACCATGTCATTCATTCAGAAAATTCTTCTTCTATTTCCTCTTTCAATATTAAACCACCAAGAAGTGACGAATCCGGAGGCAGCCACTCGCAGCTCGTATCTTCCGACGAACAAGCCTTAAAATGGATAAAAATATTTCAAACATATTTTAGCCACTAACAAAGTTTTAGCTAGGTACCTACTGCTGTTAAAATTAAACATACAATATCAAGTGGTGAATTTTCAACGGCCCGCGCGTGACAGTGAACCAAGAAGTGTTTCAGTGATGTTCAAGCACTTCACATGAGCTTGATGGTGGAGGAGAAATAATAATTATGTGGTCTGTTTCTTCTCAACGACGCACTATGGGAACCCGCCTAAGAAAGCCATCTCATAAATGTTTTTTCGTAACTGTGATTCGAGGCATGTATTATACATCAAATTATAGCTAAAGAGTTACTTTATTACAATCAATCTAATTTAAGTCTCTGCCTCTTCGTATTTTATAAAGAAGAACATCTAAAGTCAGGGAATGAAAAAAATACAAAAATATTAATATGATTTCAGTTAGTTTGGTAAAATTTTATAGTATCATAACAAAAGAAACCATATAAGTGTGATACCATTTTAGAAAGCTTAGATTGTCTTCTTTACTATAAAATTAAAAGATATGCAGTTTTTTTAATATTATTTAATTTAAAAAAATCTATATCATAGTGTGGACTATTTTCGTTTATTAAACTTTCAGTTGGAGTTTTGACATTTGCCGAAGCTTGCCGAAGTTCTGTTTTATGTGTTATTTCTTAGATAATATAATATAATTTAACGGCAACAAATTTTTTTTTGCTGTATCAGTGCATAACATTGTCAAATGTCTTAGAATATCAGCGTGTGAAAACATATATTTTTCAGTACGTTTAATAAGACTCGTCTGATTTCGGGTTTCTCAGCACGGACATTTAAATAAAGGCTCTTGGCCCTTTTGTTATATTTTTTTTTATCGTATGCTATTCTAATATCGTGTATTTCACATAATATTTAGATCCCATTCCCATAAGAATCATGGAAAAATAGCAAAACCGCAAAATTGTAAAATAGTTTATATCTACTAATTTTGCACACGTCTTCCATAATTTTTCGGTATAAAATAGTGCATTTGAGTATAAATATTACAGTTCCTCATTATTTTTTGTCGTAAATAATTGTTTTTTTAAATATCTCGCCGCAATGAGTCAGTGTTCGTGTACCAGACGCAACCTAAGTCTCTTATTGTTTGAAAGTGATACAAATTATGGTGTTTCTATCTCTAACTATATACAAAGCAATTTCACCGAATCTTCCGATGCAAATATTGCTTAATTATCGCAAGTATTCAGAAGTCTTTCAAAACTTAGTTTCGTCAACGCTATACTAAAGCTGGTCGATAGAAAGAACAGTTCTTAAGCCAAAACAGAAATTGGAAATGGAATTTGATTGAGCACAACTGTATGTTAATAAATATAAATTGTACTATATGCCATTTTCCGTGCACAAGGTTTTGATTCATGGTGAAAGTGTCATACGTCATTTTTCGTTATTGCCTCTTGCTCTTGGGCAACTTTTAAAAGATGCTCAAGAATCACGGAACAAAAACTACAAACAGTTCAGGCTTCATCATGCAAGAAAATATTTGAGGACAGCCACCAACGAAGATGTTCTACACACTATTGTATACCTCTGATCCGTACATTACAAGTTTCAGAAAACCGTATATTAAAAAATATTTAGAACTTTTTGATGAAAAAAAATTGTTCTTAAGTGACAGTTGAGCTACTATGATGTTTGGTTTTTAATTTTAAGCAGTTACATTTAATAGTTACCTTTATAAACTTATTAAAACATAGATGTAAGTCTAAAAATATATTCAAGGTTATCAGAAAAAAAAATCATGATAATATCTTTATTAACACATGAGTTATAGATTTTTGAGATGAAAATGAGTCAAAGTTCCCATAGTGCGACGTACCGCCTCTTCCTTCAATCTCAAAAGATCGCGGTTCTTCAGATATCCTTTTTATTTTCCCAAGCATCCAATTACCAGACCAGAGATCTTGAACTACCTTGAGATCTGATAAGACTCTTGTCTTACAATTAAAGAAGGTTTCACTTCAGAAGGTAAAATAAAGAGTAAGATATAATTTTGTTACCGCAACTTGCATGTGTACGACGGCATGAATAGAATGACGTCGGAAAATTATTATTACGAGTATTTAATGCAAAGATTTATATCGTTTTTAATGGCTTTGGCAGTTGGCTAGTTGTATGACATTGTATAATAAGACGTGGGGACTGGGGACGTAACAACAAATGACAGGTGACAATCCCAACTGGAAAAATATAGTTCTCTAATTTCTCTCGATTTTCTCTGAAAATTTCTCAAGAGAAACAGTATAAGGTTCGACTTTGTTATACCACTCCCTCGGCGTGACTAATACGTATATCCATGCCAAATTACAGCTTAGCCTTCTAGTACTTACGTACTGTGAGTCTAAGCTGCAGACATACAGAGGAACGGACTTGGTGAAACTACAGGAAACAAATAGGTAGAATTTCGGCCAATAGGCGACCTCTTAGTTTCTATAAAACTTTTGTGTCACCAACCTGGCACTTGCAGTTGGCGGCTTCAACATAATGGTAGTCTTCGGTGCCTGGCACTACTCCTGGGTCGCAATGTCTAAGTTTTGTTGAGGCGTGCTTGCGTTCCCCGTGTACGCATACTGGATGATGAGATTCTTTATAGGGAAACTGCCAATCTGAAATCTTATAGAAAGACGTAATAATGAGTATTCGTTTTAATAGCAAATAAGTATAATATACCGCTAGGTTTACTATATAGATAGTTGTATATCACGATCAGGGCCGTGCCTGACGGGCGTTCATTGCGTGCACCGCACGCAGGCGGCCGAAATTAAGAGGCGGCCAAATCGTTACAAGTTGTTTACTGGGCAAAAATACAATCGGTTTGTTTTCATTAAACCTTCTAAACGCCGTAAGCATCATATGATGCGCGCGCTTACAGACCGCCAACGACCGCTAGCATCATATGATGCTCCCAGCGAGTGTCAAATGATTCTGGGGGTCGGTGACGGATATTTTTCCTTATAACTTCGGTCGTAAGATGTATTTTTGTATACGGTTTTCGGTATTACACAGATAAGTTAAAGAGCTACTGACGAATAACCAATCACAGGACACACAGTGAATAAAGAGACAGTATATCGACGATAAGCACCGAGCTTCAGGTCTTGTTTTATAATATGCTACAGTCTGTGATTATAATACCAATACCATAATTACTTTTTTTCATGTTATTATTAAAGTAAGTAAATTAATTCTATTTTGTATACCTCCCAAGTTGCAAGTCAGCCCAGATCTGCCATTGGCCACTGAGCTTTGTTATCCTAATATGTTAGTATAGATTTAAGGGTTATTCCTTGTTCTTTATGTTTGATAATTTTGTCTGTGATTATAAAACCAATACCATAATTTTTTTCATGTTATTATTTTTGTTTAAATTTTAAATAAAAAAATGTTTATTTTGTGCATTTTTTTTTCTTAAATTTCATCCAAACATATAAATCTCATAAAACCGGTTTTAGCCGGTTTTTCTTTTCAGAAACCGGTTTTGGAACAAAACCAATATTTTTTTTCGTTCTCGATTTCGGTTAACCAAAAACTGATTTTTTTCCCGGTTTGATGCCCTGTGTATAATAATAAACATTAAAAATTAAAGTAGTTTTTTTTAATGTTATCCTGGGGGCGGCCATACAGACTGGCACGCAGGCGGCCATATACCCAGGCATGGCCCTGATCACGATATGCATTAATACCAAGTAAACTTAACATGTAAGTTAAACAATCTTTAGTTCAACCCTGATGTAATGCATTCATATAAAAGAAAAACTAATAAAATATAGGACATTCTGACCAAGAGTTGGTACAGTTCCATGTTAGCCAAATTTCGAGAAATGTTCGAGCGCGGAAATTATAAATATTTCCATATGTGCAAAGCAACAGAGCACGCTTCTGTTAATTTTAACTTATCGATACCAGGTATCTTTAAGACCGACTCTCTTTCTTACATACATCCACATATCGAACGTAGTCTGCTACCGAAAAATATTGATTTACAATGTTTACAATACAAACGGCGCCCATTTATATATAATATACTTTAATATCGACCTATCCATAGGATAAAGCTACTTCTGCATAATCCCTACTTTACAGTAGAGCGATTTGAAGTTTGTAAGATGTAAAATTAGCTTTAACTTGTATTGGTATTTTTCTAGCATTTGATTTTTTTTAACCAATCATAAAAAGCATCGAGAAGCATATTATGACGCATTTATTGTTTAAAAAAAACTACATTTACGGCTCATATTTTGTTATTTAAGCGTATCTTATGTGATTATGTGACAATTTACTACGGACATCTTTATGTTATAATATGCATATCAGACCCTATCCTTGGTAAACGTGTCAATATTATCTGAAGATATAACTTTGTTTTACAAAATTTATATGTTTTCTTAATTAAGAAAACATATTACAATCTATTATTTATATCTATTATTTATCTAAGTATAAGTAATTACTTAAAAACCATATTAGTGTTTGAAATTAGATAGGCCTTATTTGTATTACTTACCTTACATATATAATTGAAAAAGCGCTTTTCATTGTAATATTTATCAAATCAATTAATATATTATGTGCTTCATAATGCTTAAGTTTAAATTTAATAATGAACGCTTTTTCAATTATATACTTAATATAAATGTTAAAATAAACTATAAACATGGCTTACTCTAAGGCCTTAATGAAGTTAACAGAGAGTATAATATTTTGTTTAGTTTTGGTTTTTTAGTGTCAAGCGGAGCCAAAGCAGAGTCAGTCTCGTAGCCATTAATATTTGAGGAATCGCTACCTACTGAAAACTAGATACATAAATATTGACAGAATTACACTGATACATATTATAATAAAATACAGTATCTTGTAAAATATTTTCTCCAACATTGTCTGATATTTTATTGCAAGAGTTAGACAAATCCAGACTTAGAGGCCAATACATAATAAGAGTGGAAAAGAGAGAAATAGGCTTTCGTCATAGGTTTATTCACAATGAGAGGAGAAAAGAAGAAGAGAAGAAACGAAAATACCCTTTCCTACCCATACGATATCCCTGGCTGCATCTCGAGTTCTCGACGCGGCCTCGGAATCCTCTCATTCCACTTGTAAAGTCAACTCTACACATTATTTCCTCCATCAAACAGTGAATACCTACTAATTAAACGAACAAATGAGTAATAAAAAAAATACCAAAATATATTTATAAATCTGTTTCTTGTGCTTCTCTGTAAATTTGCGGTTTCGCCCGGGCGACCGACGACCAACAGCGTATACATCTATTTAAACTATAGTAAGTCACAGTCGCCGGCGACTAGTCGACAGTGCGTAATGGTTCTAAAAGAAGGTTATATAGAAAGGTTAGTATGAGTAGGTACCTACTTCGTATGACAAACAATATCCCCAACAGGATCTTATTTGCACATCACCCCAGCACCGGCGTCCATTCTGGTCCGTCTGCATTGCCTTGTGAGTATATCTCCTGGGCTTGCAGCGTGCTCCGAGGCTTGTCACCGCACATATTCCAATCACAAGAACCACCGTAGTCATAAAACTTAAATTGAACTTCAAATACATTTTTTCTATTTATTTTACTCAGGATTTCTTAACGTTAACTAAGTTTGTATTCTAAGTCACTTCTGAAAGCGTTCGATGAAAATTTGTTTTTATAAAGGGATGTCGAGGACGTCAAAACATAATATTCCTCGGATGAGTTCACATCACAATGGTGCTCAAACCATTAGCCCTATAATGCCCCATTAAAGCGCCGGACAAAAATAAAAGACAATTTGCTTTGAATAGATTTGAATATTTAACTTTAGTGCTAGCACCTCGTTGAAAATTACTACCTATCTAAGGATTATTTTTACTTACTGGTTGTGTTGATCAGTATTTAAAAATGGACAACTGTCGATTCGTATTCTCAAAAGTCAATATTCAAAGAAAATCTTCTGGTGCATTACTGAAATCGTCGTCGATACGTGCTAATTAGGTGTTTAACAACATAGTTACTAATTTTATTTAGTAACAACACTGTTTATATGTTAGAGTATAAGGTATTTATCTCTGGGCCTATGTAGCCCGATCATGAATAAATAAATAAAAATGAATAATATTTTTTTTCGATAGGGTTTGTGGTTTTCCTGATATCACGATAAACTCCTTTTTGCCCCTTAAAAGTCGAGAATTGTGACGACGCATTTGATAATTATTTCCATAGTAATGTATATTTTTTGTATACCATCAGAAAGAAGAGGTTTCAAAGAACAAAAAGCGCACAATAATAATTTAAAATTCATTTTTTTTTACCGGAGATTTTCTATTGAAAAAGATTAGGTACTTTTTCGAAATAATATCAGTGTAAGGGGGAAAAATAAATACTTATTTTGAATGGAACAAATTAGAGCGTGTTTAGGACACAGTGCCGCAATTACATTAAGTCTCGAACTATCTACTCGAATTCGGGCACTCGAAGCAATATTTATGTACACTAAATGAAATACGGATGAATACGGACTGGAAGACGGTGTCGGGTAAACGAAAGGATATCTACCCGAATACAGGCGAACTCGACTCCGTTCGTTAACACTTTATTCGTTTACTCAATTATTTTCCACCGGCACCTGGTTAGCCCGAATACAAATTCCACCGGCATTTGTATTCGGGCTAGCCACCAATTGTAATCGCTCCATAAGAAGGTAAGTTTTCACAAAATTTCGTTTAAAAAAAGTTTTATTGAGCGATATAATAACAAAAAAAACCATTTGGTTATTTTGATTTTTCGCAGATATTTTTAAAGTTGTAAAGCTGTTGAATGCCTATATTTTTGCCATTATTTTTTTTCGATTGATGTAGCACTTCTCGAAAATCGCAATAAACCGTTTGCTATCTTAAAAGGTCACCCTCCACACTTCCCGACCTCAAATCGCCCGTATTTTTTTTAATCTGTTCTCTTCCTTTTGGTATGGGTTACTTCCTGTTACGAATATTTTTCACTTTTTACGATTTTCAAAGGCATCCGTCCTGGACTATTAGTCATAAAAGGTGTGAGGTGTGTGCGTGACTTTTATGTCCCTATGAATAAGGAGCACCTTCGCATGCAATATTCAATGCAAGCGTGAATCATTCATCAAATAAGGGCGATTCTTAGGGCGCATATGATTTCACTACTAAAGCTAATTTAAACCCATTGTGAATTTGCACGACTACTTATTTGCATTGCCCTTACGACCATAACCGTGTTCATATTGCTGACAGCCATAACTCGCGAACATAAACGGTACAATCATTACAAAAGTGGTGTTGGGAATACAATACTTAGATTATGTGATAATATTGTATGTTTTTTTTTATTTATAAGGACACGAACAAAGGAGGGGAGACTGTAACTGAATGTACTGATTAAAACCTTTAAAAAAGACCGATTTCATAGAAACCACCAAAACATTAAATCAATAATTTACTCTTTACTTTAAATAAAAAAAAATAACAACATTTGGTGCGAACAAAGAAAAATAAAATTTATAATTGCGTGGTTTACCCAGCGCACGCAACGGAATCGCACAAATGGATTATTTTTACCCGTTTTTGCAACATTTTTCATCGATGCTCCGCTGCTTCTGGTCGTAGCCTGGTAATATATAGCCTATAGCCTTCCTCGATAAATGCACTGTCCAAAACAAGTTTTTCAAATCGGAACATCAGAGCAATGTTGCATTTGGTACAACGGGTCCTAAAATTGGTACGCAACGAATTTTATACTTGCAATGGAAGGTTTATAATTATTATGAAGAAAGTCATTGTGTATATTGCAAGCCTTTGAACAAAAACTATAGTCTTCACTACAGCTCTACACCGAAGCAAAGCGAGGGCGGGCCACTAGTGTACCTATAAATGACAATATGGATCATTCATCATAATTTATTGGCTTGAATTGTAGCGAGTTTTCACAACTCCAAAATCAATTTACTGTAAATCCTCAGAAGGTAATGCTTGATTTACGGTGGAACTATATTATAATTGTTGTGCCTTGTTGCTCCATTTATAGCGCAGTGCACTAATACAATCACATGCAATAAATAGGTACACCATTTTATGGTGTCGACTGACGTGAAAGCTGTTTAAATTGTGATTTTATAAACAACATACTATTATGGAATAATCTACATAATGATGTCGATTCTGGCATGATTCTCTAAAGCTAAACTTAAATTTGACAACAGTACATCCCTGTCATTCTCTATACAGAATGAAAAGGAGAGACTGATGTTAAATTTAGTTTTAAGTTTTCAGAATCACGCTAGAATAGACACCAATATTTATCTATCCAATCGATTTAGAAAAAAGAACCAGCAAAGTGAGAGTCAGACTCGCAAGGGGAAGTGAAGTGGAAAGGTACTTGGCCAGCTTTTTATTTGGCAGGTACCTATGTAATTTATCTAAGTTACATTAGTCTAATGCAAATTACTATTTATATAATCTTTTCGATTCAGGGATGTTTATTGTTAAGGAGTTTTTTTATTACGTCGCTTTAAGCTCCACTTTACTGCTGTGCTCTAAGCTGTGAATGAATTAGGACAAATAGATTGTTTCGCATACAAATTAATGTAATCGTATCGTAACAAGTGTTATAACTATTTATTGATGTATCCGATGGTCATCATCAGCTTTATCATCAGCTTTATTATCAGCTTTACTTAGGAGAGGGCGCTATGCGAGAGTAAATATACAAATTACTTACCTACTTTAAAACATATCCAAATTATATATATGTGCTAATTATGATTTAAATTCTGAAGAGATCCCTCGATTTATCCAGAATTCCATCATCAGATTCCAACTTGAAGACCACGGAACCATCTGGAAAGTAATACTTTTACGAACACAAAATGGGAAAAGTTACAAATCGGCGCAAGCGTCTTCTAGTAATCGGGTAACATAAGTACAGGATTTTTTTCCGACAAATTTAGAAACCTTCTTCCTTTCTGAAGCCTATTAAAGATTTCATACAGTAAATTTCCTTTGAAAATTATTTAAGCAACCATTATGACTAATGAACCATGTAAATTAATAGTTTGAAGATAAAATCCAAATATTAGCATTCTTCTTAATAATAATTCTGATAATCGAATACGCATTGGAATAGGCAGCTCAAGCCAGAGTTTCATTTCCAATATTTACCAAGTTCCTACCAATAGTTTTGTAAGTACTAAGACGGTTCAGAAAAAAATGTATATATATATGCGCTCTATGTTCATGTACTTATATGTTTGTCTTTGATCAACAAGATCGAGGATGTATGTACATAAAAAAACGGATGGAAATAGGTGGACATCTGAAATTAAGAAAAAGCGTGTTTCTGATGTTGCTTTATTTGTATTAGTTTTGTCGTAACTTGGTAGTTACTTGGTGGTTAAGTAAAAATGTGAAGGGGATTCCATACATGAAACGTGATTTTTTTCGATTTGATTTGGACGACCTAGTTATAAATATTGTTCTATGGTACGGCACGGCACCCTTCGTTTGCAAGGCCGACTCGCATAATATTCTATGGTTAAATAATACCAAACTATTCACTCATTTTCTTTTTCATTATTTTTGTTTTCTCTTATTCGAACACGTAAGTACTTAGTTAATAAAATTATGATAAAAAGGTCGTAATTACTTAATGATTTTTTTTTATTAATGTGTAGGTACTTAAGTCATTCCGTGTCATTAATCATGACTTGCACTTACGTTATGGCATACTGAACCATTCAACTCTAAGCTTTATTACAAAATAATTGAAAATTAGGTTCATTTAGGACTAGAGAAGAGGTGGCTCGCCTTGTTGTACTTCGAAATCGGCTACCGCAAACGCAACACGCGGTCGGTCCGGCGAGTTTGTTTTAACACCGATTAATCGTGCAGTGAATACAGTTAAAACTGCTTCAGCACCATTTAAAATTCCAAAAACATATCATAATCAAGTGGTTATTTTAGTTCATAAGTATTTTAATTTATGAAGAATAGTGAAATTTATAAGACAATATTGTGTAAAACATATGGACTAAATATACTTAACGGTAAGTCATATCTTAAAATTATTGCAGTCGCTCAAAAATATTGTTTCACGTTTTAAATACCTTTTATGCGCGTATCTCTGAGATGCGTGGACAGATTGTAATGATATATTTTTTGGTTTCAATCAGTTTTATTAGATTCAGGCATAAACGCGAATAAGATAAAAACTTTCGTTTTGTTTTTCAAATTTCCGACACCAACTACAATATTAACTTTAAACGCCGGGCACAACAATTGATTCAAATCTATACCTCTACTGTCAGCAGGTGATGAGACTCAGGCAAGATAATTAGGTACCGGAATTAACTCAAGAGAAAAGGTATCTAAAATTCGATTGAAATTTCATGTAGGTACATTAGCGATCTGACGCGGCTTTGCACAAATGAAATTTAATTTAATGGGATAAGTAAAATGTATGGTCCAGTTAATGAACGAAAAAAACAAGAAAACTTGACAATTCTGCCAAAAAGCACCAATTTACACCAAAATTCCACCAAAGCCCGGGGGTGATTTTTTTAAATAAAAATAAGTACGTAAATGTTTGTATTTGACAGATTCTAAGCAGATTTT